CTGCTCTTCCCCTGCTAATAATACAGAGCATCCGTGTAGGATCCAGAGTCTGCTCTTCCCCTGCTAATAATACAGAGCATCCATGTAGGATCCAGAGTCTGCTCCTCCCCTGCTAATACAGAGCATCCGTGTAGGATCCAGAGTCTGCTCTTCCCCTGCTAATACAGAGCATCCGTGTAGGATCCAGAGTCTGCTCTTCCCCTGCTAATAATACAGAGCATCCGTGTAGGATCCAGAGTCTGCTCTTCCCCTGCTAATAATACAGAGCATCCTTGTAGGATCCAGAGTCTGCTCCTCCCCTGCTAATACAGAGCATCCGTGTAGGATCCAGAGTCTGCTCCTCCCCTGCTAATACAGAGCATCCGTGTAGGATCCAGAGTCTGCTCCTCCCCTGCTAATAATACAGAGCATCCGCGTAGGATCCAGAGTCTGCTCCTCCCCTGCTAATACAGAGCATCCGTGTAGGATCCAGAGTCTGCTCTTCCCCTGCTAATACAGAGCATCCGTGTAGGATCCAGAGTCTGCTCCTCCCCTGCTAATAATACAGAGCATCCGTGTAGGATCCAGAGTCTGCTCCTCCCCTGCTAATAATACAGAGCATCCATGTAGGATCCAGAGTCTGCTCTTCCCCTGCTAATACAGAGCATCCGTGTAGGATCCAGAGTCTGCTCTTCCCCTGCTAATAATACAGAGCATCCGTGTAGGATCCAGAGTCTGCTCTTCCCCTGCTAATAATACAGAGCATCCATGTAGGATCCAGAGTCTGCTCCTCCCCTGCTAATACAGAGCATCCGTGTAGGATCCAGAGTCTGCTCTTCCCCTGCTAATACAGAGCATCCGTGTAGGATCCAGAGTCTGCTCTTCCCCTGCTAATAATACAGAGCATCCGTGTAGGATCCAGAGTCTGCTCTTCCCCTGCTAATAATCCAGAGCATCCCTGTAGGATCCCGAGTCTGCTCCTCCCCTCCTAATACAGAGCATCCGTGTAGGATCCAGAGTCTGCTCCTCCCCTGCTAATACAGAGCATCCGTGTAGGATCCAGAGTCTGCTCCTCCCCTGCTAATAATACAGAGCATCCGCGTAGGATCCAGAGTCTGCTCCTCCCCTGCTAATACAGAGCATCCGTGTAGGATCCAGAGTCTGCTCTTCCCCTGCTAATACAGAGCATCCGTGTAGGATCCAGAGTCTGCTCCTCCCCTGCTAATAATACAGAGCATCCGTGTAGGATCCAGAGTCTGCTCCTCCCCTGCTAATAATACAGAGCATCCATGTAGGATCCAGAGTCTGCTCTTCCCCTGCTAATACAGAGCATCCCGTGTAGGATCCAGAGTCTGCTCTTCCCCTGCTAATAATACAGAGCATCCGTGTAGGATCCAGAGTCTGCTCTTCCCCTGCTAATAATACAGAGCATCCGTGTAGGATCCAGAGTCTGCTCCTCCCCTGCTAATACAGAGCATCCGTGTAGGATCCAGAGTCTGCTCTTCCCCTGCTAATACAGAGCATCCGTGTAGGATCCAGAGTCTGCTCTTCCCCTGCTAATACAGAGCATCCGTGTAGGATCCAGAGTCTGCTCCTCCCCTGCTAATAATACAGAGCATCCGTGTAGGATCCAGAGTCTGCTCCTCCCCTGCTAATACAGAGCATCCGTGTAGGATCCAGAGTCTGCTCTTCCCCTGCTAATAATACAGAGCATCCGTGTAGGATCCAGAGTCTGCTCCTCCCCTGCTAATATACAGAGCATCCGTGTAGGATCCAGAGTCTGCTCCTCCCCTGCTAATAATACAGAGCATCCGTGTAGGATCCAGAGTCTGCTCCTCCCCTGCTAATAATACAGAGCATCCGTGTAGGATCCAGAGTCTGCTCCTCCCCTGCTAATACAGAGCATCCGTGTAGGATCCAGAGTCTGCTCCTCCCCTGCTAATACAGAGCATCCGTGTAGGATCCAGAGTCTGCTCTTCCCCTGCTAATAATACAGAGCATCCATGTAGGATCCAGAGTCTGCTCCTCCCCTGCTAATAATACAGAGCATCCATGTAGGATCCAGAGTCTGCTCTTCCCCTGCTAATACAGAGCATCCGTGTAGGATCCAGAGTCTGCTCTTCCCTGCTAATAATACAGAGCATCCGTGTAGGATCCAGAGTCTGCTCTTCCCCTGCTAATAATACAGAGCATCCATGTAGGATCCAGAGTCTGCTCCTCCCCTGCTAATACAGAGCATCCGTGTAGGATCCAGAGTCTGCTCTTCCCCTGCTAATACAGAGCATCCGTGTAGGATCCAGAGTCTGCTCTTCCCCTGCTAATAATACAGAGCATCCGTGTAGGATCCAGAGTCTGCTCTTCCCCTGCTAATAATACAGAGCATCCATGTAGGATCCAGAGTCTGCTCCTCCCCTGCTAATACAGAGCATCCGTGTAGGATCCAGAGTCTGCTCCTCCCCTGCTAATACAGAGCATCCGTGTAGGATCCAGAGTCTGCTCCTCCCCTGCTAATAATACAGAGCATCCGCGTAGGATCCAGAGTCTGCTCCTCCCCTGCTAATACAGAGCATCCGTGTAGGATCCAGAGTCTGCTCTTCCCCTGCTAATACAGAGCATCCGTGTAGGATCCAGAGTCTGCTCCTCCCCTGCTAATAATACAGAGCATCCGTGTAGGATCCAGAGTCTGCTCCTCCCCTGCTAATAATACAGAGCATCCATGTAGGATCCAGAGTCTGCTCTTCCCCTGCTAATACAGAGCATCCGTGTAGGATCCAGAGTCTGCTCTTCCCCTGCTAATAATACAGAGCATCCGTGTAGGATCCAGAGTCTGCTCTTCCCCTGCTAATAATACAGAGCATCCTTGTAGGATCCAGAGTCTGCTCCTCCCCTGCTAATACAGAGCATCCGTGTAGGATCCAGAGTCTGCTCTTCCCCTGCTAATACAGAGCATCCGTGTAGGATCCAGAGTCTGCTCTTCCCCTGCTAATAATACAGAGCATCCGTGTAGGATCCAGAGTCTGCTCTTCCCCTGCTAATAATACAGAGCATCCATGTAGGATCCAGAGTCTGCTCCTCCCCTGCTAATACAGAGCATCCGTGTAGGATCCAGAGTCTGCTCCTCCCCTGCTAATACAGAGCATCCGTGTAGGATCCAGAGTCTGCTCCTCCCCTGCTAATAATACAGAGCATCCGCGTAGGATCCAGAGTCTGCTCCTCCCCTGCTAATACAGAGCATCCGTGTAGGATCCAGAGTCTGCTCTTCCCCTGCTAATACAGAGCATCCGTGTAGGATCCAGAGTCTGCTCCTCCCCTGCTAATAATACAGAGCATCCGTGTAGGATCCAGAGTCTGCTCCTCCCCTGCTAATAATACAGAGCATCCATGTAGGATCCAGAGTCTGCTCTTCCCCTGCTAATACAGAGCATCCCTGTAGGATCCAGAGTCTGCTCTTCCCCTGCTAATAATACAGAGCATCCGTGTAGGATCCAGAGTCTGCTCCTCCCCTGCTAATAATACAGAGCATCCGTGTAGGATCCAGAGTCTGCTCCTCCCCTGCTAATAATACAGAGCATCCGTGTAGGATCCAGAGTCTGCTCCTCCCCTGCTAATAATACAGAGCATCCGTGTAGGATCCAGAGTCTGCTCCTCCCCTGCTAATAATACAGAGCATCCGTGTAGGATCCAGAGTCTGCTCCTCCCCTGCTAATACAGAGCATCCGTGTAGGATCCAGAGTCTGCTCCTCCCCTGCTAATAATACAGAGCATCCGTGTAGGATCCAGAGTCTGCTCTTCCCCTGCTAATAATACAGAGCATCCGTGTAGGATCCAGAGTCTGCTCCTCCCCTGCTAATACAGAGCATCCGTGTAGGATCCAGAGTCTGCTCCTCCCCTGCTAATAATACAGAGCATCCGTGTAGGATCCAGAGTCTGCTCCTCCCCTGCTAATACAGAGCATCCGTGTAGGATCCAGAGTCTGCTCTTCCCCTGCTAATACAAAGTTCCACGGCTCTGGTCGTTTATGGCCCAGGTCTGAGTAGTCTGGAAGACGTGCCATGTGACGCTTTTCTGTGTCATCTCAGACCTCATGTTTCCCTAATATCTACAGGACTCTGCTGGACACTAATTTTTTTCCGTGTTTCCATACAGCCCTGCTTCCTTGTCTGTCTTTGGCCCACCAGGCTCTCCCCCTTTATTCCCGGTCACACGGGCTGGTATTAGGGGAATGAAACATAGGAGGAAGATGATGCCAGCATTCTTTAACATTGTGGGAAAAGGCCAAAAGCAAATAGAAAATTTGACAAAAACGTTTATAATTGCTTAAACATATGGAAAACATGGAAGGAAAATCAAAGCAGAGTGGGAGCACTCTCCACCAAAGACTGGAAACTTCAGCCTCCCAAGTATTCAAGAATCCGTAAGTGTGCCAGCAGAGCCAAGAGGAGGTCCACAATTTCTCATTCTCAGGAGAATCTGAGATTATCTTTTAATCTAGTGAAAACGGATACATAACCCGCCTTTATCACCTTTTGCACTCTAATAAAAATTTTAGGCTGGGCGCTGTGGCTCACACCTGTAATCCCAGCACTTTGGGAGGCCGAGGCTGGTGGATCACCTGAGGTTGGGAGTTCGAGACCAGCCTGACCAATATAGTGAAACCCCATTTCTACTAAAAATATAAAAAAATTAACTGGGTAGAGTGGTGGGTGCCTGTAATCCCAGGTACTTGGGAGGCCAAGGCAGAGGTTGCAGTGAGCTGAGATCGTGCCATTGCATTCCAGCCTAGGGGACACAGTGAGACTTCGTCTCAAAATATATATATTTATGTTAGACCAAGCCAATAAGGCATGAGCAATTTACCGTAGAGAACTAGGGAATGTTTACTTATGTCACTGAGGCGTTTAATATTGTCTTTTAAAATATAAAGTGTAGATAGATTTGAATAACACTGAATTTTTAGAAAAATCTGTTGGAGCGTCATACGAAAGGATAAGGCGAGATTTGAACATGCTTTTTTATTGGACAAGAAAACTGATCAAATCTAAATCTGGACAAACTAGAAAGTTCGGGTGCTCGCAATACAATCTATAGACACATTGTAGCGTGGCTTCTACGTCAGAAGAATCAGGATGGTGGTGCTTGCAGATCCGTGGTCCTCCACACCAGGACACCGCTAAGAAAATAAAGCCGTGCTCTCCAGAGCCTCTAGCACTCATTTAATGTACTTGTTTTTCTAAGTATCACACAGTAGGACAGGATTTCTAAAGATAAGGGAATATAGGACCTAGGCCAAGACAATCAGCACACACCTACTGAAGCACACTCCGTAATCATCCTGCTAGAACCTGTCAGGGAACAGCCCTGAAGTCACAGCCCTGCTGCCAGGACATGCAGTTACAGGGAGAAGTGCCCGTGGTGATCGAGGAGAGCCTTTGTGAGAAGACTACTTCAGGGCGTGCTCCATCAGGGGATCACACCCCTGATCCTGTATTCCTCGTCAACCCAAGGTTCATGTGCAATGCTCAGGTGGGGACATTTTTCTTCCAGAGCCGTCAGCATCTTCTGAGATTCTTCATCAAAGGCGGATTTCTGCAGCCTGGGAAAATAGAAAAATTTTTGTTTTTTTCATTTTTACACAGTATTGCCTCTTTACATTCTGATGTCTACGTCTTCTCTCCTCTCTGTTCTTTCCTAGAAATCACTGAGGATTGTAGTGAATTTGAAAAAACAAGCATGAATCTTTCCTGTAGAATAGGAAGCCTCTGATTTATACCATAAACTGAAATTTCATATACAGCATGTATTGATTAAGATTTAATTCAAAGAAGATGAATTTAGGTTAAAAAAGGAACAACTTCCATTCATTTGATGTTCATATGGCCCGGCCCATTTATTCCTTCTTAAAATGTGGTTTAAACATATAAGATTTTCTCAGAGATACTCATATAATGAATTCACGTTCCCATCACCAGCTTCTACAATGATCAATTTTCAGCCTCTTCCATTTACAACCCGCCCATTTTTGAGATGTAATTAAAACAGATGCTACATGTATAAAGTATTTAAAACGTCCCTTTCTATTTTTGGTATTTTCCGTTTCTTTCATGTCATTGTCTCCTGAACCCTCTTCAATAAAGCTGGTTTTTGTAGTCACTAATAACATTGATTTTTTTTTTTTTTTTTTTTGAGACGGAGTTTCGCTCTTGTTACCCAGGCTGGAGTGCAATGGCGCGATCTCAGCTCACCGCAACCTCCGCCTCCTGGGTTCAGGCAATTCTCCTGCCTCAGCCTCCCGAGTAACTGGGACTACAGGCACGCACCACCATGCCCAGCTAATTTTTTGTATTTTTAGTAGAGACGGGGTTTCACCATGCCAGGATGGTCTCGATCTCTTGACCTCGTGATCCGCCTGCCTCGGCCTCCGAAAGTGCTGGGATTACAGGCTTGAGCCACTGCGCCCGGCCAATAACATCAATTTTTAAAGTGACTTCTATCTTACTTAACCAGTCAGCATTGAATACAGTTAATGACACTTGTCTGTTTTTCCCCTTCGTTTCCTGGACGCTGCTTTCTCCTGGCTTCCTGCCTCCCCCACCAGCTACCCTTCTTGCCTTATACACTGAATCTTTATCTACATGTTATGAGCATCAGGAAAACATAAAAAATAAGTTCACAAGTAACTGGCAAGACTGGAACACAGGCTTTCCTGAGAGAATATGAGTAACATTTGCCAGTTTCTTCTCCCCCTCCCCGTGTCCTTCCCTCTTGTCTGGTGTTCAGTTATGTGCAAAAAGTTGAGGATTCGCAGGTCACAAAAATTCATAGACGCTTAGACACAGGAGAAAGAGTTTGTTACCTTAAATCTTCGGAAGTAGAGGAGATGCCTAAATTTGCTTTCAGCTACAGCGACACTTATCCAGAAATGACTGCTCTGAATGTTTGCTACTGTGGAATGACGTGTTTTGGGTGTGGGGATGGTAACTGAACGTGAGCAGGACACAGTAACATTTTATATGCAAGTCTTCAGTACCTGGCCTGTCCCTACGGGTACTGGGTCTCGGCCTCCTCTCTGAATTTGTCTCTCCCTTCCTGTGCTGTAGAGCTCCAGGGCCTGTGCGTTTTGCTGTAACCTCTTGGGATCCTCCGTAGAAATTCGTTGTATGGTTTGGATCTGTGTCCCCACCCAAATCTCCTATTCAATTATAACCCCCAGTGTTGGAGGTGGGATCTGGTGGGAGGTGACTGTATCGTGGGGTGGAGCCTTCACGAATCATTTCACACCGTCCCTTTGGTGCTGTTCTCATGATACAGCTCTCAGGAGATCTGGTTGTTTAAACTTGTGTGGCGGCCCCGACTTTCCTCCTGCTCCAGCCACCAAACGTGTGCCTGTTTCTCCCTTGCTTTCCCTCACAGTTCAAAGTTTCCTGAGCCACCTCAGAAGCAGAAGCCGCTGTGCTTCCTGTACAGCCTGCAGACCCGTGAGGCAATCAAACCTCTTTCCTGGCCGGGCACGGTGGCTCACACCTGTAATCCCAGCACCTGGGGAGGCCGAGGCGGGCGGATCACGAGGGCAGGAGCTCGAGACCAGGCTCACAAACATGGTGAAACCCCGTCTCTACTAAAAATACAAAGATTAGCTGAGTGTGGTGTAATCCCAGCTACCGAGGAGGCTGGGGCAGAAGAATTGCTTGAACCCCAGAAGCGGACGTTGCAGTGAGCCAAGATCGCACCACTGCATTCCACCCTGGGCAACAGAGTGAGACTCCGTCTCCAAAAAAAAAAAAAAAAAACCTTTTAAGTTACTCTGCCAGGTGTGGTGGCTCCTGCATGTAATCTCAGCACTTTTGGAGGCCGAGGCAGGTGGATCACCTGAGGTCAGGAGTTTGAGACCAGCAGGACCAACATGGTGAAACCCCATCTCTACTAAAAATACAACACTTAGCCGGGCATGGGGGTAAGCGCCTGTTATCCCAGCTTCTCCGGACACCGAAGCACGAGAATTGCTTGCGGCCGGGAGGCGGAGGTTGCAGGGAGTAGAGACGTCACCACTGCACTCCAGCCTGGGCAACAGAGCAAGACTGTCTCAAAAGAAAAGAAAAATTACCAGTCTCGGATATTCTCCATAGCAACGCAAGAACAGACAAATACCACTCAGCTGACCTCCCTGAACTCTGCTGGAACTTTCCCCAGAGCCCACCCTGGGAGCATTTCGGTCAAGGACATTGTCAAGAGCTGTGTGTCTTTAGCCTTCATTGCTGCTTCCAAGGTCCAGCTACACAACCCCTCAAGCAGAACTCGGCCCCTGAGCATCAGTGTCCTCACCCAAAAGGCAGGGTCACAGGAGTGCCCTCACAGACGACTGTGAGTTAATGTACTTAAGGAACCCAGAACCGTCCCCAGCCCTCTAGAATCTCTGTCCATCTGCCCCGCCCGCCACTCCAGGCCTCTCCTGCCCTGGTCAGGTAGCCTGCCTCACACTGCTCAGTAACCCGCAACCCTGGCTCTTCTCAGCAGCTCACTCATCACCTCTCACACACCAATCCTCCCGCCCCCGCATCAAGGGCACAAGGACAGAGATGTGAACGGTTTCGTTCCTGACCTCATCCCCAGCACATCATCCTAGCACGCATTCAAACATGCATCCTACAGGCTGGGCTCGGTGGCTCACACCTGCAATCCCAGCACTTCAGGAGGCCCAGGCGGATGGAGCGCTTGAGCCCAGGGGTTCGAGACCAGCCTGGGCAATGTGGTGAAACGCCGTCTCTACGAAAAATACAAAAATTAGCCAGCCTCATAACCCAGTCTCAAAATAAATAGAGATTAAGATTTGCTTCCAAAAAGATGAGTTTAGGTTTAAAAAAAAAAAAAAAAAAAAAGGAACTTGTATTCATTTGATGTTCATAGGCCCCAGGCACATTTATTCCTTCTTATGCAAAAGTTTATATAAAACGTAAACATAGGACAGGCGCGGCGGCTCAAGCCTGTAATCCCAGCACTTTGGGAGGCCGAGGCAGGTGGATCACGAGGTCGAGATCGAGACCATCCTGGTCAACATGGTGAAACCCCGTCTCTACTAAAAATACAAAAAATGAGCTGGGCATGGTGGCGCGTGCCTGTAATCCCAGCTACTCGGGAGGCTGAGGCAGGAGAATTGCCTGAACCCAGGAGGCGGGTTGCGGTGAGCCGAGATCGCGCCATCGCACTCCAGCCTGGGTAACAAGAGCGAAACTCTGTCTCAAAAAAAAAAAAAAAAAACCTAAACATATTGTGAGCTTTTTTCAGAGACATTAATATAATGAATTCACGTACCCCTCACAAACTTCAACAATTATCTATATTTAAAAAAAACTTTTAAAAATGAAAAAAAAAAATCAGAAGGAAAAATTAACTTTAAAAATTCATCCGACAGATTTCAAACAAGATCGCTCCAGTTTTCCAGACAACGTTAGCTGCCGCTGTTGGGCGAATGCATTTCTGGGTCGAGACCCTGCTCCGCCCATCCCAGAAGCCCTCCCCAAGTGTGCGCTGGGGTTGCGTTTTGTGGTAAGTAGGAGGTGACGTTTCAGGACAGCGCTGCTTCTCGCCCGGTGCGGCTGTGGCTCCAGGGGGCTTTCGGCAGTTTCTGGGGCTCTTTTTGGTCGTCATCACTCAGGGAGATGCTACTGGCCCTTCATGAGAAAGGCCAAGAATGCTGCTTGACATCTTACAATGTCAATGATTTGACATCTTGCAATGTGCACGGGGGCCCAGGGCAGGCCCCACGACAAAGAACCCTCCCGCCTGGTGCCCGTCGTGTCGCGGTTGGGCAAATGGCCAGCGAACTGAGCTCGTTCTGAAGTCACTCGCCACCAAGGGAGACAGAGTGCACTCACCCCAGCATCTGCAGGGCACAGTCCGGGTGGCTCAGAGCCTCACACAGCAACACCACCCCCTCGGGGTCCAAGGTGATCCAGTCAAGGTTCAGGCTCCTCAGCGTTTTGCTGGCGATCAGTGCCGCGGCGAGGTCTTCACAGCAGGCGTGGGTGATCCGACATGTTTGCAGCCTGCAAAAGGGAAAGCGGAGAGGGCGCCTTGGCTTTGGGCAGGCTGGAAGGCAGCCACCGTCTGCTGCTGCTGTTGGTGTTCCAAGGCAGCTTCGCCAGGCCGGAGTGCAGTGGTGCGATCTCGGCTCACCACAGCCTCCACCTCCAGGGCTCCAGTGATTCTCCTGCCTCAGCCTCCCAAGTAGCTGGGATTACAGGCACGCACCCCCACACCTGGCTAATTTTTATATTTTTAGTAGAGATGGGGTTTTGCCATGTTGGCCAGGATCCTCCCGAACTCCTGACATCAGGTAACCTGCCTGCCTCGGCCTCCCAAAGTGCTGGGATTACAGGCGTGAGCCACCGTGCCCAGCCAGGCACACCATTGTTACCTGTCGGTGACATACCACCAGGCAGGGGACTTTACAGTCTAAAAGAGCAGTTCTCAGCCAGGGCAGTTGTGCTCCTGGGGGACACGTGTCGAGTGACATTTATACCAGGCAGGGGACTTTACAGTCTAAAAGAGCGGTTCTCAGCCAGGGTGGTTGTGCTCCTGGGGGACACGTGTCGAGTGACGTTTATACCAGGCAGGGGACTTTACAGTCTAAAAGAGCAGTTCTCAGCCAGGGCAGTTGTGCTCCTGGGGGACACGTGTCGAGTGACATTTATCCCAACTGAAGGGTGCTGCTAGCAACTTGAGGGTAATGGCCAGGGCCACAGCTCACATCCTACGAGGCACAGGATGGCCCCCAAGGCAAGTAACGCTCCAGTCCCAAACCCCAAGAGTACCGAGACTGAGCAAAGCCTGGGACAGCATTTCACGCATCAGATCATCCCAGACAGAGTCGCTTTTAAACCTGCCCCCTGGCATTCCATCAACCCTCCAGATTTTCCTCTTCTAGAAATAGGTAAACTTTCCTACGATGAAGGTCAGCGGATACTCACCCAAGACACTCTAATTTACAGTTAGGATGCTTCAAAGCTTCACATAACTGTCTGACACCAGCGTCTCCTATCTCATTATGCCCAAGTTTCAGGATCTTCAGTTTTTCATTGCAGATGAGGGTATCAGCGATGTCCTTACAGGAATCGGAAGTGAGGAAACAGGCCATCAACCTGTGGGGGCGAAACACACACACTCACTCACACACTTACGAGGCCAATCACGATGGCCTAGCTAATTTTCACTTATTCTTAGGGAGCAATAAATACCCATGGACTTCTGAGATGAAAAGGGTGGGGAGGGGAGAGAGAGAGAACAAGGGAGAAAAGGGGAGATGGGAGGGGAAAGAAGGGGGCGTAAGTGGGGAAAGGGGATAGTAGCGGGGCACAGGAGGGGAAGAGGATGGATGAGGTAAGGGAGGAGGGGAGAGGGGAAAAGGAGGTGAGAGGGGAAGAGGAGGGAGGAGAGGGGAAGAGGAGTGGGTGGGGAGGGGGAAGAGGGGATGGGGAGGGGAGAGGGGAAGAGGGGATGGAGAGGGGAAGAGGAAGGGGAAAAGAAGGGGGAGAAGAGGGGAGGAGGAGGGGACAGGGAAGGAAGAGGAAGGAGGGAAAGGGAGGAGGGATGAGGGAAGGGGGAGGAGGGATGAGGGAAGGAGGAGGAGGGAGGAATCCACCCAGAATTGTCTTCAGTTCCTAGCAGAAGGAATGAATGATTCTCATGCTCCGACTGTCATTTATCAAGTGTGCATGAAGAGCCAGGCATGGATCCTAATCCTTCAAGCATGTGATTCCCACAGACCACCTCAGTTCTTTGAGGAGACTGTAGCTATCCTCACACTGGATGGGGAGAGGGGAGTCGCCTGCACAAGTTCGCCCGGTCAGGGGCACTCAGGACTCCATCCAGGCCTTTCTAGGGCCAGGGACACAACCCGAGTCCTGTGCTGCGTCCTTACAACCCCCTTCCAGGAACGCTCCCAGAACCAGGTAGGGTAGATATAGAGTGAAGACACCGTTCTCTCCCTGTCTCGGTCTATGAGGGCTGTTATAACAAAATACCATAGAAACGGGTCCCTTAGAGATGACAGAAATGTACTTCTCACAGTTCTGGAGCTGGGAAGTCCAAGACCAACATGTCCACAAACTCTGGTGAGGGCCACATTCTGCTTAGCAGGTGGCATTTTCTTTCTTTTTTCTTTACTTTTTTTTTTAAGATGGGGTTTCACCATGTTGGTCAGGCTGGTCTTGAACTCCTCACCCCAGGTGATCCATCCGCCTTGGCCTCCAAAGTGCTTGAATTACAGGCGTGAGCCACTACGCCCAACCACAGGTGGCATTTTTCTTACTGTGACCACAGATGGTGGAGGGGCAAAGTCTCTGGGGCCTCTATTTTTTTTTGAGACAGTGTCTCGCTCTGTCACCAGGCTAGAGTGCAGTGGCACGATCTCAGCTCCCTGCAACCTCTGCCTCCCGGGTTCAAGCAATTCTTCTGCCTCAGCCTCCTGAGGAGCTACAGGCACATAGCTACTTGGGACTACAACTAGTTTGTAGCTACGGGTATGGGACCACAGGTGCACACGACTATACCCAACAATTTATTTTTTTTAGTAGACACGGGGTTCCACCATGCTGGCCAGGATGGTCTCCAGCTCCAGATCTTGTGACCGCCCACCTGGGCCTCCCAAAGTGCTGGGATTACAGGCATGCGCCACCGCACCGGGCCTGGGGCCTCTTTTATAAGAGTGGGACGCTCCACCCTTACGACCTAACCACCTCCCAAAGGCCCCGCCTCCTAGTGCCATCAGCCTGGGGGTGAGGATCCAGCATCCAAATTTTGGAAAGACACACCCCTTCCGATGCTCCATGTCCCTCTCCTGTTTCCTCCCCAGGGCCAACATTCAGAAAAGACACCCTGACAGTGAAGCGAGTCACGGCCGGTCCTACCACAGCTCCCGTATGCTACAGTCCGGGTGCTTCAGCGCTTCGCACAGCAAGGCCACCGCGCTGTCTTCCAGATGATTGGACCCCAGATCGAGGAGGGACAGGGATTTACTGCGCGCAAGCCCTTCGGAAATGGCCTCACAGGACACACAGGTGAGACAGCAGTACATCAACCTACAGAGAAACACACCATCGACCAGCCCACCGAGGCTTCCCGCAGTGACATTCACGCGCGCTCTCTGCCACAGGCAAAACCTTTCCAGGTATTCCTTCAATTCTGCTGTCACTCAGCAAAACAAGGAGCCGGGTGCGGTGGCTCACGCCTGTCATCCCAGCACTTTGGGAGGCCCAGGCGGGTGAATCACAAGGTCAGGAGATCGAGACCAGCCTGGCCAACATGTTAAAACCCCGTCTCTACTAAAAATACAAAAATTAGCCGGCACGTGGTAGTGGATGCCTATAATCCCAGCCACTCGGGAGGCTGAGGCAGAATTGCCTGAAACCAGGAGGCGGAGGTTGCGGTGAGCCGAGATCGCGCCATTGCACTCCAGCCTGGGTAACAAGAGCGAAACTCCGTCTCAAAAATAAAATAAGGAGCTGGGCGCAGGGGCTCATGCCTGTAACCCCAGCCCTTTGGGAGGCCGAGGAGGGTCTGCTTTTATTGTCTAAACAACCCTCTCAGTAACAGTTGATTCTAGCCCTGTCTTACTCCACATGTATGCGTGAGCGTGTGACCCACATGTACACAGATGCCCTTGTGTGCACAGCATGCGAACAGAGCTGGCACTTCTCACTCTATGGACTTGAGTGTTGCGTGTCCCCAGTTTGGGCGTCCCAGTTTTGTCTTGTTTTTAATTTTTTTTTTGCGTGTCCCCAGTTTTTTGTTTTTGTTTTTTTTTTTGAGATGGAGTTTCGCTCTTGTTACCCAGGCTGGAGGGCAATGGCGCGATCTCTGCTCACCGCAACCTCCGCCTCCTGGGTTCAGGCAATTCTCCTGCCTCAGCCTCCCGAGTAGCTGGGATTACAGGCACATGCCACCATGCCCAGCTAATTTTTTTTGTATTTTTAGTAGAGATGGGGGTTTCACCATGTTGATCAGGATGGTCTCGATCTCTTGACCTCGTGATCCACCCGCCTCGGCCTCCCAAAGTGCTGGGATTACAGGCGTGAGCCACCGCGCCCGGCCCAACGTGTCCCCAGTTTTAAGGCACCGCAGCAACCTGTCTCACTGAACACCAGGTGTCTAGCGTGGCCTCACTGGGAAAATAGAGAATGTGCTCTACTGTGACCCTTACCACGCCCCACCCACCGAGGAGGCAGGTCACTCTACGCATCAGCAGCAGGTAGGAGGACACGCAGGAGGGGCCCAGAAATAACCCTCGACATGCAAAGCCCCATCCCAGAAAGGAATCTAATGATTTCACCTTTCTCAAGTATTTATTCTCCCAGGCTGGGCGTGGTGGCTCACACCTGTAATCCCAGCACTTTGGGAGGCCGAGGCAGACAGATCACCTGAGGTCGGGAGTGTGAGACCAGCCTGACCAACATGGAGAAACGCCATCTCTACTAAAAATACAAAAATTAGCTGGGCGTGGTGGTGGGTGCCAATAATCCCAGCTACTTGGGAGGCCGAGGCAGGAGAATCGCTTGAACCCAGGAGGCAGAGGTTGCAGTGAGCTGAGATTGCACCATTGCATTCCAGCCTGGGCAACAGAGCAAAACTCCGTTAAAAAAAAAAAAAAAAGTATTTATTCTCCCTTACCCCAGCATCCAGGATACCCACAGGGACGTCATCCCACTTTGTGACCACCAAGATTTACTGAGCTCCAAATGAGATGGGAGACATATGGGGGCTAGTTGGGCACCTCCTGAATTCAATCTCATGGTGCCTCTATGGTTTCTTATCAGCTCCATTTTATTTATTTATCGTGAGACTGAGTCTTGCTCTTTCACCCAGGTTAGAGGGCAGTGGTGCGACCTTGGCTCACAGCAACCTCCATCTTCCGAGTTCAAGTGTCTGTCCTACCTCAGCCTCCCACGTAGTTGGGATGGTAGGTACCCGCCACCATGCCCGATTAATTTTTGTAATTTTAGTGGAGAGGAGGTTTTGCCCTGTTAGCCAGGCTGGTCTCAAACTCCTGACTTCAGGTGATCCACCTACCTCGGCCTCCCAAAATACTGGGATGACAGGTGTGAGCCACTGCGCCAGCCAGCTCCATTTCACTGATGAGCAGCTGGGGCACGAAAAGGGAACTCAGGGCTACCTACAGACTCCACATTCTGCCGTGCCCCTCAGTGAGCACCGTAACGGGCGGACCCAAGTGCGCGCTTCAGACATCTCCCCGTCGGCCTGCTTCCCACAGCCCCACTTACATCAGCTTCTCCAGGGCACAGTTGGGGTGCTTCAGGCCTTCACACAGAAACAGCATGCCTTCATCCCTCAAGGGGTTTTCTACCAAGGAGAGAAGTTTCAGCTTGGTGTTGCAGGCCAGGACAGAGGCGATGTCTTCACAAGCTTCGTGGGAGAGGTCACACTTTCCCAGTCTACACACGAGACACACACCATGAGATGGGACCGGAGCTTTCGATGACTCGTGCAAATTGGCCACGGGCCACACGACACCTCTGATCCTAATCTTGCACCTGCCCATCAGACTGAAGTACAGTGGCGCGATCTCAGCTCACTGCAACCTCCGTCTCCTGCGTTCAAGCAATTCTCCTGCCTCAGCCTCCCAAGTAGCTGGGATCACAGGCGTGCACCGCCACACCCAGCTAATTTTTCTTATTTTTTATTTTTAGTAAAGACAGGGTTTCACCGTGTTAGCCAGGCTGGTCTTAAACTCCTGACTTCAAGAGTTCTGCGCACCTCAGCCTCCCAAAGTGCTGGCATTACGGGCACCGGCCACCACACCTGGCCCACAGCTGCCTTCAGATCTCTCTTCTCCATCCTACTCAAAGGGCAAGGCACATTGCAAGTTTTAGGCATGGATTGTCTGCTCTCCATTATAATTTTTAGAAAGTTCCTCAGTCTCTAACTACTTATTGCACGCCTGTATCAAATTATCTTATGTACCCCACAGAAAGCTCCTCATTCTTCAAGCCTCTTGATTGAAAGTATGATGGGGATCTCTCGTCCCAGACCAAGGGGAAATTAGAGATAAGATGAAGAGAAGCAATATTTGAAGATAGAGATCACAGTAGAGTGTCCTCAGAAGCCTGTGCAAATTATTCATCCACAAATGTAGGAAGCTCAGTGAACGTTTAAGCAGTTTAAATACAAAGACATACCAAAACCACACAAAATTAGGGAGGAAAAAACCCTTAACATTAGCCAGAGACACGTTGCCTACCCTGGGATGAAATACTGATGGCTACACTTAGAGCATGGAAGCCAGAATGGAATGGAATTACATCGTTAACGTATGAAAGAACTTTGGGAGGCCGGGCCAGGCAGATCACAAGGTCAGGAGATCGAGACCATCCTGGTTATCATGGTGAAACCCTGTCTCTACTAAAAATACAAAAAAAATTAGCCGGGCGTGATGGCCTTGGGAGGCTGAGGCAGGAGAATCACTTGAACCCAGGAGGCAGAAGTTGCAGTGAGCTGAGATCGTGCCACTGCACTCCAGCCTGGGTGACAGAGCAAGACTCATCTTAAAAAAAAAAAAAAGGAACAAAAGAAAACATTGAAAACCTACAATTCTCTGATGTGTAGGGGAAAAGAAATCTTCAAAATTAAAATCAAAACAGGCATTCGTGGCTCATAAATACACCATGGTCACCTGGAATATACCATGGTCACCTGGAATTCACCATGGTCACCCAGAATTCACCATGGTCACCCGGAATACACCATGGTCACCCGGAATTCACCATGGTCACCCGGAATACACCATGGTCACCCGGAATACACCATGTCACCCGGAATACACCAGGGTCACCTGGAATTCACCAGGGTCACCTGGAATTCACCATGTCACCTGGGATACACCATGGTCACCTGGGATACACCATGGTCACCTGGAATACACCAGGTCACCTGGGATACACCAGGTCACCTGGGATACACCATGGTCACCTGGGATACACCATGGTCACCTGGAATACACCAGGTTACCTGGGATACACCATGGTCACCTGGGATACACCAGGTCACCTGGGATACACCATGGTCACCTGGAATACACCAGGTCACCTGGGATACACCATGGTCACCTGGGATACACCATGTCACCTGGAATACACCATGTCACCTGGGATACACCATGGTCACCTGGAAGTCACCCAGAATACACCATGGTCACCCGGAATACACCATGTCACCCGGAATACACCATGGTCACCCGGAATTCACCATGTCACCTGGGATACACCATGTCACCTGGGATACACCATGGTCACCTGGGATACACCATGTCACCTGGGATACACCAGGTCACCTGGGATACACCAGGTCACCTGGGATACACCAGGTCACCTGGGATACACCATGGTCACCTGGAATACACCATGTCACCTGGAATACACCATGTCACCTGGGATACACCATGGTCACCTGGGATACACCATGGTCACCTGGGATACACCATGGTCACCTGGAATACACCAGGTCACCTGGGATACACCATGGTCACCTGGGATACACCAGGTCACCTGGGATACACCATGGTCACCTGGAATACACCAGGTCACCTGGGATACACCATGGTCACCTGGGATACACCATGTCACCTGGAATACACCATGTCACCTGGGATACACCATGTCACCTGGGATACACCATGTCACCTGGGATACACCATGGTCACCTGGAAGTCACCCAGAATACACCATGGTCACCCGGAATACACCATGTCACCCGGAATACACCATGGTCACCTGGGATACACCATGTCACCTGGGATACACCATGTCACCTGGGATACACCAGGTCACCTGGGATACACCATGTCACCTGGGATACACCATGGTCACCTGGAATACACCATGTCACCTGGAATACACCATGTCACCTGGGATACACCATGGTCACCTGGGATACACCATGGTCACCTGGAATACACCAGGTCACCTGGGATACACCATGGTCACCTGGGATACACCATGTCACCTGGGATACACCATGTCACCTGGGATACACCATGTCACCTGGGATACACCATGGTCACCTGGAAGTCACCCAGAATACACCATGGTCACCCGGAATACACCATGTCACCCGGAATACACCATGGTCACCTGGAATTCACCATGTCACCTGGGATACACCATGTCACCTGGGATACACCATGGTCACCTGGGATACACCATGTCACCTGGGATACACCAGGTCACCTGGGATACACCATGTCACCTGGAATACACCATGTCACCTGGAATACACCATGTCACCTGGGATACACCATGGTCACCTGGGATACACCATGGTCACCTGGAATACACCATGTCACCCGGGATACACCATGTCACCTGGGATACACCATGTCACCCAGAATACACCAGGTCACCTGGGATACACCATGGTCACCTGGAATACACCAGGTCACCTGGGATACACCATGGTCACCTGGGATACACCAGGTCACCTGGAATACACCATGTCACCTGGGATACACCATGGTCACCTGGGATACACCATGGTCACCTGGAATACACCAGGTCACCTGGGATACACCATGGTCACCTGGAATACACCAGGTCACCTGGGATACACCATGGTCACCTGGAATACACCAGGTCACCTGGGATACACCATGTCACCCGGAATACACCATGTCACCTGGGATACACCATGGTCACCTGGGATACACCATGGTCACCTGGGATACACCATGTCACCTGGGATACACCATGTCACCCGGGATACACCATGTCACCGGGATACACCATGTCACCTGGGATACACCATGTCATCTGGGATACACCATGTCACCCAGAATACACCATGTCACCCGGGATACACCATGTCACCCGGAATACACCATGTCACCCGGAATACACCATGTCACCTGGGATACACCATGTCACCTGGAATACACCATGTCACCCGGGATACACCATGTCACCCGGGATACACCATGTCACCTGGGATACACCATGTCACCGGGATACACCATGTCACCCGGGATACACCATGTCACCCGGGATACACCATGTCACCCAGAATACACCAGGTCACCTGGGATACACCATGGTCACCTGGAATACACCAGGTCACCTGGGATACACCAGGTCACCTGGGATACACCATGGTCACCTGGGATACACCATGTCACCCGGGATACACCATGTCACCCGGGATACACCATGTCACCCAGAATACACCATGTCACCGGGATACACCATGTCACCTGGGATACACCATGTCACCCAGAATACACCATGTCACCGGGATACACCATGTCACCTGGCTTATAAAGGTAAGGACTGTTGGTTGCTCACTTGAGGAAAAGCCATCTTCAACAGCATTCTGTGTTCATATGTGCAAACGTTTTTCTTAAACCCGACTTTATACTTCACAGAAACATTGATTCAAAGTAGATTATAGCCCCAGTTTGCATGGTAAAATAAGGCTTTTAGAGAAAAATGCACAGCAGTTATCTATGACTTTGGGCCTGGAAACAATTCTTTTTTCCTCTGAGACTGGGTCCTACCCTGTCATTCCGATTGGAGTGCAGTGCAGCGATGACAGCTCCTTGGACCTTTGGGCTCAAGAGATCCTCCTGTCAGCCTCCCGAGTGACTACAGGTATGTACCACCATACCTAGCGAATTTCTTTTTTAGAGACGGGGGTCTCACTATGTTGCCCAGGCTGGTCTCTACCTCCTGGCCTCAAGTGATCCTCCTGCCTCAGCCTCCCGAGTGACTACAGGTATGTACCACCATACCTAGCGAATTTCTTTTTTAGAGACGGGGGTCTCACTATGTTGCCCAGGCTGGTCTCTTCCTCCTGGCCTCAAGTGATCCTCCTGCCTCAGCCTCCCAAAGTGCTGGGATCACAGGCATGAGCCTCCAAGCCTGGCAACAGTTCCCTAAACACACGCAAAAGACAGCTGAACGTGAAAAGATCAATGTAGTTTTGATAAGGAATCTCTCTGAATTCAAAGATGATGTTAAGAATGTGGAAAACCAAACCACACAGAAGATATTTGCAACGCATATAAATCTGACCCAGGATTCATTCTGCAATATAGAAAGAACACCCATCCGTCAATTAGAAAAAGACAACCAAACAAAACCATGGGCTACACCAGCACATCAAACAGACACATCCCAACAGGAAGCCCAGAAAATCAAACGCATGAAAAGGCTCCCAAATTCTTAGTCATCAGAGAAATGCAAATTAAATCCACTCAGACATTATGCCCTAAGCAGAATGGATTTGAAAAGATCAACACCATCAAATGTGGTGAGAAGGTGGGACACGTAGAACAGGTTCATTTCACGGGAGTATAATCCGGGGAAGCCTCTGGTTAAAAGAAACTGATTCAGTCTAGTTTCACTGCAAGTTTTATAAAAGGTTATTTTTAAAAGCAGCTTTGGGCCAGGCACGGTGGCTCACACCTGTAATCCCGGCACTTTGGGAGGCCGACTCTGGTAAATCACCTGCGGTCAGGAGTTTGAGACCAGCCTGGCCAACATGGAGAAATCCTGTCTCTACTAAAAATACAAAAAATTAGCCAGGCATGGTGGTGCACACCTGTAATTCCAGCTACTCGGGAGACTGAGGCAGGAGAATCACTTGAACCTGGGAGGCGGAGGTTATGGTAAGCCGAGAGATGGCACCACTGCACTCCAGCCTGGGCAACAAGAGTAAAACTCTACCTTAAAAAAATTTTTAATTTAAAAATAAAAAAAAATTAAAACAGCTTTGTACATTTCATTAGTAAAATTTTCTGGTTGTAAGAATGCACTGTTGTGTAAGGTGTTACCTTTGGTGGAAGCTGGGTGATGGTTGGGACGTGGGACTTCTCTATACTGATTTCCTGTGAGTATAATAATCTTTTAATAAAAATAAACAATGACAAAGTAAAATGGCTGATGTGGGAAAACAGGTGTTTGCCATAAAGGTTTCCAGACACACATGAATTAAGGCGGTGGTATCCACAAAAGCGTCCAGGGCCTCTGCATACTATTGGATGGTTTTTTCCCTAGCACAAGAGCCCCTGCATTACATTTAAGCAAATGTCTCCTTCTGTTTTAGCCAAGCTGACCCCCTCCCACCACCAGAAGAGAGGCATCACTCTAATCTATCCTAGGGCACGTCGCAGACTAGCCCTGCTGACATTTGGACTAGACAATCTTTCATTGTTGGGGCGCTGTCCTGCACATTACTGGCTATTTAGCAGCAATCTTGGTGCCCAAATCTCATCCTGTAGCTCCCATAGTCCCCACGTGTTATGGGAGGGACCCAGTGGGAGATAATTAAATCATGGGGGCAGGTCTTTCCCATGCCGTTCTCGTGACAGTAAGTCTCACAAGATCTGATGGTTTTATAAAGGGGAGTTTCCCTGCACATGCTTTTCTCTCTTGTTTGCCACCATGTGAGATGTGCCTTTCACCTTCCACTACGATTGTGAGGCCTCCCTAGCCACATGGAAGTACTGTTAAGTCCAATATATCCCTTCCTTTCGTAAATTACCAAATCTCGGGTATGTCTTTCCAGCAGCGTGAAAACGGCTTAACAGGCTTGGTCGCTATCCACCAGATGCCAGCAGCAGCCCCCAACTCAGTTGTGATCACTGAACGTGTCTCTCAACATTGACATCCCCTAAGAGACAAAACTCCCCGCATTGATAACTACTTAGAGAGAACCTGATTTGAAGACCTCCCACCACCAACACCACACTGAAGTAAATGAAGTCTGCCCCAAAAGGCAACATTTCTACCTACATTATGTTCTCCAATCCTTATGCTAATATATAATAGATGAATAATGTATTCTATTATATACAAATAGCGTAATTTGAAACAGAGCAAAAATACTATGGAATTTTGAAAGTTTCCCCTGAGAAGAGAAAGAGTAGCATTGAAAAAAAAAAGAAAGTTGTCATGCACTGTTCACAATAGCAAAGACCTAGAACCAACCCAAATGCCCATCAGTGACAGACTGGATAAAGCAAATGTAGCACATACACACCATGGAATACTATGCAGCCACAGAAAAGGAACAAGATCGTGTCCTTTGCAGGGACATGGATAAAGCTAGAAACCATCATTCTCAGCAAACTGACACAGGAACAGAAAACCAAACACCGCGTGTTCTCACTCATAAATGGGTGTTGAACAATGAGAACACATGGACACAGGGAGGGGAACATCACACACTGGGGCCTGTTGGGGGGTGGGGGACTAGAGGAGGGAGAGCATTAGGAGAAATACCTAATGTAGATGACAAAGGGGATGGATGCAGCAAACCATATGGCACATGTATACCTAACAAACAGGCACATTCTGCACATGTACCCTGGAACTTAAAAGTATAATTTTTAAGCCGGGCGCAGTCGCTCACGCCTGTGATCCCAGCACTTTGGGAGGCCGAGGCGGGTGCATCACGAGGTCAAGAGATCCAGACCATCCTGGTCAACATGGTGAAACCCCGTCTCTACTAAAAATACAAAAAATTAGCTGGGCACGGTGGTGCGCGCCTGTAATCCCAGCTACTCGGGAGGCTGAGGCAGGAGAATTGCCTGAACCAAGGAGGCGGAGGTTGCGGTGAGCCGAGATCGCGCCATTGCACTCCAGCCTGGGTAACAAGAGCGAAACTCCGTCTCAAAAAAAAAAGTTGCCATGATACGGAAACAGCTTGAATGAGGAATGATATCCACAGCAGTTCTACGAACAACCCTTATGCACAGAACCTGCCTCTTTCTCCCAAAGAGTCTGGACACATAAAATTAACAGAGGATAGGTGAATCTGTCAATTACATTCTGATGGTTCCCGCAACAAAGAGACAGTGAACTGGGAGAGAGAAGACCGTATTCTCTTGGCGGGTTTCCTGAGCTGACTTCGCTTACTGCTGCCTCAATGACTCCCTTTGTTCTCTTTTGAAAGATACACAGGCTCTCCTTAAAAATCACCCAGTTAAGAGAGGGGCAGCCCAGAAAATTTTCAAGAGAAAGACGTGACTTTGGGCAAGTGACATTTCCCTTGGCTTTAATGCTGTCAACTGACAAATGAGATAATCACACTTGTGATCTTTTTTTTTTTTTTTGAGACGGAGTTTCGCTCTTGTTACCCAGGCTGGAGGGCAATGGCGCGATCTCGGCTCACCGCAACCTCCGCCTCCTGGGTTCAGGCAATTCTCCCGCCTCAGCCTCCCGAGTAGCTGGGACTACAAGCACCCGCCACCATGCCCAGCTAATTTTTTGTGTTTTTAGTAGAGACGGGGTTTCACCATGTTGACCGGGATGGTCTTGATCTCTTGACCTCGTGATCCACCCACCTCGGCCTCCCAAAGTGCTGGGATTACAGGCGTGAGCCACCGCGCCCGGCCACTTGTGATCATTAACATGCTTCACTTTTCAGTTTCTATAAATATCTTTACGAAAAAAATCGTGTTGTTTTATCCATGTTTGTTGACGGCAGAAGCAAGAAGTCTCAAGTGAGGTGTCCGTGAGATGAGGCTGGGTGCAGCCACTCATGGGGAGTACCGTGATCCCAGTACTTTAGGAGGTCAGGGCGGGCAGATCACTTGAGACCAGGAGTTCGAGATCAGCCTGGGCACTAGGGTGAAACCCCACCTCTACAGAAAATATAAAAATAGCTGTGTGTGGTGGCGTGCACCTGTAATTCTAGCTACTCAGGAGGCTGAGGTGGAAGGATCACTTGAGCCCAGGAGGCTGAGGTTGCAGTGAGCCAAGATCGTGTCACTGCACTTCAGTCGGGGCAACAGAGTGAGACCCTGTCTCAAAAAAAAAAAAAAAAGGAATTAAAGTGAGATGGGAAGGCGAAAACAAACGTTCTGAGGAGGCCTTGCCCACTGGAGTGTACCTTCACCTTACCAGACAGACTGAGATCCGAAAGATGAAAAACGAGAGAGGTGAGGACATGCAGCGGCCCCTGCAGACGGAAACCCCGGTAAAAACAGCACTCGGCACGAACAGCCCAGACTCACATCAGCTCCTGTATCTTACACACTGGGTGCTTCAGAGTCTCACACAGGTACTTGACTTCGCTGTGGCAGAGGCTAGTGCCATACAGGCTCAGCATTTTCAGGTGAGGGTTGTGAAGAACAGCCCTAAACAATCCTGAATCCTGTCCAAAGTTAGACATAAAAGTAAGCCTGGAAAAGATGAAAAAATACGTAGTCACGCGACGAGATCCCAGCGCGAAGCCAGACACCTCTTGTACGACGCTTCCTGCCCCGCACGCTTGGCCTCACGACGCCGTTTCTGGAATTCCGGTCACTCCTGCTCGTAAATTATTTCTCGGTGGGTCTTCAGACAGCAGACAAGCACAGGGGCTCGAGCTGTTGGGCGTTTTCCTGTTTGTTCCTAGTCTGTCCACCAGTACATGACAGCAAGCACATGAGGAAAAGGAGTCAGAGGAATCCCGTGTTCAGCTGAGCCCCTGAGAACGGGGACAAACTATGCTTGTACCTCTGTGTGTTCCAAGATTCACGCCTCACATAAAATAGTCCCCGTATCCGAGGAAAGAACCCATTTCCTTTTCAAAACTAAGATTTTTTTAAATAGAGGAGACAATGTTAAGCACTGTCAAAAAAAAAACTCAGGCTCCAGAGTTGCAGAAAACTGGATCTGACGTTTTGCTTTCCTCCTTGTTGGTTTCGCAAGATTGGGCAAACAACCTAACGGCTGTGTGGTCCAGTCTCTTCATGAAATAAAAAAATACGGTCATGTGATTGAGAAATCAGCATTTAAGGCCGGGCACGGTGGCTCACACCTGTCATCCCAGCACTTTGGGAGGCCGAGGCAGGCAGATCACATGAGGTCAGGAGTTTGAGACCAGCCTAGCCAACAAGGCGACCCCGTCTCTACTAAAAATACAAAAAATTGGCTGGGCATGGTGGTGCACGCCTGTAGTCCCAGCTACTCAGGAGGCTGAGGCAGGAGAATTGCCTGAACCCAGGAGGCGGAGGTTGCAGTGAGATCACGCCATTGCACTCCAGCCTGGGCAACAGGAGCAAAAAGTCCGTCTCAAAAAAAAGAAATTAGCATTTATTGTAATGCCTGGAACACAGGCAATTCATGTTGGCTCTTATTTTAATATCTACATGTATTTGTCATATGTGTATTTATAAACCAAATACGTATCTATAAAACAGATATATACTTACCAGATAAATATGTATTTACAAACCAGAATATGTACTTATAAACCAGAGAAACATATGTATTTATATATTAGCCTGATAAATGTGTATTTACAAAGCAGACACGTAAGTATAAACACGTGACACGTACAAACTGCTGCGTCGGACTCCTGGTACTATAGCATGAGGATACCCCGATTTCTCTCCCAGTCAACTTCAGCAATGACAGAACTTTAAAAGTAAATATTCTGCCATGTTCAAAAACTAGAATGGGAATTTTGAGTAGGCCAGAATCAAAAGACAATGAAGGGCAGATTGCAGAAGGAAATGGCAGGCCGGAGGAACTGCGGAGATTGCCGGCAACGACCCCCTCAATGTACGAGCGACATCCAGGTACCACCTGCCCGTGGAAAGCGGGCATTCCCTGTCAGCCACAGTCTGGACAGTGAGCCACCATCATCAGTTAGGTCCGTGGAAACCCTCCCGAAATCCAAGTGGCAAGACATCAGCCAAAGGCTAACCCAGCAAACAGGCCGTTCTAGAGACAGCCGTCCTGAGTCCGCTGTGTTCACTTTCTTCTGCTCAGTATGTTGGCCAATAATTCGATGCAGTAACTCTTACCAAAAATATGTATAAGGTGCTTTGGGAGCACAGAAAGTCTTGTATGATGACAGGACCTTTCGAGCTGAAGGAAGACTTAAATTTAACCCAACAGCAGTAAGTTGGCTCACAGGGTGAACAGAAGAGCGTGGCCCAGGCCCAAGTATCAGGACAGCTGTGCTTCTCTCTACCCTCTCATACATTATGTGCATAAAACAACAAAAACGTCATCAGGATTCAAAGAAACTGAAGAAACGACTGCACAGTAGCACCCTGCTCTGTTTTATAAACGGTGCCTACTGTTTATCATTTTTCTTTTTTTTTTTTTTTTGAGACGGAGTTTCGCTCTTGTTACCCAGGCTGGAGTGCAATGGCGCGATCTCGGCTCACCGCAACCTCCGCCTCCTGGGTTCAGGCAATTCTCCTGCCTCAGCCTCCCGAGTAGCTGGGATTACAGGCACGCGCCACCATGCCCAACTAATTTTTTGTATTTTTAGTAGAGATGGGGTTTCACCATGTTGACCAGGATGGTCTTGATCTCTTGACCTCGTGATCCACCCGCCTCGGCCTCCCAAAGTGCTGGGATTACAGGCTTGAGCCACCGCGCCCAGCCTATTATTTTTCTTTTTTACAAAATGGAAGCCTATTTCTCTGTCTGTCCTCAGCACTCTTCCTTCCTTGCCTGGGAAACATCTCTTCTCCACCCATCCACATCCGAGCAAAGCTCACCCCTAACCAGGACTGCTCCCTCCCTGTCCCTCCGACTAGATTTCATTCTAGACGTCACTATGTTTAAGACACTGGACTGCAGCTCTTCATTGACGCACCGGTCTTCTTCAAAAAAGGCACCAGTAGAGAGGAGGAAGGTCTGCTCTTTGCTTAAGGGACAAGTTAACGTTGAACTTACATGAGTTTTTGGAGTTTACAAACGGGCCGAGCCAGCGCTTTGCAAAGAACGGCCAGGGAGGCGTCGTCGAAGCTGGTGTTCTCCACGTCTAACACCTGGAAGTTCTTGTTGTTACTGAACATTGAGCAAAGCTCCCGCCAGTACATGAGCTTCTCATTGTGTCTATGGGAGAACAGAGACGAACTGTCCAGTGGCCAAACTCCATTCGAGACATTCTCAAAAAACCATTTCCAAAGCCCCTCAAAGCTGACGAGACACCCAGGCCCGAAGAGGGAGGAGGTCAGCCAGACAAACTGAGGCAACATGACACAGTAGTTAGAAAGCAGGCCCTGGCCGGGCAGAGGGGCTCAAGCCTTAATCCCAGCACTTTGGGAGGCCGAGGCAGGCAGATCACCTGAGGTCAGGAGTTCAAGACCACCCTGGCCAACATGACGAAACCCCGTCTCTACTAAAAATAAAAATAAATTAGCCGGGTGTGTGGCATATGCCTGTAGTCCCAGCTACTCAGGAGGCTGAGGTAGGAGAATCACTTGAACCCAGGAGGTGGAGGTTGCAGTGAGCCAAGACTGTGCCACTGCACTCCAGCCTGGGCAATAGAGTGAGACTCCATCTCAAAAAAAAAAAAAAAAAAAGAGAGAGAAAAGAAAAAAGAAATTAGCCAGGTGTGGTGGCATATACCTGTAGTCCCAACTATCTGGGGGCTGAGGTGGAAGGATCGCTTGAGCCCAGAAGTCCAAGACTAAAGTGAGCTGCACTATGCTAGGGAAACAGAGCAAGACCCTGTCTCCAAAAAAAAAAAAAAAAAAAAAAAAAAAGTGAGCATTGTTTACAATCGCAAAGACATGGAATCAACCTAAATGTCCATCAGTGATAGACTGGATGAAGAAAAAGTGATACATCAGGCGGGGCGCGGTGGCTCATGCCTGTAATCCCAGCACTTTGGGAGGCCGAGGCGGGTGGATCACGAGGTCGAGAGATCGAGACCATCCTGGTCAACATGGTGAAACCCCGTCTCTACTAAAAATACAAAAAATCAGCTGGGCATGGTGGCGCGTGCCTGTAATCCCAGCTACTCGGGAGGCTGAGGCAGGAGAATTGCCTGAACCCAGGAGGCGGAGGTTGCGGTGAGCCGAGATCGCGCCATTGCACTCCAGCCTGGGTAACAAGAGCGAAACTCCATCTCAAAACAAAAGAAAAAGTGGTACAGCAACACCATGGAATACAATGCAGCCATAAAAAGGAACAAGACCATGTCCTTTGCAGGGACATGGATGGAGCTGGCAGCCATTATCCTCAGCAAAGCAGCGCAGCAACAGAAAACCAAATACCACATGTTCTCACTTCTAAGTGGGAGATGAACAATGAGAACACATGGACACAGGAAGGGGAACAACACACACCGGGGCCTGTTGGAGTGTGGGGTTGGGAGGAGGGAGAGCATCAGGAAGAATAGCTAGTGAGTGCTGGGCTTGATACCTGGGCGATGACACGATCCGTGCAGCAGACCACCACGGCCCACGTGTACCTGTGTTAGACACCCGCACATCCTGCACGTGAACCCCCGAATACCTGGGCCATGACACGATGTGTGCAGCAGACCACCACGGCCCACGTGTACCTGTGTTAGACACCCGCACATCCTGCACGTGAACCCCCGAATACCTGGGCCATGACACGATGTGTGCAGCAGACCACCACGGCCCACGTGTACCTGTGTTAGACACCCGCACATCCTGCACGTGAACCCCCGAATACCTGGGCCATGACACGATGTGTGCAGCAGACCACCACGGCCCACGTGTACCTGTGTTAGACACCCGCACATCCTGCACGTGAACCCCCGAATACCTGGGCCATGACACGATGTGTGCAGCAGACCACCACGGCCCACGTGTACCTGTGTTAGACACCCGCACATCCTGCACGTGAACCCCCGAATACCTGGGCCATGACACGATGTGTGCAGCAGACCACCACGGCCCACGTGTACCTGTGTTAGACACCCGCACATCCTGCACGTGAACCCCCGAATACCTGGGCCATGACACGATCCGTGCAGCAGACCACCACGGCCCACGTGTACCTGTGTTAGACACCCGCACATCCTGCACGTGAACCCCCGAATGTAAAAGTTGGAAATAAAAATGAAGTGGATCCCCAGACAAGAGGAATTGACTGGACTCAAACCCTGGTGTAACCGCTTAGTGACTGTGACCCCGCACAAGCCATCCGGCCTTTCTCTGCTGCATTCCCTCCTCTTTTAGATGAGAATACCTGATTGTTATGTGAACAAGGGTTCTTTGGTGACCTCTCAGTGAATAGACAGCTATATCCATAAACAGTATCATGAACAAGAGTCCCCTCCCAGTGAGGTCACCAGAGGATACTGCACATGCTCGGGGGGAGGGGGGAAAAGCACAGTCTGAAAACAATAAAATTGGTTTAAAAAACAAAGGCAAAAGAGGTGGAAGGCACGCCACAGTGGCTCATGCTCATGCTTGTAATCCCAGCACTTTGGGCGGGTCACCTGAGGTCAGGAGTTCGAGACCAGCCTGGTTAACATGGCAAAACCCCACCTCTAACAAAAATACAAAATTAGCCAGACACGGTGGCACATGCCTGTAGTCCCAGCTACTCAGGAGGCTGAGGCGGGAGAGTCGCCTGAACACCAGAGGTGGAGGTTGCAATGAGCCGAGATCACGCCACTGCACTGCAGCCTGGGCGACAGAGCAAGACTCCGTCTCAAAAAAGGAAAATCCTGCCAGCCTCTCAACTTCACACATTGGCGCTATGAAGTAGATAAAACTTTTAACCCTCTTTATGCACATGGAAGAAGTTCACGAAGTCGCAGCTCATGATCCCACAGCTGGCAAACATGGAAGGGAAGCCTCTCTGCCCGGGCCCTCCTTGCTCTAAACACAATAGAATAAGGCCCATGAAAAACCCACTGGACCCCAGCACACACTCCAAGCGTAGTGCCCGGGGCGGGGGATTCACAGACGGACTCACTCTGAGGCACATCCCGAGTCGTCGGGAAAGATGTTCTCCATACACAGGCGAAGGGTGGTGAGGTTGTGACTGCGCTTCACGCAGAAGGACGCGATCACCAGGTGTTCTATGTTCGCGATATAAACGTACACTTCTTCGAAGAAACTCATCACTCGTGTGACAAATGCTTCCTCCTGAGTTTCAAATAAACAGCTGAATAACTCCTGGAAACCTATGGCTTCCCTGTCGGCTTCACGCTGACTGAAACCTCGAAGGCACTGGGCTATTTCCTGCTGGAGGTCTTTGGACAGCGGAAAACCGAAGGATGCCTCCAGCATGCCAGCGATCTCTTCCGAGGAAACTCCAAACACAAACACCCCCATCTGGGTCAGGACGTTCTGAGGTCGAGCCACGCTCGCTCTCACAAGCTGGGTTACGCTTCCGACGGCCGGGTTGGGACTGTCTTTGGGTCCCCTGAGCAAATAGAACATGGCAGCACAGAACTCTTGGATGCACACGTGGCTGAAGGTGAAACGGTCACCTGACCTCCGCAGGAGGTTCATGCCCACCCACATCCAGCCCTCGGACTCAGACAACCCGTTCCTCCGGAGATCCTCACGGCAAAATACGAACGTGTGTGTCCACAGTCCCTCTGCAGCCAAAGCGCTCAGGTTTTTCAGTCGGGCTCTGTTCAACTTAGGTGGGGAACTCTGACTTCCCGCCTTGAATACGTTGGTTATAAAGGATGCATGTAAGGAGGTGGTGTTTTGGGAGTTTATTTCAAGGTCTTCTCCCCTCTCTAGCCTGTATTTCATGCAAGTACAGACCAACCAGCATATAAAGGGATTATGGCACAAGATAAACAGCGGTCCAATCTCTCTGACAAAATTAAAGACTTTTGAGGCTTTACTCTTCTCGCCAAAGAAGCAGGAGAAATACATCTTCCTCTCAGGTTCAGTGAAACCCGAGAGCTTGATGAGTTTGGGACGCTGCAGCAAAAAGTAGTTCTTCCGCATACCCACCTGTCCTAACGCGAGCAGCAGGGAGCACTCCGGAAGCATCTTCCTCTGCAGCAAACTGCTCAGGATAACGGGCAACGGCAGCCGCTGCCTCCAGTCACCACACAGGTCGGCCTCCTGGTCCAAGTCAAGCCTCAGCTGCTCAAAGCCGTCCATGATCAAGAGAATTCGCTCTGGCTGGGAAAGAATGTCTTCCATCTTCTCTGAGGACTCAGGCCAGTCCCTGGAGAGGAGCTCGGGTAAGCTGGTCTCTGTGACACTGTTCATTTCATAGACCGTGAGGAAAAACACAAAGGTGAACCTGTCCTTCCATAAGTTCCCCTCTGCCCAGTCCAACATCACTTTTCTCAAAAGGGTCGTCTTTCCGATTCCGTCAGGACCCTCCACGACCACAGTGACCGGCGCGGCCGCAGCAGCATATGCCTTGTTCAGCACCGTGCACTCGTGTTTCATGCTTTCCTTGTAGAAATGCTCGGGGACCTGAAGACACGTTTCCTTTTCCCATATGAGTTGAAACTTTTCCTTTATTTGTTTTCTATATGGGTTTAGCTTACCTGTGTTAATGAGAACAGAAGACAGGTAAAAACGCACCCATTCTTTTACACTCCTCAGAACTGTAACAACAAAAAAACTCTAATACCCGCCAGCCATCTGAATGGAGGGCGTTCTTAGAGCCCTTTTCAAATTTAACCCGAAAGGCCGGGCGCAGTGGCTCACGCCTGTAATCCCAGCACTTTGGGAGGCCGAGGCGGGTGGATCACGAGGTCAACAGATCAAGACCATCCTGGTCAACATGGTGAAACCCCGTCTCTACTAAAAATACAAATAATTAGCTGGGCACGGTGGCGCGTGCCTGTAATCCCAGCTACTCGGGAGGCTGAGGCAGGAGAATTGCCTGAACCCAGGAGGCGGAGGTTGCGGTGAGCCGAGATCGCGCCATTGCACTCCAGCCTGGGTAACAAGAGCGGAACTCCGTCTTAAAAAAAAAAAAACTCAATCAATTCTCAATCTGAGAATTTTTAAACCCGCCTATAATCTGCAAGCGTCCCCCAACCCCCAGGAGCTTCCAGTTGTCCCCCCTTTCTCAGCCAAACCAATGTGTTTCTTATATGCATTTGACTGAAGTCTGACATCTCCCTAACATGTATAAAATCAACCTGCACCCCAACCACCTTGGGGACATGTTCTCGGGACCTCCTGAAGGCTGTGTCACAGGCCAGGGTCACTCGTATTTGGCTCAGAATAAATCTTTTTAAACATACTACAGAATGTGACTCTCTTCACTGGCAGAAGGACGCCTGAAGGTTCACTGGCACACACAGGCGAAGGCTGGCACACATACCAAGGTAACCAGGCTGGTTAACAGAGCTTTGTCTGGACCGTAATCTGTCCGAAATCATGTTCATGGAAACACGTGACCAAATCGGAAACCTAGAGTGGCAGGCCACTGTGAGGTTTCCAAGCTGGAAGGGGTGGCATCTCCCCGGTACAGAATCCGAAAGCACCTCCATTTCCACCATTTATTTGCGAAGGACGTACCGGAGTCAGGGATGAGAGTACGAGGGCTGACTCTGCACATCTCATCTCAACAACTCCTTACGGTTCATCCTACTTCCACTTTCCCAAAACAAGTATTGAGTTGATGTGTCTGGACTAATTTAGACTGAAGAATCAGTATCAAGGGTCGGGTGTACGAACCACGCGTGTTGGATGTGAAGCCGTAAGGTCTAGGTTTTTCTCTGGCATCGTGCTGCTGTGCTGAATTTCAGAAATGCACCTCTGAAGCAGCACTTGCTTTTTTCCTGTGGGGACGGGCTCTCACTCCGTCGCCCAGGCTGCAGTGCAGTGGCACAATGTCAGCTCATGCAACCTCCCACTCCCGGGCTCAAGTGATCCTCCTGCGTCAGACTCCCGAGCAGCTGGGACTAGAGGCATGTGCCACCACACTTGGTTAATTTTTGTTTGTTGGTAGAGATGGGATTTCGCTACGTTGCCCAAGGTGGTTTCAAACTCCTGGGCTCACGCGATCCACCCACGCTGGCTTCCCAAAGTGCCGGAATTACAGATGTGAGCCACCGTGCCCACCTCAACCTTCCTTCTTTCAACTTGCCTTTCTGGCCTTCACCTGCCTTTCTGTCACTTCATTTTGGTCAACGGTGTTATAGTAACTGAGATTTGACTGTCTCTGTTTAAACATCCAATGTTACCCCAACGATCAGAAACAAAATCCTCCTCTACCTTCTCCCATCAGCCAGCTTTGCCTTCCCTATACACCGGGACAGACATAAAGACATTCCTTTCATCCTTCAGTGGCAGTTCACCTAGACTCCTAACATGACAATGGCTTTGGGGCCTCTTGATGACAGTCCCTCTTAATCCCGATTGTTAAGAACCAGGATTGCAACCTTTATCGGATCTTTCCAGTAATAGCTGCTATTAAGCCAAAATGTAGAAACTTGTAAGAATTCTGGCCGGGTGCGGTGGCTCACACCTGTAGTCCCAACACTTTGGGAGGCCAGGAGCTCAAACCAGCCTGGCCCACACGGTGAAACCCCATCTCTACTAAAAATACAAAAATTAGCTGGGAGTGGTGGCAGGTGCCTATGGTTCCAGCTACTCAGGAGGCCGAGGCGCAGGAATTCTTGAACCTAGGAGGCTGGAGATTACAATAAGCCAAGATGCACCACTGCACTCAAGTGTGGGCAGCAGAATGAGACTCTGTCTCCAAAAAAACAAACAAACTTTCCCTGTATCAATTGCTTCTAAAATTGATCTCCTCTATGTAACTTTCCCCTAATTTCTGCATTCTCTTTAATTAAACTGATAGCCAGTAACCTATCAGCAAAATACATATTTTTTTTTTTTTTTTGAGACGGAGTTTCGCTCTTGTTACCCAGGCTGGAGTGCAATGGCGCGATCTCGGCTCACCGCAACCTCCGCCTCCTGGGTTCAGGCAATTCTCCTGCCTCAGCCTCCCGAGTAGCTGGGATTACAGGCACGCGCCACCATGCCCAGCTAATTTTTTTAATTTTTAATAGAGACGGGGTTTCACCATGTTGACCATGATGGTCTCGATCTCTTAACCTCATGATCCACCCACCTCAGCCTCCCAAAGTGCTGGGATTATAGGCGTGGGCCACCACACTCGGCTGGTGATAATCTTTTTTTTTTTTTTTTTTTTTTGAGACGGAGTTTCGCTCGTTACCCAGGCTGGAGTGCAATGGCGTGATCTCGGCTCACCACAACCTCCGCCTCCTGGGTTCAGGCAATTCTCCTGCCTCAGTCTCCTGAGTAGCTGGGATTACAGGCGTGCACCACCATGCCCAGCTAATTTTTGTACAAAATACATATTTTATGCAAAGTTTAATGAGTGATGAGAAATGGGGAAGGGAAAAAAGTTAAAATTCTGTTCATAATCTGAGTTTTCAAATTTCAGAAAAATCTCAGGTCTGGGAAGGGAACGAACAGACCGCAGAGGGACCCTACGGCTGCTCACATAAAGGCAAGGACGGTTCCTCCAACAGTTTGTTCTCCTTGCACGCTCGACTGTGGACACAAGAGGGCGCCGCATCCGCTTTTACTCTCCGCTGTGTCCTTTACCACCAACACCGAGTTGTCAAGTCTCTGAGCAGTGACCGAGTCTGTGCAAAGTTATTATTGTAAAACCATCTCGAATTTAAAACATAGGTGCCGGGCGCGGTGGCTCACGCCTGTAATCCCGGCACTCTGGGAGTGCTGAGGCAAGAGGATCACTTGACGCCAGGAGTTCGAGACCAGCTTGGCCAACACAGTGAGACTTCGTCTCTATTAAAAAATAATAAGGCCGGGCGCAGTGGCTCACGCCTGTCATCCCGGCACTTTGGGAGGCCGAGGAGGGCGGGTCATGAGGTCAGGAGATCTAGACCATCCTGGTCAACATGGTGAAACCCCGTCTCTACTAAAAATACAAAAAATTAGCTGGGCATGGTGGCGCGTGCCTGTAATCCCAGCTACTCAGGAGGCTGAGGCAGGAGAATTGCCTGAACCCAGGAGGCGGAGGTTGCGGTGAGCCGGGATTGCGCCATTGCACTCCAGCCTGGGTAACAAGAGTGAAACTCCGTCTCAAAAAAAAAAAAAATAGCTGCCAGGCACGGTGTCTCACGCCTGTAATCCCAGCACTTTGGGAGGCCGAGGCAGGTGGATCACGAGGTCAAGAGATCGAGACCATCCTGACCAACATGGTGAAACCCCGTCTCTACTAAAAATACAAAAATTAGCCGGGCATGGTGGCGCGTGCCTGTAGTCCCAGCTACTCGGGAGACTGAGGCAGGAGAATTGCCTGAACCCAGGAGGCAGAGGTTGCGGTGAGCCGAGATCGCGCCATTGCACTCCAGCCTGGCGCCTGGCAACAGAATGAGACTCTGTCTCAAAAATAATAATAAAAATGATAAAACATGTAGATAAAGAGAAAGGAAATAAGGCCATCCCAAAATGTCATCAGTGTATGTAATCATGGTTCACAGCTTGATCTGAGTCCGGATTACTCCCTGTTTTCCTTCTGCCTAAGTTTTCTCCCTACAGTAGTTACATTGTATGCACTATTTCAGTTTTTCACTGAACATTACTGACATCATTTTCCATCGTAAAACCCTGTGCTCTTTATTGATTTATTTTGTGAGGTGGAGTCTCATTCTACGGCCGAGCCTAGAGTCAGTGGTGTCATCTCGGCTCACTGTAACTTCTGCCTCCCAGGTTCAAGAGATTCTCATGCCTCAGCCTCAAGAGCAGCTGGGATTACAGGGGCGAGCCATCACGCCTGGCTCATTTTTGTATGTTTGGTAGATACAGGGTCTCGCCATGTTGGCCAGGCTGGTCTCGAACTCCTGACCTCAGGTGATCTGCCCACCGCAACCTCCCAAAGCGCTGGGATTACAGGTATGAGCCACTGTGCCCAGCAAAACCCTATGGAATTTAATTTTTTTTTTTGAGATGGAGTTTCGCTGTTGTTACCCAGGCTGGAGTGCAATGGCGCGATCTCGGCTCACCGCAACCTCCACCTCCTGGGTTCAAGCAATTCTCCTGCCTCGGCCTCCTGAGTAGCTGGGATTACAGGCAGGCACCACCACGCCCAGCTAATTTTTGTATTTTTAGTAGAGATGGGGTTTCACCATGTTGACCAGGATGGTCTTGATCTCTTGACCTTGTGATCCACCCGCCTCGGCCTCCCAAAGTGCTGGGATTACAGGCGTGAGCCACCGCGCCCGGCCTATTACTCACTTTCTATATTTGCCCATAATAAATATTTGCTGACAGCTTTTTTTTTGAGATAAAATTCATAAGCAGGAGAACGATCCAAGATGGCCGATCGCTAACATCCCGGGATTGCAGCTCTCAGGGAAGGCGCGGAGAACTAGAGGACGCCACACTTTCAGACAAAGTCTGGTCGCTCACAGAGCAGAAGATCCCCCAGTGGTGGAAACACACGGGTCGCCAGTGCGACTCTCGAGGTCGGCGCAGTGGTTCCGCCGGCACCTCCGCCCGGCAGCTCTCGGAGCAGAGTAAACGGGACCGCTTCCCCTTCTGACCGAGGTTTGGAGCCCCGGGGAGGCAGAGTCGCCTACTACGGAAACAAGAAGGAAGCCCGACAGGAGAATCCTGGGCAGAAAAGCACCATCAGTTTTAACGCCGCTGCTCTGGCCCTGGGAACTAACAACCTGGACGTCCACTCAAGAGACCTAATCTGAAAGTTGGTAATTTCAAAGACGAGAGGAGGATAAATTTACAATGACGGGAAGAAACCAGCGTAAAAAAGCTGAGAATACTCAAAGTCAGAACGCCTCTCCCTCTAAAGATGATCACAGTTCCACATCAACAATGGAACAAGGCCTGATGGAGAACGAGCGCCTCCTGATGACAGAATCACTCTTCAAGGAATGGATAATAACAAACTTCGGTGAGTTAAAAGAACACGTTGTAGCCCAACGTAAAGAAACTAGGAACTTTGACAAAAGGCTTGATGAAATCCTACTGAGAATAGACAACTTAGAGAGGAGTATGAGTGAATTAATGGAACTGAAGAATACAATACAGGAACTCCAAGAAGTATGCACAGGTTTAAACACTCGAATTGTTCAAGCAGAAGAAGGGATATCAGAGGTCAAAGTCCAACTTAATGAAATAAAACGTGAAGAAAAGATTAGAGAAAAAAGGATAAAAAGGAATGAGCAAAGTCTCCAAGAAATGTGGGACTATGTGAAAAGACCAAATTTACGTTTGATAGGTGTACCTGAATGCAACGGAGAGAATGAATCCAAGCTGGAAAATACCCTTCAGGATATTATTCAGGAAAATTTTCCTAAACTAGCAAAGCAGGTCAACATTCAACCCCAGGTAATACAGAGAACACCACAAAGATATTCCTCAAGAAGAGCAACCCCAAGGCACATAATCGTTAGATTCACCAGGGTTGAAACGAAGGAGAGGATACTAAGGGCAGCCAGAGAGAAAGGTCGGATAACCCACAAAGGCAAGCCTATCAGACTTACAGCAGATCTCTCGGCAGAAACTCTACAGGCCAGAAGAGAGTGGGGGCCAATATTCAACATCCTCAAAGAACAGAACCTTCAGCCCAGAATTTCATATCCAGCCAAACTAAGCTTCACAACTGAAGGAAAAATAAAATCTTTTATGAACAAGCAAGAACTCAGAGATTTTATTACCACCAGGCCTGCTTTACAAGAGCTTCTGAAAGAAGCATTACACACAGAAAGAAACAACCAGTATTAGCCTTTCTAAAAATACACCAAAAAGTAAAGAGCACCAACATAAAGAAGAATTTACACCAACACATGGATAAAACAGCCAGTCAACATCAAATGGCAGTAACCCTAAATTTAAATTGACTAAATCCCCCAATCAAAAGACACAGCCAAAACCCAACGGCATGTTACATCCAGACCTGTTTCACATGCAAGGATGCACAAAGACTCAAAACAAAGGGATGGAGAAAGATTTACCAACCAAATGGAGAGCAAAAATAAATAATAAATAAATAAAAAGCAGGAGTTGCAATTCTTGTATCGGATAAAATAGATTTTAAAGCAACAAAGATATAGTGGTAAAAGGATCAATGCAACAACAAGAGCTAACGATCCTAACACCCAGATAGGAGACTTAGATTCAATGAGACGGAAAATTAATAAGGATATCAAGGACTCGAACTCAGATCCAGAACAAGTAAACTTAATAAATATTTATAGAGCTCTCCACTTCAAATACACAAAATATACATTCTTGTCAATACCACATCACACCTACCCATTAGTTTAAATGAAACATTGATTGGCCATTATTAATACCCATTTTTTTTCAAAATAAAGCAATATTTCCATTTACTCTCCCTCTTTCTCTTCCTCTTTCTTCCTCTCCTTTACTTATTTTTTTTTTTTTTTCTTTCCTTCTCTCAAAAAAAAAGAAATCAACTTGTAAACCTCTAGATCCAGGTCGGCAATGTCTCTTTCATTGCTTGATTTCCTTTTTTCCCTTCCCTCCCTCCCTCCCTCCCTCCCTCCCCGCTTCCTCCCTTCCTTCCTTCCTTCATCCCTTCCTTCCTCCCTACCGTCCTTCTTCCCTTCCTTCCTGCCATCCTCCCCCCCCCAAAAAAAAAAAAAAAAAAAAAAAAAATTCATAAGCAATATTATTTAAAATTGAAGATGTATCATTATTCACGGTATACCTACTATGTACCAGAAATGCAGGAACCTATGATATTGTAACTATTAAAAGAAAAAATCTATACATTAAAGTCGTTTGATGAAAGGCAAGGAAAATGAAGCCTTTGACCCCTATTTCCAGCATGCAACTCAGGTTACAGTGCTTAGTGGCTTCCTCTCCTTCTCTTAAAAACAATGAAAAGGTCGGCCAGGCGCGGTGGCTCAAGCCTGTAATCCCAGCACTTTGGGAGGCCGAGGCGGGTGGATCACGAGGTCAAGAGATCGAGACCATCCTGGTCAACAGGGTGAAACCCCGTCTCTACTAAAAATACAAAAAATTAGCTGGGCATGGTGGCACGTGCCTGTAATCCCAGCTACTCAGGAGGCTGAGGCAGGAGAATTGCCTGAACCCGGGAGGCGGAGGTTGCGGTGAGCCCAGATCACGCCATTGCACTCCAGCCTGGGTAACAAGAGTGAAACTCTGTCTCAGAAAAAAAAAAAAAAAGGACAGACAGCTACCATACTAGAATTCCATCTCAGGAGACATGGTAATGCACACACCAACTGCCCAGTCATCTCCTATAATAGCAGTGACTTCACCTGGGGTGGAGAAGCGGGAAGACCCTCCTCAGGTGAACGGTTTGTGTTCAGGACACCATCCACCCCAGTTCATCCCTGGCCGGAACACGAACAGCCCGGCCTTGCCACTCGTCCTACCTCCAGCTCTCACGCTGCCCCACACACCTTCTCATCGGGTGGAGGCCGTGGCCACTCATTCCGTGACATCACCTGGTCCCAGTGAACTCACCCTGCCCCTTGGGCCCCCGCCCTCCATCCGGCACTTACGCATCTCTTCCTGAGCCTTCGTCCGGAGATCTTCCCGACCGATCTGTAGGAACAGGTCCAGCGTCACCTCCCACGCCCGTTTTCCTGGGTAGTGTGTGTCCAGCAGCTTCGCTACGTCTTCCTTGGAAGCCTTTTTCAGCTCAGTCCAGGGGATCGGCTTCTGTTCCAATTTCAAAGCTGCTTGTTTCAGGAGCTCCTTAAATTTCCAAAACTCTTCTTTTCTGAGCTCCTTCAGATACCACAACAAGCCGAAATCCGAAAAAAAAGATTCTGCCATCTCGTCCCAGGACTGCGGGCTCCGGTGTCTCCAGAAGGAAAATAAAGATCCTCAAAAATAGAGAATGAATGATACCTGAAGAAGAACATGATGGCAGGGGTGAGTTTCCGCAGCCTAAGGCAGCTCAGAAGTATGGATATCCTCACACGCATCATGCATCAGTCATCATCTAGGGAAGAAGCTTCCTTTTTCTCCACACGAATGCATGTGAATGGTAGAGTTGTCTTTTTTTTTTTTTGAGACAGAGTTTCGCTCTTGTTACCCAGGCTGGAGTGCAATGGCGCGATCTCGGCTCACCGCAACCTCCGCCTCCTGGGTTCAGGCAATTCTCCTGCCTCAGCCTCCTGAGTAGCTGGGATTACAGGCACGCGCCACCATGCCCAGCTAATTTTTTGTATTTTTAGTAGAGACGGGGTTTCACCATGTTGACCAGGATGGTCTCGATCTCCTGACCTCATGATCCACCCGCCTCGGCCTCCCAAAGTGCTGGGATTACAGGCGTGAGCCACTGCGCCCGGCCCACTTACGTGTCTTTCTAGTTTTTGTGTAACATAAATGATACTTCCATGAACAAGCATTTATGTGTAGTTTGGTACACACAAGCACACATTTCTCTAGATTTATAAATTACAGGTCAAACAGCACACACGGGTCACCATGTTTACCGCAAACTGCTCAATGATTGTCCTTTGCGGATGTAGTAACTCAGGTTCCTGCTGGCATCCTATGCGTTCGCTCTATACACCTTCCGACACTTAGTCTAGTCAAATCCAATTTTGATAATGAAAAAATAAACATACTAAAATTGCAGATGGTCACATTCAGGAGGATGAAAATAAAGGAAGAAAGAAGGTCTGAGAGCAAATTTAGAACTTTTCATTTTGTTTTGGGGTAAATGTCTTATTACAGTATATAAAGAAAAAGTTGGATTTACCATAGTTTAGTATCTGCAGACTAACGACTCAGACAGAAACAGAAGAAAAACTTTCCCACTATTAGAAACTCTCTGCTGGGTGTGGTGGCTCACGCCCATAATCCCAGCACTTTGGGAGGCCGAGGCGGGTGGATCACGGGGTCAAGAGATCGAGACCATCCTGGTCAACATGGTGAAACCCCGTCTCCACTAAAAATACAAAACTTAGCTGGGCACGGTGGTGCATGCCTGTAATCCCAGCTACTCAGGAGGCTGAGGCAGGAGAATTGCCTGAACCCAGGAAGCGGAGGTTGCAGTGAGCCAAGATCGCGCCACTGCACTCCAGCCTGGGTAACAAGAGCGAAACTCTGTCTCAAAAAAATATATATATATTTTTTTGAGACAAGCTCTCACTCTGTGCCCAGTCTGAGTGCAGTGGGCCAAACATAGCTCCCTGCAGCCTCGATGACCCCCCCAACCTCCCCACCTCCCCGCCCAAGTAGCTGGGACTACACACCACCGTGCCCAGCTAATTTTTTTAGATTTTTGTAGACATGATGTCTCGCTATGTTGCCCAGGCTGATCTCAAACTCCTGGCCTCAGGTATTCCTCCCACCTTGGCTTCCCAAAGTGCTGAGATTACAAGTCAAGAGCCACCACGTGCAGCAAAAAAAAAAAAAAAGAATTAATAATGTATCATTTAGGTAATGCATGAGAAAGTTTGTGGCGTATGTATGGGAAATACACGTATATTTTTTTAAAGGGAAAATGCTTTGACTCCAAATCAAATATGTACATTCCATTCAAACACACATGAGACCTTTACTAAACTTGACCTTATGTTGGGCATAAATTAGAAATCACCGGTCTCATTCTACAGTCACAATAGAATTAGAAAATAAAGGCAAAAGCATGACAATCCGTTGTTAAATTTTAAATGTACATTTTACTATAACAGGCAAGCAAGAAGCTAATTTAACTCATTGAGAAAGAAATGGACAAACTTAATGAAATAAACTTAAATGGCTGTTAAATATATGAAACATTTCTTAGAAGCTCATTTTCCATCCAGATTTGCAATATATAGGCCAGGCACAGTGGCTCACACCTGTAATCCCAGCACTTTGTAAGGCTGAGGCGGGTGGATCACCTGAGGTCAGGAGTTCGAGACCAGCCTGCCCAACATGGCAAAACCCCGTCTCTACTAAAAACACAAGAAGAGGCCGGGCGCAGTGGCTCAAGCCTGTAATCCCAGCACTTTGGGAGGCCGAGGCGGGTAGATCACGAGGTCAAGAGATTGAGACCATCCTGGTCAACATGGTGAAACCCCGTCTCTACTAAAAATACAAAAATTAGCTGGGCGTGGTGGCGCGTGCCTGTAATCCCAGCTACTCGGGAGGCTGAAGCAGGAGAATTGCTTGAACCCAGGAGGTGGAGATTGCGGTGAGTGGAGATCGCGCCATTGCACTCCAGCCTGGGTAACACCAGCGAAACTCCGTCTCAAAAAAAAAAAAAAAAAAAAAAAAAAAAAAACACAATAAGATTAGCCAGGCATGGTGGGTGCCTGTAAATCCAGCTACTCAGAAGGCTCAGTCAGGAGAATTGCTGGAACCTGAGAAGCAGAGGTTGCTGTGAGCAGAGATGGTGCCACAGCAGTCCAGCCTGGGTGACAAGAGCAACATTCCATCTCACAAAACAAAAAAAAGAAAAAATATATACAGAGAATATATAGAAAATATAGAGAATATATAGTATATAGAATACATATAGAGAAAATATATACAATATATGTCATTTTCTTTTTTTTTTTGAGACGGAGTTTCGCTCTTGTTACCCAGGCTGGAGTGCAATGGCGCGATCTCGGCTCACCCCAACCTCCGCCTCCTGGGTTCAGGCAATTCTCCTGCCTCAGCCTCCTGAGTAGCTGGGATTACAGGCACACGCCACCATGCCCAGCTAATTTTTTGTATTTTTAGTAGAGACGGGGTTTCACCATGTTGACCAGGATGGTCTCGATCTCTTGACCTCGTGATCTGGCCGCCTCGGCCTCCCAAAGTGCTGGGATTACAGGCGTGAGCCACCACGCCCGGCCCACACTTTTTTTTTTTTAAAGAACTCACATGCCCTTAATCTCTTCTCCGAACCTTCCTTTCTCCTTCCTGCTCTAGGGGAAGCCTCCCTCTGGCGACACTGAGACTCCCGCCTGTCCCATGCTGACGGTTTCCCCAGCCCAGTACTCCAGGCTGCAGAGTCCGCCTAAGGGGTAGTGGATAGCCTCGCCCCTGCTCCCCTACACCTTTAACTTTCCCGAGACCGACACTAGGCTCCACCACCCGTTACCATTTCGTGCGACTGCCATCCTAGGTCCCTGGCACAATCTCCCCCTTCCCCCCGGATTCTACCCCCTGGTTCACCCTCACACCGGTCTAGGCGTGCAAAGGAAACATTAATTCTGACAACGTGATGAAGGCATAATTTAGCATAAAACAGGACGTCCTAGCACCGGCTGATGAAAGATGACTTCAAACCCCATCAGCTGAGTCACTGAATCAGCAGCTTTCAAGCTTAGCTCTCTCCACTTGACTCCTCACGGCCAAAGATTCGCTGGTTTTTTGTTCGTCTGTCTCCCCAGGTTACATGAATCTCCTAATCAGACCCAACAAACCAGGTCGGTGTTGGATATTTTCATCATTTCTCCCTAGCCCTCCAAGACCTCCAGTTTTCTGTATCTCTAATTCAGTTTTAGAAAAAAAAAAAAATGAGGAGACAATGCCTTCTGGAAGAGTCTCATTCTCTCACCTAATTTAAAGTTGGGAAACACAGGCCGGGCGCGGTGGCTCAAGCCTGTAATCCCAGCACTTTGGGAGGCCGAGGCGGGTGGATCACAAGGTCAAGAGATCGAGACCATCCTGGTCAACATGGTGAAACCCCGTCTCTACTAAAAATACAAAAAATTAGCTGGGCACGGTGGTTCGTGCCTGTAATCCCAGCTACTCAGGAGGCTGAGGCAGGAGAATTGCTTGAACCCAGGAGGCGGAGGTTGCGGTGAGCCGAGATCGCGCCATTGCACTCCAGCCTGGGTAACAAGCGCGAAACTCCGTCTCAAAAAAAAAAGTTGGGAAACACAAAAGTTTTCAGTTGTGAAAATGCCGGGTACACAGTCTTTCTGCAAATGTAAATGGCTTTCATTACAGGCCCGGTATGGTGGCTCACTTGTAATCCCAGCACTTTGGGAGGCCGAGGCAGGCAGATCACCTGAAGTCAGGAGTTGAGACCAGCCTGGCCAAAATGGCAAAACCCCGTCGCTACTAAAAGGACAAAAACTAGCCCGGTGTGGTAGTGCATGCCTGTAATCCCAGCTACTTGGGAGGCTGAGGCAGGAGAATCGCTTGGACTCGGGAGGTGGAGGTTGCAGTGAGCTGAGGTTGCGCCATTGCACTCCAGCCCGGGCCACAGAGCAAAACTCCATCTCAAAACAATAAATAGGTGCTTTTACCTGTAGTGCATTCTTGCCGAAACACAAGGTCAGCACTTGATCACTTCTGGTGCCCTCCTACTTGTTCTTTTTGCACTCCCGACCTCCAGGAGGCACTGAGAGTTCGGGGGAACGAAGAAGAAAGAAAGGACAGAGGGGACACTTACCCAACCCAGACCCAGGTCCTCCCGGCTGGCACTCATCAAAGAGCAGCTGTGGACACCGAGCATTAAAAAGCCAGGGCGGCTCTCTGACTGGCCACGGAATCTCTCCCTTTTCATTGGCTGTCATGGATAATGAGGGCTAGACCCAGAGGGCAATTGTTTAGGTTCGTTTTTAACTCCTCAGGTGTGACTGCCACAAAGGGCAGGCGTTAGAATCTCCAGGTGTCTCCCAAGGCCCTGTTACCCGCATCATTGACTCCTGTGCACCGGCTGCCCATCTTCAACCTCACCCCCTTCATCCACCCACAGCTGCCATTCTTCTCTCCACCCTCTTTAGCATTATTTGAATGCTAATGTGTAAAAGTCCTACTGCTCAATGCGTTTCATGCAAGATCCTTCTCTTAACAGCCCCGTAAGTAGACAGCATTATCATTCCCTTTGTCAAACATACCGGAGGCCATCAGGGTGCAGCTACAGCTGGGAACGTTCCTACCCGCTGCCTCCAGGCATCGCTGATCCCAGTGGGGCTTAGGAAGTGTGTCGGATCTATGCGAAGGTGAGACTCAGTTCTGCCTAATGAGACTGAGCTAAGAGACTCAAAGAAGGCCGGGTGCGGTGGCTCACACCTGTAATCCCAGCACTTTGGGAGGCCTAGATTGGTGGATCATGAGGTCAGGAGTTCCAGACCAGCCTGACTAACATGGTGAAATCCCGTCTCTACTAAAAATACAAAAATTAGCTAGGCATGGTGGTGCACGCCTGTAATTCCAGCTACTCGGGAGGCTGAGGCAGGAGAACTGCTTGAACCCAGGAGGCGGAGGTTGCAGTGAGCCGGGATCTTGCCACTCTAGCCTGGGCGACAGAGATAGCATCTTTAAAAAAAAAAAAAGGGAGGGGGGCTGGGTGCGGTGGCTCACGCTGTAATCCCAGCACTTTGGGAGGCCGAGGCGGGTGGATCACGAGGTCAAGAGATCGAGACCATCCTGGTCAACATGGTGAAACCCCGTCTCTACTAAAAATACAAAAAAATTAGCTGGGCATGGTGGCGCGTGCCTGTAATCCCAGCTACTCGGGAGGCTGAGGCGGGAGAATTGCCTGAACCCAGGAGGCGGAGGTTGTGGTGAGCCGAGATCACGCCATTGCACTCCAGCCTGGGTAACAAGAGCGAAACTCCGTCTCAAAAAAAAGAATCTTTTCCCTCCAGGGATCTCGGCCCTTCTTTAACCCCGGCACTCATCAGAATTCTCACCTGGCCTCCTTACCCTGACTGCTGAAACCATCCTGAGCTGGGCCACGGTGCACACCTCAGAGGGCTGTGTCTTGATTTCCCTTTCCTCGGTTTTTCTGATGGCTGCCGCGGGATCTGCCGTAGGCCAGAAGTGGTGGAGCACTTCAGCAGAACAGCAGCCTCTTTTCTAGACTACGGTGCGGCTTAACTTCACACTTTCCCCGCCTGTGTGTGTGAAATGAAGAGGATGATGATCGTGATGATGTCATGATGGGGGTGACGATGATGAGGGTGACGGTGAAGACGAAGATTATGGTGTGATGATGGGGTGGGGGGAGTAGGGCTGGGCTGTCACTCGATTTCCCTTTTGTGAATTGCCTGTTCTTTTCCTTAAAGATTGACTTGACTTTACATATTTTAATACAAAATCACAAATCTTTCCAAAATTTGGGCTTTTCTATTTATTGTTTATGATATTTTAGGGGTAGAGTTGTTTTAAAATGTATTAATGTCTATTTTTGTTAGTCTTTTCATTTACGAGTGATATAAATACTTCCTATCCTGAAAGTCAACTATTTCCCTGTATTTTCTTTCACACACTAATATCTCGTTTTCACATGTAAATTTTTAATAAACCTTCGCTTAATAAACCTTCATAATGTGATGCAGTGGTTCAGTTTGATTTTATCTGCTGCCAGTTACTTCAACATATATATTACACAGCCTGTCTTCCCGTGTCGGTTTTCCAAAGCCACAAGCTGCCTTGGTCTCTTTCTTTCTTTTTTTCTTTTCTTTTTTTTTTTTTTTTTTTGAGATGGAGTTTCGCTCTTGTCACCCAGGCTGGAGTGCAATGGCGTGATCTCGGCTCACCGCAACCTCCGCCTCCTGGGTTCAGGCAATTCTCCTGCCTCAGCCTCCCGAGTAGCTGGGATTACAGGCACGCGCCACCATGCCCAGCTAATTTTTTGTATTTTTAGTAGAGACGGGGTTTCACCATGTTGACCAGGATGGTCTCGATCTCTTGACCTCGTGATCCACCCGCCTCGGCCTCCCAAAGTGCTGGGATGACAAGCCTGAGCCACCGCGCCCGGCCAATTTTATAGTTTGTATCATGCACCCTTTAGAGTGTGGGGTATCAGGGCACGCACTCTCACGCAGCGTCGCTGACTCTTGCTCATGGGAGATAGTTTCTAAGTGTGTCTTATAGTTATTTTGAAGCAGTGAATAAGGAATATTTTCACTTTGGTATTACTGTGGCTGTGCTTGCCAAGGTACCCGAAAGTGTTCGATTCTTCTTTGGGTGGGTTCACCGAGCAGCCCTTGCCCAGGATAAATTCGAGTGTTCGCGTGTTGGTTTCGTATCTTTTTGCCTTTAGGGTACTTCCAGGAAATTTGTGGAACGACCTTTGGCTTTCAATTGCTAATGTTTTTAAATTGTTGAGAATCAACTGTCCTTTGTGGGAAGTCACTGCCTTACTTTCCTGGCACAGAGGTAAGAATTCTGCTGCGGAATCACTAGAATCTCAGCACCTCAAGAATCTCCTGTGAATGAAGAGTTCTGTTTCTGCATCTCACTTCGCCAGTGTAAACGCTCACACCTGTCCCTGCACGAGTGATGAGTCTCCAGGTCTCAAAGGAATCCAACTCGTTTCCAACCTGACCCTCCGACCATGCCCCAGGCTCACAGTAGCACTGACGCGAAGAGGAAACACTCAGCATTCATTTTCCTCTTCATGTCCACGAGATGTCTTTATTTTTGTTGAAAGTTCTTAGATTGATGACATTAACCATGTTAGACAAAATCATGCCAATTATGATGGTGAAACTGTTCTTTTAATTTCAGGAAATTCTGCAGTTTTCTCTTCCTCTTACGGATGTATATTAGTTCTTTTTTTTTTTTTTTTTTTTTGAGACGGAGTTTCACTCTTGTTACCCAGGCTGGAGTGCAATGGCGCGATCTCGGCTCACCGCAACCTCCGCCTCCTGGGTTCAGGCAATTCTCCTGCCTCAGCCTCCTGAGTAGCTGGGATTACAGGCACGCGCCACCGTGCCCAGCTAATTTTTGTATTTTTAGTAGAGACGGGGTTTCACCATGTTGACCGGGATGGTCTCGATCTCTTGACCTCGTGATCCACCCACCTCAGCCTCCCAAAGTGCTGGGATTACAGGCGTGAGCCACCGCACCCGGCCCTATTAGTTCTTTAATGAATTGCATTATGCCTTATTTCATTCTGGCTGAAACTGAATTTCCCACCCTGGCTGAATATTATATTAGCCCATGTGTATTAAGAAGTCTATTGGTGGCCGGGCACGGTGGCTCACACTTGTAATCCCAGCACTTCGGGAGGCCGAGGCAGGAGGATCAGTAGGTCAAGAGATCGAGACCATCCTGGTCAACATGGTGAAACCCCGTCTCTACAAAAATACAAAAATCAGCTGGGCATGGTGGCGCGTGCCTGTAATCCCAGCTACTCGGGAGGCTGAGGCAGGAGAATTGCCTGAACCCAGGAGGCGGAGGTTGCAGTGAGATAAGATGGCGCCATTGCACTCCAGCCTGGGTAAGAAGAGTGAAACTCCGTCTCAAAAAAAAAAAAAAAAAGTCTATTGGTGGCCGGGTGTGGTGTCTCACACCTGTAATCCCAGCATTTTGGGAGGCCAAGGTGGGAGGATCACCTGAGCTCAGGAGTTCAAGACCAGACTGACCAACATGGAGACACCCTATCTCTACTAAAAATACAAAATTAACAGGGTGTGGTGGTGCATGCCTGTAATCCCAGCTACTCAGGAGGCTGAGGCAGGAGAATCACTTGAACTCAGGAGGTGGAGGTGGAGGTGAGCCAAGATTGTGCCACTGCACTCCTGCCTGGGCAACAACGACAACAATCAGGATGAGTGCCATGGCTCACGCCTGTAATCCCAGCACTTCTTTGGGAGGCCAAAGAGGGAGAATTACGAGGTCAGGAGTTCGAGACCAGCCTGGCCAATATGGTGAAACCCCATGTCTAAAAAAGAAAAAAGACATATACTGTAACCCATATATGTAATGATAAATTTTCTAGTAGATACACTAAAGAAATGGAAAGAAACATGTTGAATTAATTTTTTTCTCATCATGTTGGTCAGGCTGGTCTTGAACTCCTGACCTCAGGTGATCCTCCCACCTTGGCCTCCAAAGTGCTTGGATTACAGGCGTGAGCCACCACACCCGGCCATGTTGAATTAATTTTAACATCCAAAAATTTGTCATTTTAACATGTAACCAATATTAAACAGCTATTAATGAGAACTCTTTTCATGGAACACCTTCACAATCTCGTGTGTATTTTATACTCACTGTGCATCTCAATTCAGATAAGCTCCATTTCAGCGGATCGCTAGTCACATGCTGTTGGTGGCCGCCATGTTGGACAGCCTGGGTCTCAACCCTTTCACCACCTCAACTCTAAGTCAAATAATGAACGATATTCTTCGTTCCAGCTCACATTTGAAATTCAGAAGTTAGCAGCCATGCTTTGCCTGGCACAAGGGATCTCGCATAGTAGGTACACAATCCCTAAAGGTAAAAGAACCCCAGTTCATTCATCTCATGGAATCTCCATGAAGAGGCACTTTTCCCCCCAGGAAGCAGCCACAGCTGAACATTTGTGAGAAGCAAGAGGTCCTAACTGTCTGGCCTGTCTTGAGAAACCTGAATTTTTTTTTTTTTTTTTTTGAGACGGAGTTTCGCCCTTGTTACCCAGGCTGGAGTGCAATGGTGTGATCTCTGCTCACCACAACCTCCGCCTCCCGGGTTCAGGCAATTCTCCTGCCTCAGCCTGCTGAGTAGCTGGGATTACAGGCACGCGCCACTGTGACCAGCTAATTTTTTGTATTTTTAGTAGAGAGGGGGTTTCACCATGTTGACCAGGATGGTCTCGATCTCTTGACCTCGTGATCCACCCACCTCAGCCTCCCAAAGTGCTGGGATTACAGGTGTTAGCCACTGCACCTGGCCTGAGAAACCCGTATTCTTGAGATGTAGATACGTCTGCCGTATCAGCTGCATCAATTCGTTGAAGATGGAACCCCGAGGGGAGGCCAAACAGTGCCCTTTCTGTACCATGGTCACTCAGAAGAATGACATTAAGATAAATTATCAACTGGAGAAGCTAACTTCTAAGATCAAGGACCTGGAGCCACACCTGAGATCTATTCTACAGCTAAGCCAAGGATGCTGAAATTCTAAGGTAAAGTACGTGCCTCCCCTAGACCCTCCCCACAAAGGGCCTAGGAAAAAGCAACCGGGCAAACGCCTCATCAGATATTAGCAGAATTCTGGCGACCTTTGCGCATCAGTGGTTCTTACCTCTGAGTATAGAACCACCTGGAGATTCTTAAGAAAATATAATATAATATTTAGGTCATGCCTCAACGCTGTGCCTTCCACGAGGGTAGGCACTAGGGGCTATGGACCACGAGAAATGCAGCCAGTACCTAGTGGAGATCATGATATTCTGTACATAGTGGGTTCAATAAGACACGTTACTGATGTTAGTCTCACCAGGTTTTATGCTTCTGAATGTAGTAAATTCACAGTGACACGTGTGGGTCATGTTATATTTCTTTGGGTAGCACTGGCCTACAAGCTGAGTATTTGTTAAATTATCTGAGGGGCTTACTAAAATGTGTATTCTGGTGGTACAGCTCTGGGATTTCCTGAGAATCTGGATTTCTGACAAGAGCCCGGAAATTTCTGACAAGAACAGCAGATGCTGCTGGTTCCTGAAGCACACGTTGTTTTGGGTTTTTTTCCCTTTTATTTTTTATCTATTTATTTTTTTATTTTATTTTGAGACGGAGTTTCGCTCTTGTTACCCAGGCTGGAGTGCAATGGCGCGATCTCGGCTCACTGCAACCTCCGCCTCCTGGGTTCAGGCAATTCTCCTGCCTCAGCCTCCCGAGTAGCTGGGATTACAGGCACGCGCCACCATGCCCAGCTAATTTTTTGTATTTTTAGTAGAGACGGGGTTTCACCATGTTGACCAGGATGGTCTCGATCTCTTGACCTCGTGATCCACCCGCCTCGGCCTCCCAAAGTGCTGGGATTACAGGTGTGAGCCACCATGCCCGGCTTCCCTTTCATTAAGTTCTTTTTTTCCACCTTTTATTTTAGGTTCATCAAGTACATGTGCAGGTTTGTGACATGGTAACCTGCATGTCTCAGGGGTTTGGGGTACAGATGATTTCATCACCCGGGTAATGAGCATAGCACCTGACAGTTTTTTGATCCTCACACTCCTCCCACGCTCCACCCACAAGGAGCCCACCGTGTCCATTGTTCCCTTCTTTGTGTCCATGTGGCCTCCATGTTTAGCTCTCACTTCTAAGTGAGAACATGTGGTGTTTGGTTTTCTGTTCCTGTTATTTCACTTAGGACAGTGGCCCCCACCTGCATCCATGTTGCTGCAGAAGACATGATTTCATTCCTTATTATGACTGTGTAGTATTGCATGGTGTATATGGACCACATTTCCTTATCGAGTCCACCATTAGTGGCCATCTAGGTTGGTTCCACGTCTTCCATAGCGTGGATGGTGCCGTGACTCACACTTACGTGCATGTGTCTTTATAACGGAACAATTTATTTTCCTCTGGGTATATACCCAGTGATGGGATTGCTGGGTCCAATGGTAGTTCTGTTTTAAGCTCTTTGGGAAATCTCCAAACGGCTTTCCACAGTGGCCGAACTAACTTACATTCCCACTAGCAGCGTATAGCGTTTATTTTTCTCTGCAACCTGGCCAGCATCTGTTATTTTTTTACTTTTTGTTTTGTTTTGTTTTTGAGATGAGTCTCTGTCACCCAGGCTGGAGTGCAGTGGTGCAGTCTCTGCCCATGGCAACCTCTGCTTCCTGGGTTCAGGCAATTCTCCTGCCTCAGCCTCCTGAGAAGCTGGGATTACAGGCACGTGCCACCACACCCGGCTAATTTCTTGTATTTTTAGTACAGATGGGATTTCACCATGTTGGCCAGGCTGGTCTTGAACTCCTGACCTTGTGATCCACCCACCTCAGCCTCCCAAAGCGCTGGGATTACAGGCATGAGCCACTGTGCCCAGCCTGTTTTTTTACTTTTTAATAACAGCTGCTCTGATTGGTGTGAGGTGATATCCCATTTTGGGTGTTTTGTTTGCTTGAGGCTGAGTCTTGCTTTATCTCCTAGAGTGCTGTGGCATGACCTGGGCTCACGTGATTCAAGAGCACATTCCCAACTGCATTGAAAAGAATACAATTCTTAGGAATAGATTTAACCAAGGAGGCAAAAAGATCACTGAAAACTATAAGACAAATATGAAAATCACTGACACAAATATACAGACATTCTGCGTTTACGGATTAAAATCGTTAATACTGATAAATGTCTATATGCTTAAATTCTGCAATAATAATTTTTGTCATTCTTTTGTTTATTTGAAGAATGACTTGGGACCAGGATCTATTTCACTGAGTTGGGCAAGAATCTGGTCCCTTTACACCTCACGGATACAACAATGCTGTTCTGAGGGGCAGACCAAGTGGTGTTTTTTCGGACAGGTCAAAATAACGTTAATAATTAACGTTAGTAATAATTACTATTTCCCAGTATCAGGTTTATCAATCATGACTGTATTCATAGGGGCCGGGTGCGGTGGCTCACGCCTGTCATCCCAGCACTTTGGGAGGCCGAGGCGGGTGGATCACGAGGTCAAGAGATCGAGACCATCCTGGTCAACATGGTGAAACCCTGTCTCTACTAAAAACACAAAAAATTAGCTGGGCACGGTGGCGCGTGCCTGTAATCCCAGCTACTCGGGAGGCTGAGGCAGGAGAATTGCCTGAACCCAGGAGGCGGAGGTTGCGGTGAGCCGAGATCGCACCATTGCACTCCAGCCTGGGTAACAAGAGCGAAACTCCGTCTCAAAAAATAATAATAATAATAATTAACGTTTCCCAGTATCAGCTTTATCAGTCATACCTGTATTCATCCAATCACGATCTTTCTAGCTGCTCCTTCCATACTTCAAGCTTAGGCTGGCAGGGGCTCTCTCGTCTAATTCCCTTCAACCTTAACAGAATACATCACTATGGCTGTCGTCGTCTAAAACAGACACCTCAAATGACATTTTCACTGATTACGTACACATCCTTACAATTTAGTTCTGGCGATGAGGAATAAGCAGAGAGCGCTGTCGTGGACTCTACACCACCGAAAGAAGCTGACTTTGGGCTCTGTTTATTTTGCGAAGCTCCAGGCAGAACGGGGAAAACAAAGGAGACGACACTCAGAAACCTTAAGAGAGTTGCGGGCTCAGAACCAGGGGAAGAGTCCTGGATCCAGGCTCGACATCTTCTCTTGAAAGAGCCTGTCAAAGTCTTCACTCTGCGCCACAGTGAAGTGGTTTTTCCAGTCCCCAGAAACTCCTGCCAAGCAGACGAGGAAAGGGAAGCATCAGAACATGAGAAAGAGCCACGGTCAGGAAACCGACACTGTCACTCACTGCTTCCCAGTGGTTTCGTCCACCCAGCCCACGTTCTCCCTGAGGAATAAAATGAGGCATCCTGCAATTTCCGTGCTTCGGAGGCACTGCCAGAGGCCCCGGAGCACAAAAGGGAAAGGGGATGGAGGACAGTGGTTTTGAGTTCTTTTTTTTGAGACGGACTTTCGCTCTTGTTACCCAGGCTGGAGTGCAATGGCGCAATCTCGGCTCACCACAACCTCCGCCTCCTGGGTTCAGGCAATTCTCCTGCCTCGGCCTCCCGAGTAGCTGGGATTACAGGCACGCTCCACCATGCCCAGCTAATTTTTGTATTTTTAGTAGAGACGGGGTTTCACCATGTTGACCAGGATGGTCTCGATCTCTTGACCTTGTGATCCACCCACCTCGGCCTCCCAAAGTGCTGAGATTACAGGCGCCCGGCCAGGTTTTGAGTCTTTATGGCAACAGAGAGATTAGGTTTGAAATCCCGCTTCTGCCACATACTAGCTTGGAGAAACGGAGAAAGTTACATAATCTCTCTGAGGTTCAGTCTCTCTGAAAAAAACAATGGTAACCGTTTAAGAGAGCTTCAGTGGATTTTAAATAATACTTTGGGAGGCTGAGGTGGTGGATCACAAGGTCAGGAGTTCAAGACCAGCCTGTGTGACATGGTGAAACCTCGTCTCCACAAAAAATACAAAAATTAGTCAGGTGTGGTTGTGCACGCCTGTAATCCCAGCTACCCAGGAGGCCAAGGTTGGACGATGAATTGAGCCCAGGACACTGTGACTGCGCCACTGCACTCCAGCCTGGGCGACAGAGTGAGACCCTGTCTCAAAAAATAATAATAATCATGTAATGGGCCGGGCACAGTGGCTCACACCTATAATCCTAGCACTTTGGGAGGCCGAGGCGGGTGGATCACGAGGTCAAGAGATCGAGACCATCCTGGTCAACATGGTGAAACCCCATCTCTACTAAAAATACAAAAATTAGCTGGGCATGGTGGCGCGTGCCTGTAATCCCAGCTACTCGGGAGGCTGAGGCAGGAGAATTGTCTGATCCCAGGAGGTGAAGGTTGCGGTGAGCCGAGATCGCACCATTGCACTCCAGCCTGGGTAGCAAGAGCGAAACTCCGTCTTAAAAAAAAAAAAAGAAAGGATAGACTATTTAAGGCACTGACCCTAGTCAATGCCACATTCAATATCCAGAACAAATTATTTCTGCTTTAAAATACCCACTGTGGTGGAGTACAATACCTATCTCGGCAGGAGGCCCATTACGTATTTTTCTTTATTTTGAGTCGCAGTTTCACTCTTGTTACCCAGGCTGGAGTGCAATGGCGCGATCTCGGCTCACCGCAACCTCCTCCTCCCAGCTTCAAGCAATTCTCCTGCCTCAGCCTCCCGAGTAGCTGGGATTACAGGTGTGCACTATCACATCTGGCTAATTTTTTTGTATTTTGAGTAGAGACAGGGTTTCGCCATGTTGGCCAGGCTGGTCTTGAACTCCTGACCTCAGGTGACCTGCCTGCCTCGGCCTCCCAAAGTGTTGGGATGACAGGTGTGAGCCACTGCACCTGACCTCCAGGTTTTCATGAAGTACTATACTTGTGAAAACGCTGCCACTGGGGGACACCAGGTGAAGGACACACGGGACCTCTCTGTGCTATTTTTGCAACTTCCTGGGAATCTACAGTTCCTTCCAAATGAAAAGTTACCCAGTAAAGACCACCCAGAGCACCTAACAAGCAAAGATCTGTGGGGGGCACCGACATTCCGGGTTCTGCTCTATGTTGACAGAAGCACTCACTGTTCAGAGAGAAGATGACCCATGTATCTGCCAACACTCTCTTCCTCTAGTATTTTCGGGCCCATTTTAATATTTATTCCGGAAACAACCAGTCTCCTCAAAAATGGAGCATGGGATAGTGAAGACTCAAACACCTCTGTTTCCACGCCTTGTGCTATACACGAATGTTAAAAGACGATCTGTGTGCCACATTTTCTTTGTCCGGTCTGTCATTGATGGGCATTTGGGTTGGTTCCAAGTCTTTCCTATTGTGAGCAGTGCAGAAATAAACATATGTGTGCATATGTCTTTATAACGGAACGATGGCACATATACACCATGGAATACTATGCAGCCATAAAAAAGATGAGTTCATGTCCTTTGCAGTGACATGGAAACTGGAAACCATCATTCTCAGCAAACTGATGCAGAACAGAAAACCAAACACTGCATGTTCTCGCTCATAAGTGGGTGTTGAACAATGAGAACATATGGACACAGGGAGGGGAACATCACACACTGGGGCATGGGGGGTGGGGGGGCTAGGGGAGGAATGGCAGCGGGTCGGGGGATTGGGGAGGGATAGCATTAGGAGAAATACCTAATGTAGATGACGGGGTGATGGATGCAGCAAACACTACCATGTCACGTGTACAGCTATGTAACAATCCTGCACGATCTGCACATGTACCCCAGAACTTCAAGTATCATAAGTAAATAAATAAATAGGGCCGGGCGCGGTGGCTCACGCCTGTAATCCCAGCACTTTGGGAGGCCGAGGCAGGTGGATCATGAGGTCAAGAGATCGAGACCACCCTGGTCAACGTGGTGAAACCCCGTCTCTACTAAAAATACAAAAATTAGCTGGGCATGGTGGCGCGTGCCTGTAATCCCAGCTACTCGGGAGGCTGAGGCAGGAGAATTGCCTGAACCCGGGAGGCGGAGGTTGCGGTGAGCCGAGATCACGCCATTGCACTCCAGCCTGGGTAACGAGAGCGAAACTCCGATGCAAACAAACAAACAAACAAATAAATAAATAAATGTTTTTTAAAAAGACGATTATGCCGAGAATACAGCATGGCCCCTCCAACCACCTCCTCTTACCCTTTCTCAGCGTTGGCGAAATGATTGCTTTCTGCAAGTTACTGTGTATTGCAAAATGGTCAGACATTGTGTTCTCTTTCATGGCTGAGAAAGAACTGTTTTGGATGACTAAATCAATTTCTTCCGGCTTCAGCTTTTTACCAAGAAACTGACAAATCTTCTCCACACTGGCCCTGGGGTCCTACAGAAAGAAAATGCTGTCAGCAGATGGCGGTACAAGAACTGACTGTGGAGCAGGCGCGTCAGTCCCAGCCAAGGTCAGACACAGGCCCGCACTCCCCTCTGCAGTTTGGGGGCTTCCTACAGGCCCCCCCCCACCCGTGTTCAGGACTGAAACGGAAACTACAAAAGTGTCTACCACCTAAGTTAGTTATGAGGCTTGAACTGGAAGCTAATGTGAGCTGACGTGATAACCTGCCTTCAACTCCTGACGTTCAGCGCTAAGTTGTTTTCTTGCACACATAAAGTTTAGCGTGGATTCTGCTAGTCACATGGATTTTATTTTTTATTTTTATTATTTATTTATTTATTTTTGAGACAGAGTTTCAGCCGGGCATGGTGGCTCACGCCTATAATCCCAGCACTTTGGGAGGGAGGCCGAGGCGGGTGGATCACGAGGTCAAGAGATCGAGACCATCCTGGTCAACATAATGAAACCCCGTCTCTACTAAAAATACAAAAATTAGCTGGGCATGGTGGCGCGTGCCTGTAATCCCAGCTATTCGGGAGGCTGAGGCAGGAGAACTGCCTGAACCCAGGAGGCGGAGGTTGTGGTGAGCCCAGATTGTGCCATTGCACTCCAGCCTGGGTAACAAGAGGGAAACTCCATCTCAAAAAAAAAAAAGTATGTATTATGCTGCTTGGGAAGTGTGCATAAGCAGAGAGACCAGGAGATGTGCCAGGATGCCGTTCTGGCCCCGCTGCAGAAGAGTATCTCATCCTAAAATTGGAGATCTATTTGGAAGAAGCATACGTCTGCAACAGTGACATGGCTAACATACACACCTTGCCAGGCACTATTCCAAATCCTTTGGTTTTATTCTCACAGTGCAGTAAGTTAATAACTATCATCATCCAGGTTTAGGAATGCGGACACTGAGGCACAGAGTGGTTTAGAACTCGCCAAAGTTTCCCAGTCAATGGCACAAAGCCTCACTCACGAAATCAAGATCTTCACCACTACACTCACGGCTCCCCACCAATGACTCTGCCTAGAGGAATGGAAGAGGAATCCAGGAGGGGAGAGGAAAATATGGCGAACTCTGGGAGGGACGGTAAAAGGGAATTACCCTCTGCAGCTCCTCATAGAAAATTAGTAGGAAGGACCCCATGTCTCTCTTTTTTATCCATCCAAGGGTATGATCAAACCAAGATCCATAATGCACTACAATGACAGGAAAAAGAGAGAAAGGCGATGATTTCTCTCAAACTGATACCCATAAATACGTATTGCCGTTCCTTAGTGAAGGTCATACGTGTTTCGTGGAATATATTAGGTAAATGATGTCAAGCCTTCTCTCTAGAAGATTAAAACAAAATGATTAAATAAATCAACAAATCTAAGACACATTTTCTCCATATACTGAGAAAAAACTATACTCATTCTTACCACCTGGATTTTTTGTTTTTGTTTTGAGACAGAGTCTCACTCTGTCGCCCAGGCTGGAGTGCAGTGGTACGATCTCTGCTCACTGCAACCTCCGCCTCCCAGGTTCAGGTGAGTCTCCTGCCTCAGCCTTCCAAGCAGCTGGGATTACAGGCGCCTTTCACTACTCCCAGCTAATTTTTTGTATTTTTAGTGGAGACGGGGGTTTCATCATGTTGGCCAGGCTGGTATCGTACTCCCAATCTCAGGTGATCCACCCGCCTCGGCCTCCCAAAGTGCTGGAATTATAGGCGTGAGCCACCACACCCGGTCATAAAAAACCCTTTCTCACTGTGATTCAAAACCCTGATAAGATGAATAATAAGATTAAAATATGAATATGCATTTTTAACATTATGGGACCAAAAAGGAGTTGTTAAAAAACTGACAAGGCCGGGCGCAGTGGCTCACGCCTGTAATCCCAGCACTTTGGGAGGCCGAGGCGGGTGGATCACGAGGTCAAGAGATCGAGACCATCCTGGTCAACATGGTGAAACCCCGTCTCTACTAAAAATACAAAAATTAGCTGGGCATGGTGGCGCGTGCCTGTAGTCCCAGCTACTCGGGAGGCTGAGGCAGGAGAATTGCCTGAACCCAGGAGGCGGAGGTTGCGGTGAGCCGAGATCGCGCCATTGCACTCCAGCCTGGGTAACAAGAGCGAAACTCCACCTCAAAAAAAAAAAAAAAACAACTGACAAATTGGAGGAAATATTTAGAATAGATATTGCAGATAAATAATTAATATTAAAAATTTAAACTTAAATTTTAATTAAAGGAAGTAAAAACTTTTAAAAACTGTATTATCTATGGCCTCCTACTAAATTCTTCTTAAGACATTGGGTAGATTTTAAAGATTTATAGACCATAGATGTACTTTTTAAAAACAACACGTCATGAATCATATTTCTGACATGGCCCTGATTATTATCATTCCAACATTTTTAAATGAGAGGTTTGGATTTACTTACTATCCCCTTCCATAAACCGGTTCAAGAATTCATCAAAAGTCTCTGGTTGCTTCTTACAAAGGAATCCTCTTGATATGTGGTAAAGAGATGTAAGGATATCTTTCGGATTCCTTAGGATATAAACAACCTGAAAGAGAAAGGAGATTTATGAAAGTGCAGTTCAGATCTGTCTGCCCTCCTCAGCGTCCACATTCATCCCACGTCAAGCCCTATCTGCTCCTCTGTGGAAGCACAGCCCGGGTTATAAAAGAGAAGTCTTCAGCCTTCCACACGCGCTCCCCTTCCCGCTACCACTCCCTTTGCTCTTAAAGATGCTAAGTTGTTCTTAACCTTGAGCAGGTTTCTTAAGTAGTCACAGTCGCCATGTTTCACTACATGAAGAAAAATCTGGCCGGGCGCCGTGTAATCCCAGCACTTTGGGAGGCCGAGGTGAGCGGAGCATGAGGTCAAGAGATGGAGACCATCCCGGCCAATACAGCAAAACCCTGTCTCTACTAAAAATACAAAAATTAGCTGGGTGTGGTGGCGCGTGCCTGTAATTCCAGCTGCTGGGGAGACTGAGGCAGAAGAATTGAACCAAGGAGGCGGAGGATGCAGTGAGCCGAGGTCGCACCACCCTGGGTGACAGAGTGAGACCCTGCCTCAAAAAAAAAAAAAAGAGAGAAAGAAAAAGAGACAGTGAGAGGGAGGAAGGGTAGGAGGTAGGGAGGGAGGGACAGAGGGAGGGAGGGAGGAAGGAAGGAAGGAGGGAGGGAGGGAGGGAGGACAGGAGGGAGGGAGGGAGGGAGGAAGGAGGGAGGGAGGGAGGACAGGAGGGAGGGAGGGAGGAACGGTGGGAGGGATAGAAGGAGGGAGGGAGAGAGGGAGGGAGGGAGGGATAGAAGGAGGGAGGGAGAGAGGGAGGGAGGGAGTGATAGAAGGAGGGAGGGAGAGAGGGAGGGAGGGATAGAAGGAGGGAGGGAGAGAGGGAGGGAGGGAAGGAGGGATAGAAGGAGGGAGGGAGGGAGGAATAGAAGGAGGGAGGGAGGGATAGAAGGAGGGAGGGAGAGAGGGATAGAAGGAGGGAGGGATAGAAGGAGGGAGGGATAGAAGGAGGGAGGGAGAGAGGGAGGGAGGGAGGAATAGAAGGAGGGAGGGAGGGATAGAAGGAGGGAGGGCAGGCGGGAGGGAGGGAGGAAAGGAAGGAGAAAAAAGAAAACCCCAGAGCTGACCTCTGGCTTCACTGGAAGCGCTGTGGTCAGTTAATCACAGGTGCTGCAGATGCGGAGTAGAGAACACTACAACCCATGCGTGGACTCGGACAACTTCCTCACATTCTCTCTCAAACATGTCCTGGGATTCCTGAAAAGGGACGAGCATACTCACCTTGGCGTTGCAGCTGAAGTAGGACCTGGGGAAGAGTTGCACAGGGAGATGTGACACCATGAGGCGTGGTCCGTTTTGATTAACTAGGTCTTTCTGCAAATGAGCATCCTCTATCCATGGGGACCTCAAAAAAATTGGTACAGTTTGGATCCAGGTAGGGTCCCCATTGAAGTAGATCAAACCGATAATTTCAATTATCCAGTGCGTTCCTGGGTGTAAAATAAAGGGACAACCCTATTTTAATCTATTGCATTAAGATGGTGAAGATATTTCACATATTAAGGGCCCTGGAGTCTTTTTTTTTTTATTTTTAACTTTTGTGAGCACATGGTACGTGGATATATTTATGGGGTACATGAGATGTTTTGATATGGGCATGCAATGCATGGTAATTACATCGTGGAAAATGGGACATCCATGTCCTCAAGCATTTATTCTTCGTGTTACAAGCAACCCAATTTACTATTTTAGTTACTGACTACAGCAAAATTATTATTGACTACAGTTGCCCTGTTGTGCTATCAAATACTAGGTCTTTTTTCTTTTATTTCTTTTTTTTTTTTGAGACGGAGTTTTGCTCTTGTTACCCAGGCTGGAGTGCAATGGCACGATCTCGGCTCACCGCAACCTCCACCTCCTGGGTTCAAGCAATTCTCCTGCCTCAGCCTCCCGAGTAGCTGGGATTACAGGCACGCGCCACCGTGCCCAGCTAATTTTTTGTATTTTTAGTAGAGACGGGGTTTCACCATGTTGACCAGGATGGTCTCGATCTCTTGACCTCGTGATCCACCCACCTTGGCCTCCCAAAGTGCTGGGATTACAGGCGTGAGCCACCGCGCCCGGCTACTTGATGTATTTTTAAGAGCGGTTTCGCCTCTCCACTCACTTACACAGTGGGTATCATGGTTATTGTTTGCAGTTTTCAGACGAGGGCATAAAGGCACAGATGAATGAAGACCTTTGCTCAAGATCACACCGCTAGGAAATGGCAGGCCAAGGCTGATGCCAGGCAGTGCTCAAAGTCCTTTTGACAACAGCAAATACACTGATCTCCAGCCCAATGCCAGGCAGGTGGTGAGCCCTGAGTCAAGCTCAAATGTGGTCCGTTGTCATCATGTCCACACATTGCTCCACCGCCATATAAGCTCCACAGAACCGTGACTGCTCTGCTCTCCACCGTCTCCTCACCAAAAAACAAATACACACAAAAAAACTCAGTTCCGGCCGGGCTCGGTGGCTCACGCCTGTAATCCCAGCACTTTGGGAGGCCGAGGCGGGTGGATCACGAGGTCGAGAGATCGAGACCAACCTGGTCAACATGGTGAAACCCCGTCTCTACTAAAATACAAAAAATTAGCTGGGCATGGTGGCGCATGCCTGTAATCCCAGCTACTCAGGAGGCTGAGGAGGAGAATTGCCTGAACCCAGGAGGCGGAGGTTGCGGTGAGCCGAGATCACACCATTGCACTCCAGCCTGGCTAACAACAGCGAAACTCCATCTCAAAAAAAAAAACCTCAGTTCCTGGAACAGATTAAAAACTTGGGTTCATATTAGCTAAAAACATGAGTGTTGAAATCACTTGTCTGTTTATGTTCCTAACTAAACCAAACTATGAACATTTTAGGGCCAAGAACCTGATTTTATTTACTCAATGTGGCCAGGGCCAAGCTCAAAGTCCGACAGGCAGCAACCTTCCTCACATGTCTGCCCAACAGACTTGCCTGCGAAGGTCTCACACCACTGTACCTGCTTGATTCCATTTCACTCTCACACGAGCCCCGAAGAGGAGAATTTTCAGTCATTACCACATAATAGATGAGGAAACCGAGGCACAGAGGGGATAAGTAAATGGGCACAGATCACACTGGGAGGGAGAAGCATGACTCAAAGCCAGGGCATGTAACCCCCATGACAAAGTCATCCACGCCTCTCCTACGGCTGCTGCTAATAATAATAATTAATAGCCACATGAAGGGATCCTGCTGAAAGGACCCCTAAAGGAAAACATGTAACACACTAAATCGTGTCAGTTGTGAATTCCACGAAGAGGAAAAGGTGGTACACTTCACCTGCACCACCCTGCATCCCATTCGGGAGAAGCTCAGAGGCAACAGGGCAAGGGGATCCCAGAGAGATCCTCACACAGGAAGAAGGAGAGCAGAAAGACTCCAGCAGCCCTCGTCACCATCACGAAAGCTGAGATACAGGGCTCTGTAAATCACAAACATAAAATCTTTCCATAAAGAAACGCCCAGGGCCTGGCCGGGCGCGGTGGCTCACGCCTGTAATCTCAGCATTTTGGGAGGCCAAGGTGGGTAGATCACAAGGTCAGGAGATCGAGACCATCCTGGCCAACATGGTGAAACCCCATCTCTACTAAAAATACAAAAATGAGCCGGGTGTGGTAGCACGTGCCTGTAGTCTCAGCTCCTTGGGAGGCTGAGGCAGGAGAATGGCCTCAACCTGACAGGTGGAGGTGAGTGAGATGAGATCGCGCCACTACACTCCAGCCTGTCGACAGAGCGAGACTCCATCTCAAAAAAATAAATTAACCTGGAACTACAAAGCCAAAACAATTCTGAAAAAGAACCAAGCTGGAGATCTCAACTTTCTGACTTCAGACAAAGCTATGATGCGATAAGGAAAACAACTCTCCAGACATACAGACCAACACAACAGAATACAGAGCCAAAACCTATGCTTATGCGTATGTGACCAACTGCTCTTCAATCCGGGTGCCACAAAACTACACCGTGGAGAGAGGATAGTCTTTTCTTTCCTTTTTTTGCATGGAGTTTCACTGTTGTTACCCAGGCTGGAGTGCAATGGCACGATCTCTGCTCACCGCAACCTCCGCCTCCTGGGTTCAAGCAATTCTCCTGCCTCAGCCTCCCGAGTAGCTGGGACTACAGGCACGCGCCACCGTGCCCAGCTAATTTTTGTATTTTTAGTAGAGACGGGGTTTCACCATGTTGACCGGGATGGTCTCGATCTCTTGACCTCGTGATCCACCCGCCTCGGCCTCCCAAAGTGCTGGGATTACAGGTGTGAGGCACCGTGCCCAGCCCCACATGATGCATTTCCTACCACAATAAAAAATGAACATCATTATCATTATCCACTGGGTTACGCAGAAGACATTTCCATGGGTCTCCTGCCGAGAACACACACACATGACGTATGCATGCGCACGCAGGCACGGATCCTCACGCACACTCTGCTCACCTGATCTAGGGTAGCTTAGTATGATGACATCATCATCTCGCACCAAAAATTCCTCCCTGGCAAAGCACAACGTCTCCACATTGGTCAAGATGGGAGGCATCCGGAGTCCCTCAAATAAGAAGTATTCGCTCATCTCGACACTGTCCTGGAGCATTTTTCAATAAAGCTTGCAGGTCTGACAGCCAAGAGTCCTGATACTGGGGGTAATGGCTTCGAGGTGTCACCGCCAAGCGTCCTGATACTGGGGGTAATGGCCCTTTACATTAGCCGGGGAAGGAAAGTGCAGTTACCGGTGCTGAGTGAAGAGCAGCCCTCCGCGGCTCACTAAGAGCAGGTCTCACTAAGAGTGGAGCTAGGTGGGTGGAGCTTCAGAGAGAGTCAAAGTAAACAGGAGGGTGGAGAGAACTGAGCCAAAGAGAGGACATGGCAGCCTACGGAGGAAAAAGCGTTTTCCAGTGAAAGAAAATGGGCCTTCTGGGGGCAAAGGGACTTCCTAGGGCTCCTGGCAGAAGCTCTGAGTCCTGCCTCTCACCTCTCAGGATCCTCACTGCCTGCCTTTAGCCAAGCTCCCATGGTGGGATGTGTCTGGTGCAATAGGAGGAAGCCCAGGTCAAAGCGGCTTCTTATCTCATGTCAAAGGTTCCCAGGGACTTCTGGCTTCATCCCTCGTCCAGAAAGAGCTTGCTCCAACCCTTACAGTGAAATATGTGCTGAACTGACTTCCAGTTACGTGTGTGTGTGTGTGTGTGTGTGTGTGTGTGTGTGTGTGTGTAACTCAACAGAGAATTGGGGCCGGAGAGAAAACAACTAACTTAAAATCTAAAGAGAGGGCTGGGTGCGGTGGCTCATGCCACACTCCTGTAATCCCAGCTACTCGGGAGGCTGAAGCCGGAGAATATCCTGAACCCGGGAGGCAGAGGTTGCACTGAGCCAAGATCACGTTACTGCACTCCAGCCTGGGCGACAGAGCCAGACTCCATCTCAGAAAGCAAACAAAACAAAATCTAAAGAGAGACACTGTCTGCAGGGAAAGAAGGGACGTGGGTATCCACTTGGCTGAGTCAAGACAGACAGTGTTAGAAGAGCCGATCCAGAACATCTATGAAGCTAGTTCAAGCTGGCAGGACTGGGAAACCCTGAGGCTGCAGATATTGGTGAAATCTATTCCACTTCAGGCTCATTCTCCATGAATCCCATGAGACATCCACAAAAAAATGTTTCAAAGAACCTTTAAAGGTGTCTATTATGGTGCATCCTAGGGGGACAGAAACAGCAGACATGCCAGAGGAGCTCCTGGATCAAGATGGAACCTTGGAAGGCCCAGGTGTACGCACCTGTTTGAATGGATATCTAATCTGGGAGACCCAGGTATATAGAAAAGGTGGATGGAAATTTAACCTTGGAAGACTCAGGTACACAGATGCAGCTGGAACACACCACTGCTCCTCAGTCAGAGGACACTGCACTAGCCCCAGATTTTCCCAAAATGGCCTTGGCCGAGCTGGGCAGAGTTGACAAGGGGACAGTGGCTGCTGGCAGCATCTTCTAAGGAAGATCACCTTCCCAGGGACAATTTTCCCAGCTTTCCACCTGTGCAGAAACTAGTGTCTGCACGTGTGCTCAGGAGAGAACGAGGGACTGGACTGGTGTGACATTCCTTCATTTTCCTTTGGATTTTCCACGCAGGCCATACATTCTCCATTTTACCACAGAAAAAGAAGATCCTTCTCCTCTATGTCCACTAAGGAAAACATCACTTTCATCTGTGTGAGGATGGGCGCCACTACTGGCCTTCAGGCATTAGTAAACGTTCATTGTTCAGACAAACAGACCCTGAAGAAATGTTTGCTGGCAGATAAACCATTTAAGATATGCCAAAGCAAGTTTTTCCGGCAGTAATCATGTAATATCAGGTTAACGCTAGGTCTTTACAGAGGAGCAAGGGGTACTGGAAATGGAATATATTCATGGTTTTTACTTTTTTCTTTTTTTTTTTTGAGACGGAGTTTCGCTCTTGTTACCCAGGCTGGAGTGTAATGGCGCGATCTCGGCTCACCACAACCTCCGCCTCCTGGGTTCAGGCAATTCTCCTGCCTCAGACTCCTGAGTAGCTGGGATTACAGGCACGCGCCACCATGCCCAGCTAATTTTTGTATTTTTGTTAGAGACGGGGTTTCACCATGTTGACCAGGATGGTCTCGATCTCTTGACCTCGTGATCCACCCGCCTCGGCCTCCCAAAGTGCTGGGATTATGGGCGTGAGCCACCGCGCCCGGCCTAGGAGGGACTTTCTTATGCAAGGAAAAGTTAAGCAGAAGAACACCAGTATCCCCTATTGCCACCACAAATACAGCAGTTCTTACTAGAGAATTCCACAGTCCTCACAAGCCCTGATCCCAGTGTGGGCACCTGCCAGGAATCCACACTGCTGCATTGCTCCTGATTAGGAGCACAAAGTGTGCCCTCCCTACCCTCGTCGTGCCCTGTGAGACAACCTGCTGTGGCACGGTGCCCTCTTGAGACAGAGCCACCTCGGGGGCATATCCTGCTCTGGGGGCCAGCAGCCACCGCACCTCTCCTGTCCTGGGCTCTGTCTTCATTCCACCAAGCCCACGCAGCTTGCTGAATGCCACCAACCTGGCTTCAGGGAGCCTGGGCCCAGAACTAGCTGTAACTCTGGTTCTGTGCGACAGGAAAGCCAATGCCTGTCAGCCACACTTCCACCGGGAGAAACAGTCTGGCAGTCCTTCCCAGGTTGAACCCACCTATTCAAAAGCCGAACCATTGCACATGGAGCTAGGGAGACCCCGAGCTGTTGAGCAGCTGAGAAGCCGTCAGGCCAGCAGAGTGGCTCTACATCCTGGCTCAAGATCTGACAAACAGGCCGGGCGCGGTGGCTCACGCCTGTAATCCCAGCACTTTGGGAGGCCGAGGCGGGTGGATCAAGAGGTCAACAGATCGAGACCATCCTGGTCAACAAGGTGAAACCCCGTCTCTACTAAAAATACAAAAAAATTAGCTGGGCATGGTGGCGCGTGCCTGTAATCCCAGCTACTCGGGAGGCTGAGGCAGGAGAATTGCTTGAACCCAGAAGGCGGAGGTTGCGGTGAGCCGAGATCGCGCCACTGCCTGGGTAACAAGAGCGAAACTCCGTCTCAAAAAAAAGATCTGACAAACAGCCCTGCCGGCCACCTCTGATGGACACAGCACAAGGCCAGCCAGCATCTGTGTGCCCGTGTCTGGGACCTAGGAAAGAGTGTGGCAGATCAGCTCACGACAGACATGCCCCCAGGCTGGTGAGCAGATACCAGCCCCCATCCTCGGCCTGGGAACCAGCTGGTGGGCTAGCTCCCAGAGGACCTCCTCCTGTGACTGTCCAGAGGTCCCAAGTCAGCACCCAGGGCCTGAAAACAGCTCAGCAAATCCGCTCCTGGCCAAGCAGCCACAGGCTTGCAGCCCAGGTCGGAGGAACAACCCCTAGAGCCACCCCAGTGGGCACCCCCTGGAATAGCCAACTGGTCACACACCCACATCCAGGACCTGAAAAACTGCCGGGCCGTTCTGCTCCCAGTGGTCATGTGCCCAGGCAGGCTACGCAGTGATACACACACTTCCAGTGGTGGGAAATACCCTGGGATGGTTTGGATGCGTGCTCCACCCAAATCTCATGTCCAGTTGTAATCCCCAGTGTTGGAGGTGGGGCCTGGTGGAAGGTGACTGGATCCTGGGGGTGGATCCTCATGCATGGTTTAGCACCATCCCCTGCATGCTGGTCTAATTATCATGATTAGTGAGTTCTTGCAAGAGCTGCTTGTGTAAAAGTGTATCGCACTCCCCCTTCTCTCTCTCTTGCTCCAGCTTCCACCACGTGAGAAACCTCCCTCGCTCTTTGCCTTCCCCCACGATTGGAAGTTTCCAGAGAAGCTGCTATGCTTCCTGTACAGCCTGTAGAACCATGAGCCAACTGAACTTTTCTGTATAGATGACCCAGTCTCAGGTATTTCTTCTTTTTCTTTTTTTTTGAGACGGAGTTTCACTCTTGTTACCCGGGCTGGAGTGCAATGGCGCGATCTCGGCTCACCGCAACCTCCGCCTCCTGGGTTCAGGCAATTCTCCTGCCTCAGCCTCCCGAGTAGCTGGGATTACAGGCACGCGCCACCATGCCCAGCTAATTTTTTGTATTTTTAGTAGAGACGGGGTTTCACCATGTTGACCAGGATGGTCTTGATCTCTTGACCTCGTGATCCACCCGCCTCGGCCTCCCAAAGTGCTGGGATTACAGGCGTGAGCCACCGCGCCCGGCCCCAGGTATTTCTTTATAGTAATGTGAGAACAGACTGATGCAGAAAATTGGTGTTCAGGAGTGGGGCATTGCTATGAAGATACCTGAAAATGTGGAAGTGACTTTAGAACTGGATAATGGGCAGAGACTGGAAGAGTCTGGAGGACTCAGAAGAAGACAGGAAGATGAGGGAAAGTCTGGAACTGCCTAGAGACTGGTTAAATGGTTGTAACCAAGTGCTGATAGTGATACGGACAGTGAAGGCCAGGCTGACTGAAGGCCAGGCTGACGAGGTCTAGATGGAAGTGAGGAACTCACTGGGAACCAGAGCAAAGGTCACTTTTGTTTTGCCTTAGAGAAGAATGTCGTTGCACTGTGCCCCTGCCCTAGGGATCTGTGGAACTTATTTGAGCGCAATGATTTAGGGTATCTGGTGGAAGAGATTTCTAAGCAGCAAAGCATTTGAGATGGGGCCTGGCTACTTATAACAGCCTATGCACATATGTGTGAGCAGAGAAATGACCTAAAGTTGGAACTTGTACTTAAAGGGAAAGCAGAGCATAAAAGCTTAGAAACATTTGCAAACTAACCACGTGGTAGAAAAGCAAAGCCCATTTTCAGGGCAGGAATGCAAGCCAGCAGGCTGCAGAAATTTGCACGAGTAAAAACAAGTCAAGTGCTAATAGCCAAGACAATAGGGAGAAGGTCTCAAAGGCACTTCAGGGAACTTCGTGGCAGCCCCTGTTATCACAGGTCCAGAGGCCTAGGAGGAAAGAATGATTTCCTGCCTAGGCCCAAGGCCTCGATACCCTGTGCAGTCCTGGACACTGCTATCCACACCCCACATCCAGCAGAATGATTTATAACCCTGTGTGTATATACCCAGTAATGGGATTGCTGAGTCAAATGTATTGATAATTCTAGATCCTTGAGGAATTGCCACTGTCTTCTACAACAGAACTAATTTACACTTCCACCAACAGTGTAAAAGTGTTCCTATTTCTCCACATCCTCTCCAGCACCTGTTGTCTCCAGATTTTTTAATGATGGACATCTAAGTGGCCTGAGATGGTAACTCAGTGTGGTTTTGATTTACATTTCTTTTTTTTTTTTTTTGAGACGGAGTTTCGCTCTTGTTACCCAGGCTGGAGTGCAATGGTGCGATCTCGGCTCACCGCAACCTCCGCCTTCTGGGTTCAGGCAATTCTCCTGCCTCAGCCTCCCGAGTAGCTGGGATTACAGGCACGTGCCACCATGCCCAGCTAATTTTTGTAATTTTAGTAGAGACGGGGTTTCACCTTGTTGACCAGGATGGTCTTGATCTCTTGACCTCATGATCCACCCGCCTCGGCCTCCCAAAGTGCTGGGACTACAGGCGTGAGCCACCGCGCCCGGCCTTGATTTACATTTCTCTAATGACCAGTGATGATGAGCTTTTTTTCATATGTTTGTTGGCTGCATAAATGTCTTCCTTTGAGAAATGTCTGTTCATATCCTTCACCCACTTTTTGTTGGGTTGTTTGTTGAATCAACCTGTTGTTGGCAAGGAAGAGAAACTCATTGTGTTGAAAACCACATGGACTGTAGCATCCCAGCTCACTGGGAAAGGAGCTGGGTGGAGAGCCTTTCCCACACACTGGGAGCATAGCTAACGAAAGAGGGAAACTCAGTGTTAAGGTTTAGGGTTCTTAGGAGGCCAACAGTTATTACAAAAGCCTTTGAGCTTTTTGATTTAGAACATGATGACTTGGTCGGGCGCGGTGGCTCACAACTGTAATCCCAGCACTTTGGGAGGCCGAGGCGGGTGGATCATGAGGTCAAGAGATCGAGACCATCCTGGTCAACATGGTGAAAGCCCGTCTCTACTAAAAAATACAAAAAATCAGCTGGGCATGGTGGTGCGTGCCTGTAATCCCAGCTACTCGGGAGGCTGAGGCAGGAGAATTGCCTGAACCCAGGAGGCGGAGGTTGTGGTGAGCCGAGATCGCGCCATTGCACTCCAGCCTGGGTAACAAGAGCGAAACTCCGTCTCAAAAAAAAAAAAAGGAATGTGATGACTCCCTAACTGATGTCATATGCTTCAGGGTCATTTTTCATTATATTTTTAAGATTTTTTAAATAATTTTCACCAATTTCCTTTTTTTGTATTTTGGCCTTTTCCCACAATTTCAAATAATGGTGGCTCAACCTCCTTGTAAATCCTATATAGGCTGGGAGCAGTGGCTCACAGCTGTAATCCCAGCACTCTGGGAGGCCAAGGCGGTCAGATTGCCTGAGGTCAGGAGTTTGACACCGGCCTGGCCAACATAGCGAAATCCCATCTCTCCTAACAAATGCAAAAACTAGCCAGGTGTGGTGGCAGGTGCCGGTAATCCCAGCTAATTGGGAGGCTGATGCAGGAGAATCGATTGAACCCAGAAGGTGGAGGTTGCATCAAGCCAAGATCGTGCCACAGCACTCCAACCTGGGTGACAGAGCAAGACTGTGTCTCAAAAATAAATAAACTAATGAATTAAATCCTATCTGTTGCCTTCCCTTAAACAGCTTCCCATGTGACCAGAGATGCTTATTCCATTCTGGAGTAAAGGAGAACAGCCTTGTGGTCCAAAGGAAGATAAGGATGTAGGGCTGTACGGAAACAGAAAACGCAAACGACAATCTCCCAGCAGAGTTGTGTGGGCATTACAGAGACAAGAGCTCCGAAGTCACACAGAAAGGCTTCAGACGGAATGTCTTCCGGACTGCTCAGACCTTGGGCATAAGTCACCAGAGCTGCGGAACTTGAAGTCATGGAGAAGGCCAGACTGCAGACCAAACGCCTGTATCAACGGCCTTTCAGCATCAGCATGATTTTACTTATTTATTTTGAGACGGAGTCTTGCTCTGTCATCCAGGCTGGAGAGCAGCGATGTCATCTCAGCTCATTGTAACCTCAGCCTCGTGGGTTCAAGCGATTCTCCTGCCTCAGCCTCCCCAGTACTGGGATTACAGGCACCTGCCACCGTACCTGGTTAATTTTTGTATTTTCAGTAGAGACGTGGTTTCCCCATCTTGGCCAGGCTGGTCTTGAACAATCCTGACCTCGTGATCCACCCACCTCGGCCTCCCAAAGTGCTGGGATTACAGGCGTGAGCCACCGCGCCCGGCCGGCACTTTAGAAAACTGAAAGAGCGTGGAGAAAATGCGCAGCTGTAAGTACAGAAAAGAGCCCAGGACCCATCACCGAGTGGCCCCTCCACCCTGATTCCAGCACTGACTCTCAACTTAGCTTCTCCCGCTGGGATCACAGAAAACTTTTCTCTGACTCCTTTTCAACTGCTCATTAGGATCTTCTCACTAATTGCCAAAAGCTGCTACTCATCACCAGCAGTGCCCGAGGGTGATTGGCACTGGTGATCAACTTGGCTCCTCCTCACTGAAGATTCTCCACTCTGCACACTGACAGTGGCACTGATGCCACAGATGACATGACTGTGGCATCCCTCTGGGGGAAAAAGTTCCAGGAACCCTGTCCCTATAACTAGAGACTCAGATAACCCCGGCACATACTGATTGACACTTCCCTGCACAGAGCTCTGGAGCCAAGACAGCCAGGTGGGTGCTTCCTTAGGTTCAGTCTCAGGGAAGAAGGAGATGAGTGTTATCCCACACATACCTGTGGCTGTGAGGTTACATCGTCCAGAGCAGGTGATAACTGCCTCATGCTGAGATTCTATTCATGCTCTGGCTGGGCAGGGGAGGGTGGGCTCGTGCTCACGACTGTCTAGGGGTGGGACCACAGGTGAAGGTCACTGCAAATCCCTGTGTCCTAGAGACCCCATCTATGAGAGAAAGAAGGACAGGGTCCCTTTGGAGTCTGAACCAAACCTTGGATGTCACTGAGCTCCTCAGCCATGTACACAAGAGTCTGCTCATTTTCCCAGACTTGAGAGATTTAGACTTTGGCCCAAAAGTGGGCCGGGTGCAGTGGCTCATGCCTGTAATCCAGCACTTTGGGAGGCCAAGGCAGGAGGATCATTTGAGGTTAGGAGTTTAAGACCAGCCTGGCCAACATGGTGAAACTTTGTCTCTACTAAAAATACAAAAAAAAAAAAAATGGCCAGGCATGATGGCAGGTGCTTGTAATCCCAGCTACTCAAGAGGCTGAGGCATAAGAATTGCTTGAACTCGAAGTGGAGGTTGTAGTGAGCTGAGAGTGCACTACTGCACTCCAGCCTGGGAGACAGAGTGAGATTCTGTCTCAAAAAAAATATTTTTTTAATTTTAAAAACAAAAACAAATAGAAAATTGGCAAAAATCATGTTTAAAAATTTACAAAATATGGGCCGGGCGCAGTGGCTCACGCCTGTAATCCCAGCAGTTTGGGAGGCCGAGGCGGGTGGATCACGAGGTCACGAGATCGAGACCATCCTGGTCAACATGGTGAAACCCCATCTCTACTAAAAATACAAAAAATTAGCTGGGCACAGTGGCGTGTGCCTGTAATCCCAGATACTCAGGAGGCTGAGGCAGGAGAATTGCCTGAACCCAGGAGGCGGAGGTTGTGGTGAGCCGAGATCGCGCCATTGCACTCCAGCCTGGGTAACAAGAGCGAAACTCCGAATCAAAAAAAAAAAAAAAAGTGATACCTGAATTCTGGGGTTCGGGGGGCTGGGCTTCAACAGACGGCTTTCAGGGGGATGCAGCTCAGCTGCGACAGTGACTGCAGGTGTCTAAACGGGGAGGACGCGCCACCCCGCGGGGGCCGGGTGAGCCAGGGCGCTGCAGGAAGAGCGTGGAGAGGACAGTCCGTGCTCTGCCCACGAGGAGCTCGAGCGCGCCCGGGATCCCAGCGGCTTCCCACGGCCCCGCCCGCTCTCCGGCGCCCTCTGCTGGGCCGGAATCCGAAACGCAGGGGAGCACTTTCCAGCTTCCTCCAAGCGTGTCCCACGAGGAAGCCGCTCGCCTCCAGGTGCTTAAACTCAGGTTCATCAGACACTGGCAAGAATAAGAAATCTCATCGACGCCGGCCACACTTCAAGCGTTCTACGTGGCATGTGGCTAGTGGCATCCCTTTTGCACGGCACAGAGAATTTCCAGGATCTCAGAGTTCCGCCAGACGCCCCGCCAGTGACCACTCAATCTCTGCAAAAAAGTGAGAGGATCCCGGGCTGGGCCGGGGGCGATGGTTCAGGCCTATAATCTCAGCACTTTGGGAGGCCGAGGCGGGCGGATCACCTGAGGTCAGGAGTATAATGAAACCAGCCTGGCCAACGTGGTGAAACCCCGTCACTACTGAAAATACAAAAATTAGCCATGTGTGGTGGCGGGCGCTTGAATTCCAGCTATTCCGGAGGCTGAGGCAGGAGAATCGCTTGAATCTGGGAGGCAGAGGTTGAAGTGAGCTGAGATTGAGCCACTGCACTCCAGCCTGGCTGACAGTGAGACTCCATCTCAAAAAAAAAACAAAAATGTGAGGATTCCAAACTGCCCACAACGTGCGGGCGCGCACACACACACACACACACACACAGCAGAAATCTCTTGAGGGCACTTCCCACTTAGGCCCCTCAGCACAGTGCTGTCCAGGGTAGAGACACACGTGGCCACACACAGGCCGTCCCCTGCATCTAGGGTTCGCCCACAGCAGCCCAGCCAGAGACGACACAGGGTGGAAGGAGATAATCTGCTACCCAAACAGTGACAGAGGCTGGGCCGGGTGGTTTATGCCGGAACTTTGTGAGGCTGGGGTGGGCGGATCATGAGGTCAGGAGATTGAGACCATCCTGGCCATGGTGAAACCCTGTCTCTACTAAAACACAAAAAGTTAGCCAGGCATGGTGCCGTGCACTGTAGACGCAGGAGGCTGAGGCAGGGGAGTCGCTGGGAGACGAAGGTTGCAGTGAGCCGAGATCGGGCCGCTTCACTCCAGCCTGGTGACAGCAAGACTCCATCTCAAAAAAAAAAAGAAAGAATGCAGTAAATACAGCTTAGATGAATAAATACATTCACTCATTCTACTTCAAATCAATACCCAATTGATATAATAGAGGGAAATCATTTAGGTAGATAGGGTGAAGACAGTCCCTGGGAAAAAGCATTCTAACAAAAAGGAGCTTAGAAATTGCTTCCTTTCAGCCCGGCGCAGTGGCTCACGCCTGTAATCCCAGCACTTTGGGAGGCCGAGGCGGGTGGATCACAAGGTCAAGAGATCGAGACCATCCTGGTCAACAAGGTGAAACCCTGTCTCTACTAAAAATACAAAAATTAGCTGGGCATGATGACACGTGCCTGTAATCCCAGCTACTCAGGAGGCTGAGGCAGAACTGCTTGAACCCAGGAGGCGGAGGTTGCGGGGAGCCGAGATCGTGCCATTGCATTCCAGTCTGGGTAACAAGAGTGAAACTCTATCTCAAAAAAAAAAAAGAAAAGAAACAAAGAAATTGCTCCCTTTCTAACCACACCACAGTTCAAAGAAATCACCTCTCCTAACAAAGAGCAGCCTGAAAGGTCAGCCTGTAAAACACAGATAAGCAACCTGGGCAGAGGGGGAGTTTCCTGGGTAATCACCAAACCACACACATACGGTGGGCCCCGATAAAAACAGTGGCCTTGGCCGAGCTCGGTGGCTCCTGCCTGTAATCCCAGCACTTTGGGAGGCTGAGACGGCCAGATCACCTGAGGTCAGGAGTTCCAGACCAGTCTAGACAACAGGTGAAATCCTGTCTTTACTAAAAACACAAAAATTAGCCGGGCGTGATGGCAGGCACCTGTAGTTCCAGCTACTCAGGAAACTGAGGCAGGAGAATCGCCCAGGAGGTGGAGGTTACAGTGAACTGAGATTGCGCCACTGCCCTCCAGCCTGGGGGACGGAGCAAGACTCAGTCCTCCCCGCACCAGAAAAAACCAGTGGGCCTTAATAAGCACATTCCTTTCCCTTTCTTTAGGCACAGTAAGATAGGGAAGCTGGAAGCGTGCACAGGGGAGATGTCTGCGGCTGCGAGGAGGAGCCTGGGAACGGGCACAGGAACTCTCCCTCCTGTGTTAGCACACGCAGATAGGCAGCACAGAGCAGCACAAACTGCAGGACTGAGGAATGCGGTGGGGGCTGGGCACGGTGGCCCACCCCTGCATTCCCAGCACTTTGGGAGGCTGAGGCAGGTGGATCACCTGAGGTCAGGAGTTCGAGACCAGCCTGGCCAACAAGGTGAAACCCCTGTCTACACTAAACACACAAAATTATAAAAACATAATATCCGGTGTGATAGCATAACCTGTAATCCCAGTTTCTCAGGCAGCTGAGGCATGAGAATTGCTTGGACCCAGGAGGTCAATGTTGCAGTGAGCCAAGAACGTATCACTGCACTCCAGCCTGGGCAACAGAGCCAGACTCCATTAAAAAAAAAAAGAAGGGCCGGGTGCAGTGGCTCACGCCTGTAATCCCAGCACTTTGGGAGGCTGAGACGGGTGGATCACAAGGTCAAGAGTTCAAGACCATCCTGGTCAACATGGTGAAACCCCGTCTCTACTAAAAATACAAAAAATTAGCTGGGCTTGGTGGCGCGTGCCTGTAATCCCAGCTACTCGGGAGGCTGAGGCAGGAGAATTGCCTGAACCCAGGAGGCGGAGGTTGCAGTGAGCCGAGATCGCGCCATTGCACTCCAGCCTGGGTAACAAGAGCGAAACTCCGTCTCAAAAAAAAGAAAGAAAGGAGGGAGGGAGGGAGGGAGGGAAGAAGGAAGGAAGGAAGGAAGGAAGGAAGGAAGGAAGGAAGGAAGGAAGGAAGAGAGAGACAGAGAGAGAAGAAAGAAACGGGTTGGGGCTGCTAAAGACTGTGCCCTATGTAGCTAGCACAGCTGGTCCTAACCGGTTCTTCGGGCCCTAGGAAGATACGACACCCCCTCCTCACCAGCCCATCTATAAAAGCCTGACATTTCTACTACAACTTGACAACCCGTTTGGGCCCCCTCTCTGCGACAGAGCTGTTCTTTCCTTTTGCCTATTAAACTCCTGCCCCAATCCCACCCTGTGTGTATCCGCATCCTTGATGTCCTCGGCTGTGAGACCTAGGACCTTGGTGTTTACCCCCGACGGCAAGCCAGGCAGGGTCCCGAAAGCTCAGCGTTTTAAGGGTGGAACAGGGAGAAGTTGTCATGGATGTCAGGATAGGCTGGGAAAGGGGAGAGGAGACACAAGGTCCTTGGTCAAATAATGTATTTCTTAGATACTAAGAAAAAGGGAAGGAAAAGTCAAGGAAGCTACAGAAGAAACAGTATCTTTTTTTTTTTTTAGATGGAGTCTCCTATGTTTCCCAGGCTGGAGTGCAGTGGCCTGATCTCGGCTCACTGCAACCTCCACCTCTCAGGTTCCAGTGATTATCCTGCCTCAGCCTCCTGAGTAGCTGGGACTACAGGTGCTTGCCACCACACCCAGCTAATTTTTAAAATTTCTTTTAGTAGAGATGGTGTTTCACATTGGCCCGTCTGGTCTCAAACTCCTGACCGCGTGATGTACCCGTCTCAGCCTCCCAAAGTGCTGGGATTACAGGCATCAGCCACTGCACCCGGCCGAAATGGTATCACGTCTAACCCTTTTCACATGGCTGTCCAGACTTGTTTCCAGCACCAAGTCCAGAACCAGGGACTCAGTGCCCCAGCGCCAGCCCTCCCACTGCAAACCCACACACACACTCACCATCTGGAGCTTGCCCTCCCACCGCAAAGCCACACACTCTCTCTCACCATCTGGAGCTTGCCCTCCCACCGCAAACCCCCACACTCTCTCTCACCATCTGGAGCTTGCCCTCCCACCGCAAACCCACACACTCTCTCTCACCATCTGGAGCTTGCCCTCCCACCGCAAACCCACACACTCTCACCATCTGGAGCTTGCCCTCCCAACACAAACCCACACACTCTCTCTCACCATCTGGAGCTTGCCCTCCCACTGCAAACCCACACACACTTTCACCATCTGGAGCTTGCCCTCCCACCGCAAACCCACACACTCTCTCTCACCATCTGGAGCTTGCCCTCCCAACACAAACCCACTCTCTCTCTCACCATCTGGAGCTTGCCCTCCCAACACAAACCCACACACTCTCTCACCATCTGGAGCTTGCCCTCCCAACACAAACCCACACACTCTCTCACCATCTGGAGCTTGCCCTGCCACCGCAAACCCACTCTCTCACCATCTGGAGCTTGCCCTCCCAACACAAACCCACACACTCTCTCTCACCATCTGGAGCTTGCCCTGCCACCGCAAACCCACTCTCTCACCATCTGGAGCTTGCCCTCCCACCGCAAACCCACTCTCTCTCACCATCTGGAGCTTGCCCTCCCACCGCAAACCCACTCTCTCTCACCATCTGGAGCTTGCCCTCCCAACACAAACCCCCACTCTCTCACCATCTGGAGCTTGCCCTCCCAACACAAACCCCCACACTCTCTCTCACCATCTGGAGCTTGCCCTCCCACTGCAAACCCACACACACTTTCACCATCTGGAGCTTGCCCTCCCACCGCAAACCCACACACTCTCTCTCACCATCTGGAGCTTGCCCTCCCAACACAAACCCACACACTCTCTCTCACCATCTGGAGCTTGCCCTCCCAACACAAACCCACTCTCTCTCTCACCATCTGGAGCTTGCCCTCCCAACACAAACCCACACACTCTCTCTCACCATCTGGAGCTTGCCCTCCCAACACAAACCCCCACACTCTCACCATCTGGAGCTTGCCCTCCCAACACAAACCCACTCTCTCTCTCACCATCTGGAGCTTGCCCTCCCAACACAAACCCACACACTCTCTCTCACCATCTGGAGCTTGCCCTCCCAACACAAACCCACACACTCTCTCTCACCATCTGGAGCTTGCCCTCCCAACACAAACCCACTCTCTCTCTCACCATCTGGAGCTTGCCCTCCCAACACAAACCCACACACTCTCTCTCACCATCTGGAGCTTGCCCTCCCAACACAAACCCACACACTCTCTCTCACCATCTGGAGCTTGCCCTCCCAACACAAACCCACACACTCTCTCTCACCATCTGGAGCTTGCCCTCCCACCGCAAACCCACTCTCTCACCATCTGGAGCTTGCCCTCCCAACACAAACCCACACACTCTCTCTCACCATCTGGAGCTTGCCCTGCCACCGCAAACCCACTCTCTCACCATCTGGAGCTTGCCCTCCCACCGCAAACCCACTCTCTCTCACCATCTGGAGCTTGCCCTCCCACCGCAAACCCACTCTCTCTCACCATCTGGAGCTTGCCCTCCCAACACAAACCCCCACTCTCTCACCATCTGGAGCTTGCCCTCCCAACACAAACCCCCACACTCTCACCATCTGGAGCTTGCCCTCCCACCGCAAACCCACTCTCTCTCACCATCTGGAGCTTGCCCTCCCAACACAAACCCCCACTCTCTCACCATCTGGAGCTTGCCCTCCCAACACAAACCCCCACACTCTCACCATCTGGAGCTTGCCCTCCCACCGCAAACCCACTCTCTCACCATCTGGAGCTTGCCCTCCCACTGCAAACCCACTCTCTCACCATCTGGAGCTTGCCCTCCCACTGCAATCCCACTCTCTCTCACCATCTGGAGCTTGCCCTCCCACTGCAATCCCACACTCTCTCACCATCTGGAGCTTGCCCCAACCTGGCTCCCCATGGTAGGGAGCTGGAGTACCCCAGCCGCTCTGGACAGAACAGCAGCAAAGCCTCTGTGAACTTTGGCTGAACTGCAGGGAAGTGAAACCACAATAGAAGGATGTGTATGTCTTGGGGTAGAAGAGATCGGCCTAGAGAGATACCAGCTTTCGCCGACCTTGCTGTAAGATAGTTGTTAGCTGAAGTATGTTAACTGGGGTATGGGAATAGTATCCACAGGCTGTTCTAAGTAACGGCACCCTCCCTCTGCTGTGTGCTTTGTGAACATGTCAAGTACACTGAGACAGGTCGGGGCAGAGACTGGCATCCTCACCTCTTGGACCGCCTGGCCCAGCTTTCTCTATGTCCTTCATCCCACACCGTTCCCTCTTAGGTCTTTGAACCCTTGTGCAGCACAGGCCACAGCACAGGCCAGACACCGTGACATCTGGACCTAGCCACTCCTGGGTGAGGGGCCCTAAGCCCACCTCCCCCGAGGACGCAGCAATGCTTGATTCAGGTGGGCCATTCCCCACAACACAAGCCATTCTGCATCCTCACATCCAGAGCCTCTGAGCTACCCTTCATTCCCTTTGAGAACGCGAAAACTGCTGCAGGGGTTCCACCCATAAATGCATGAGTTACACTTTTTTAATTTTTGAGATGAAGTTTCGCTCTTGTTACCCAGGCTGGACTGCAATGGCGTGATCTCGGCTCATCACAACCTCCGCCTCCTGGGTTCAGGCAATTCTCCTGCCTCAGCCTCCCAAGTAGCTGGGACTACAGGCACGCGCCACCATGCCCAGCTAATTTTTTGTATTTTTAGTAGAGATGGGGTTTCACCACGTTGACCAGGATGGTCTCGATCTCCTGACCTCAAGATCCACCTGCCTCAGCCTCCCAAAGTGCTGGGGTTACAGACATGAGCCACCACGCCCGGCCAAATTACACCTTTCGACAGTAACACCCAAGGATGACTAGAGAGCGTGTAGTTATCATTTTTAAATGTTTCATGGGAGGAGCCATGAGGAGGCTGTAGGTGAAACAGGAGTGTCTAAGATGCAAATGATGGCTGAACAGCAGTGAGGCCTTCGCGAGGTTGGGAGGGCTTATGATAATGCTGTGCATAATTTTGGGTGCTTCAAGATGTCAGTCAGAAAGTTTGTATTTCTGAAGCAATCATTAAATAGTGCTTTGTGAAATCATAAATATCCAAAGTAAAATACTGTGGATGAAACATAACCTTATAGAATTATCCCTAAACGCACATGACCACCACGAGCAAGCAGTCCCTAGCAAACAAGCGGCAGAAGGAACGGTCTCCCGGTGGAAAGCCTGCTGGACCCTGTGGGAGCCTGGGTGTCCCAGACCCCTGCCAGGTACAAGGACTCGCCAGGGGTCAGCACACTTTTTCTGAAGAGCCAGACAGGAGGTATTTGAGGCTCAAGGTCCAGGCCGCCTCCCCTACACCTGCTTCATGCGCTACTGTAGTGCACCAGCAGCTGCAGCTGCATTCTAGGCTCGCTGCCTTCTAGTAAAACTTTTTTTTTTCTTTGAGATGGAGTTTCGCTCTTGTTACCCAGACTGGAGTGCAATGGCGCGACCTCGGCTCACCGCAACCTCCGCCTCCTGGGTTCAGGCAATTCTCCTGCCTCAGCCTCCTGAGTAGCTGGGATTACAGGCACCCACCACCATGCCCAGCTAATTTTTTGTATTTTTAGTAGAGACGGGGTTTCACCATGTTGACCAGGATGGTCTCGATCTCTTGACTTCATGATCCACCCGCCTCGGCCTCCCAAAGTGCTGGGATTACAGGCGTGAGCCACTGCGCCCAGCTCTAGTAAAACTTTTTAAAGCAAGCCACCAGCCCCGGGTCTGCAGTTTGAGAAGCCCGTGGTCACCTGTGATGTGAGCGGGCAGGTTTCTCACAGCCAAGGGCCTGGCAGGACGGTACTTGAGGGGTGAGCTGGCCGACCCAAGGCATCACAGAGACAGACAAGTTCTCAAGAAATAAAGTGTTTCTTTCTGTTCAATGAGAAAGTGAGGGAAAGGCGGGGGCTGGCTGGGAGAGTGTCTGTGTGTCTAAAACTGAGTTTCAGTGTAAAGAAAAAATCAAGGGCGGAACTAAAAGCCGAGGCTGGCGTCGCAGTTCCAGAGCCAGGGGCAGAAGTGGCCTGAGTGTGGGTGGGCGGGAGACACGGGAGTCAGCGAGAGCTCCCAAGGGCCCCAGAAAGGTCCCCTCAACGCCCTCCCCACCCAGTCTCTAGGCCCTGGAGTCAAGAACCAGGAATGCCCCACGCCCCATCCACTTCTCCAGTCCCAGGGAAAAGTTCTGTGGGGTTTTGTCCACTTCTGCTCCTCTGGGGGAAGATGCCTGGTCAGAAGCACAGCTCTGACCCCAAAGAGCTGGGTGGGAGCACCGCCGTGACTCTTGCTCGTCCAAACCCGAGAATTCTGACCTCCTCCTAGGCCTGTCTGTGCACGTCCTTATAAAATTGTTTTGGCAGACGAACCCCACCCCTGCTGCCCCCCTCACATCTGATCGGCTTTTTCATCCTCCACCATCCCCAGGCAACGTCTCATCACCCTGGCCTGCCTTCAGCAAGAATCCTGCTAGGTGGGTTCAGCCAGCACCCCCAGACCCCTGAGGTCTGCTTAGTGATCTTCCATCCCCTGATGGAGGAGAGGACCACCTATCTCTGTGGTCCTGAGTAACACCCTCCTTATGGCCACTGAACAAGCTCGCCATCCCTCTGGGGATAGAGACACATTTGCTGTAGAAAGTGACGCACATACGGTGGGGGCAAACCCTCGATCTGGACACAGCAAGCTCCCAGCATTCACCCATGTGTGGTCACTAAGCCCTGGTGCTGGGGCCTCATCGGGGACTCTCACGTGGCAGCTCCTGCTAGGCACTTTGGTGGCTGGAATATTCTGGAAAGAGGAATAAAGGAGACACGAGATCTCTGGTGCTGCTTTGATTCGCACTGTAGGGAAAGGAAGATGCCGAGGATGCTGTAATTTATGCGCAAGTGCCGTGTGGGTTTTTGTAGCTTTTTCAATACTATGTTCTCTGTTTCACCAAGTGAGGACATGGCAGGGAGAACCCTTCCACTGGACTAAGCCCAGCTGTGACAGGTGAACATCTTCTGCCTCAGCTTCTTCAGTAGAAAGGGGTGAAGGCAGTATGAAATAGTGCAACTGGTCCTTCATCTGGCCAATGGAGGGTCTGACAAGTAAGTGAAGGAGACCAAGACGGGCGAGAGGGAGGCTTGCCTCCCCTTCCCTGCGATCCCATCCCCAGCCGCCTTTGGCTGGCTCTCCGTGCCCTGTGGGGAGCTCCCCCATCACCAGGGCCTACAGCAGGAGGGTCTCAGAAAGCCCAAGCATAAGGAATGCTTGTGGCTGCCCAGGGACGGCCCCCATTTTCTCCCTGGAAATCACTCCCCACAACACATCCAGGTGGGGTGTGAGAAGGTGGCTTCCCCTCCCTGGCTAAGCAGGGGAATGATCCTCTGCAACTGAATCTGGAACCAGCTGACCCCAAAGTTCCTGTGTCCCTGGCCCCACCCCCACTCTCTGACCTCATCCTGGTGTCTCCGCAGCACAAGCATGTGTCTGAAGACCCTCCTGAGCTCTCCAGAGCAGGGCCTCCTGCACTGGGAGCGACTGGCCACTTCTGGCCTCCCAGTGCCTGGACCTGCGTGGGCTGCAGCTCCGCCAGGCCTTGTGCCCTCCTACCCCCAACCCAGCCACCCCTGGACCCAGGAGGGTCAGGGAAATCAGGGCTCCTGATACAGAGGGGCTGGTTCCCAGCCACCCCTGAGAGACAGGACCTGAGCCCTGGGTCACTGGACAAAGGGGCTCAGAGGGACACACGAGTCACAGGTGGGAATCTGGGGGAGCCACGCCCATGGGAAGTGCCATTTATTCCCAAAGTCGCCAAAATCATCACCAAGGGTTCACCGAGGGTGTGTGAGGGGAACGAGGAGGCTCAAACACTGACTGGGGGTTGGGAATTTGAGGGAGGGGAACATATGGGGCCCCAGCCGCCCCTCCCCCTCTAATGCCACGAGAAAGGGTCTTTCTCTGGCCAGCTCCCTCCCCAGGCCCCATGTCCAGTTTCTCCCCCGGGAGGCAGGGTGGGAAAGGGAAGAGGGTGTAGTGTGAGTGGGCCCCAGGACAGGGAAGGGCACTGGGGGCGCGCACCCCCATTTCACATGCACTCACAACACTGATCTCCCAGAGAGCCGGAATGGGGGCGGCCAGGTGGGGCCAGGTCCCCCTCCTGCCCTGGATTATAGGAGGAAGGGGTTAGTGTTGGGGGCCGGGGGACCCGGGGGCATCATGGGGGGCAGGCCGGGGCCCCCACCGAGGGGAGAGATGTATGTGGGTGGCGCTCCCGCGACAGGAGGCACAGGACTGAGACGGAGCTGGTTCAAGGTGAGCGTCGCGGGGGGCGCGGGCTGGAAGGGGTTGGTGACGGAGGGGCTGGCGGCTGGGCCTCCTGCAGGGAGAGAAAACCAGAGACAGGAGCAGAGTCAGCAGCGCAGCCACCCGTGTCCATCCGGCACGTGCGGGCGGGGGCGTGAGATGCCTGCTCTGCTGGGACCCATGGGGAGGGTGCAGGCAGGCAATGGGGCCACACTCACCGCCTGGCAGGAAGGGGTTGGAGGCCTTGGCTCCAGGCAGCGTGGGGCCTGGCCGGCTCACCAGCGAGTCCAGGTCGACGAGGGCTGCATTGGGCCCCAGGAATGACTCCGGCGTCTTCCGGGTTGGGGGTGTGGGAGTTGGCGTGGCTGCAGGTGGCGGGCTGCCCACAGCCTCGGCCAGAGATCCCCTGACTCCACTCATGTCAAACGCCCCAGGGCTTCGGGCCGGCACCTCTCCTGCCAGCAGCTCCAGCTCCCCTGGAAGGAGCGGGAGGGGCTCAGAGGGGCAGACAGCAGTGAGGTCCCAGCCCAGGAGCAGTACAGGCGTCCTGGGAGGCGCTTCAAAGGCCCCGGTGCCAGAGGCCTTGGGAAGGAGAAACTGAGGCATTGCTTGCCCAGGCCAGAAGCTCGAATGTCAGCCCAGATTCCAAACAAGATGGGTCTGATTGCAGTGAGCAAACTGAAGAGGAATGGCGGACCCTGGTGTAACCCTGACAACCACAGGGCAGCACCTGCTGAAGGGATGGGCCGTCTAGGGTCTCCAAGCCAGCATGGGCCTGTCACGGGCACCTCAAGGCTCACAGGAACCTGCCCTCAGACGCTCCCTGACTACAGGGTCCCCAGCGGGAGCTTCCAAGTGGACAGACAGCACAGCAGACATGTGTTCCAGGCTGGTGTGAAGGCGTCTGTTGGCTGGAGGTCCTTTTTTTTTTTTGAGATGTAGTTTTGCTCTTGTTGCTCAGGCTGGAGTGCAGTGACGCGACCTCGGCTCATTGCAACCTCTGCCTCCGGTTTAAGCAATTCTGCCTCAGCCCCCTGAGTAGCTGGGACTACAGGTGTGTGCCAGCACGCCTGGCTAATTTTTGTATTTTTAGTAGAGACGGGATTTTCAGCATGTTGGTTAGGTTGGTCTCGAACTCCTGACCTCGTCATCCATCCCCCTTGGTTTCCCAAAATGCTGGGATTACAGGCGTGAGCCACCTCGCTCGGTCTGATTTTTTCTTTTTAAGTAGATTTAAGAATTCTATCTAATGTTGAAAAAAGGCACACGTTTGTATGGGACAAAAAAGGGCCTAAAAGAAGGGAACCTGCAGGCTGGAAGCTAGTTGAGACGAGGGGTGGGCTGCGCTCAGTCCCGGCAAGGTGCCCGCCTTCGGTCAGCGGAAGCAGGGTTCTGTACCACAACCTGTGCTTCAGTAACAGCTCGGTTAAAAAAAACAAGTGATCAAAGCCGACAGACTCATCATGGACAGACAGGGTTGGGGCCGCGGCAAAGCACTAGCGGCCCACCATGACCTCAGACACTCCTGACGGAGGAAGAGCCACCCCGGGACTCGGAAGACGGGCCTCATGGGTGGTGGGTGCCAGGAAAGGCCCAGTGAGCCAGTGCAGCCAGCAGCACCCGAGAGGATGCACCCTGGCCCCGGCGCCGCCAGCAGGTGAGTGAGGACCTGGGCTGCCTTCCACACCCCTGTCCATGGAGCTTGCTGCACAGGACAAGACAGTCCCTGTTCTCTGACACACCTGTACAGTTTGCAAGGCATTCGAGTGATGTGGAGGCAGAGAGGGTCAGAGGTCAACATTTGGGTGGGAACCCTTGAGAAGCACTCCCCACTTTTCTCTAAGTCTGCAATCTAAAATAAAGAAGCGTACTCTCTTAAAGACAGGTGGATGGTTCCGGCCCCCACTATCCACCTGAACTTTTCATCCCTAAGTCCAGCCGGCCCTGCCTGGAGCAGGACAAAGCAGCAGGGGACAGTGCTCCCGAAGAGCCAGCGAAGGCTCCCTCTGGTCGCTGGGAAGGAGGGGAGAGGCTCACCCGCGCTGCTCCCGGGGGTCGGCAGGGCCGTTCGGAGTCGGTCGAAGTCAGAGAACTCATCGGGCTCCGTGTGGAAGCCCCCGGCGGCTGTGGGGTCAGGGTGTTCTGCTCAGCACCCCTCCAGTCCAGGCACCCACCCCTCCCTTAGGATGCTAGACACTAACTTCTCCCACCCACCCCCACCCGGGGCTCTGTTCCCACCCCGACTCCAGTACCTGTGGTGCCATTGGTGCTGGGCTTTGCAGGTGACCCTCCCCAGGGGTCCGAGAAGGCCGGGGCCGGTGTCCAGGGATCAGAGGCGGAGGGTCCACTGACCGGGGCCCCACCTGGGTGACGACAGAAGAGCCTGAGGGCTGGCAACCTTGAATGCCTGGGTGGCTGAGGGGACCAGTGCCTCTGAATCTGTGGCTGTTTACAAAAAAGCCTCCCCACTGCCCCCAAGAGGCCAAGCCCACCGGGCCTCCCGCACACACCAAGTTCCAACTGGGCATCACTGCCAGGCTCTGCCCCTGGAACCCCAGTTGCGGTGAGGGGTATCCCCACGGCCACTGCAAGACCTGACCAGCCCTCCCCAGCTCCCATGGCTCCCCTACCCTTCCCGTCCAGCTGGGCGTCAGGCCCCTTCTCCACCTGCACCTCCCAGCTCCACCCACTGAGCTCCCCAGATGCCTACACCACACAGGCTCTGCCCTGGCTATAGCCTCGGCCCCTCGGCTGAGCTTCTCACCCTCTCCATAGCACCCTACCATGTCCTCCAAGGCACAATCTCACGCACATTGTGCTGGGCTGTCTCATACGACCCCTCTCGGCCCCTCTCCTGCACCCAGGACGCCCCCACCACTGCCCTGGCGCCATTTAGCTGCATCTGTCCCTGTCCAAGGGCACAGCCAAACAAGGACAGGTGCACACAGGCTTGGAGGCTTCGTGCAAGCCAGCCACACACTCACCATCGGAGCTTCCCCATGGATCCGGCGTGGGCCCCTCTCCAGCCGCAGGGGCTGGGGTCCCACCCCAAGGGTCAACTGAGGGTCCTGCAGGGGCAGCAGGCCTCCAGGGGTCCCCAGAGGCTGGCGTGGGGGCTGAACCCCCCCAGGGATCAGCAGCCGGAGGGACAGGGGGGCCACCCCAGGGGTCTGGGGTGGGGGCAGCCGTGGGGATGGCAGCAGCCACGGGTGCTGGGCCCCCCCAGGGGTCTGTGGTCGGGGGAGGAGCTGGGGCTGTGAAGACGTCAGCAAGATCCATGAGGGATGACTGTGGGGGAGAGAGAAGAGAAGGAGCATGAACAAGCGGTGGGAAGCCTGGGACAGGGACCAAGCTGGGGACCAAGCTGGGGACCAAGCTGGGCACCAAGCTGGGGAGGTGGCCAGGCCCTGGGCAACCAGACAGCAGCCATCCATTCAGAAGGAATGAGAGGGAAGCAGGCCCCAAACATGCCACCTGTGCTCCCTCCTCGAACGTCCTGGGGTCGGACAACCTCTGCCAGCCTCCCCTACCCCAGGGCACCCCAACATGGCCTCCACCCCTGCCCGCATCCACTCTCCACACTGCAGCAGGGCAGTCCCTTCACCCCACCTGCTCCCAGGTCCCCTGGCCCTGACTAAGGACAGAGGCTGAGCCGTCCCTCTGTCCACTGCGCCTTCTCTAGCCAGCCCCTGTGCCATGCCTTCCCCTGGGAAGCCCCTGTTAACTGTCACTCAGGCCACTCTGAGCACCTCTCATGATGCCCCCACACGGCCCTGCAGTCATCACGCTGCAGGCCTTCCCGTGCCACATGCACACACAGCAAGGTCCTGTGTTCTGGAGGTGGGCACACGACGGGCCCGGCTAACCAGAGTGCTGGTCTCGGAAAGGGGAGGTGCCCCCACATACTCATGCAAACACCTCCAGTCGGCACCATGAGGCAGAGGCCCTGGGGGGCTGTGAGGGGAAGAGCTGAGTGTGGGGTAGGGGCAGGGGCAGGGGCAGAAGAGATGGGTGAGACCTGGCGCTCCTCCAGCAGGGCAGCCCTGGGGTGACTCTGAGCTGTGACAGAGGCCTCTTGACCGAGGCCAACCTAAAGAGGCTTTCTGTCTACCAAGAAAGCCCCACTGTGCCTGATCACAAGCTGCCTGCTGCCTCCCATGGAGAGCGGCCTCGTCCCCACCCCTCGAACCTGGGCTGGCCCCTCAGGACCCGCTAAGACCAGCAGCAGTGCAGGCTGGCGAGCCAGCTCCAACCCAGCCCAATAAACTTGTCCTGTGGGGGGTGGCAGCAGCTGCTGTGCTGTGAGGACACTTGGGACAGACTAGTGACCGGGGAGAGGCCAGGGGAGGAGGTCAGAGGGCAAGGCCCGTGTGGATGTCCCAGGCCCAGCAGCATGAGTGACCTCAGCCCTGACTCAAAACAGAACCAGCCAGCGGATCTCATCATAGAGAAGCACTGAAGCATGACCTGGACGCACAAGGTCGTGGGTTTGCTACTCAGCTGCAGAGCACAGAACGCCACAGAAACACTGTCTGGGAGGGCAGGACCACGCCTCCCTCGCTCACCAGCACACGGCCTGGCACCAAGGAGGTGTCGGAGCAAGTGGGGCGGATGGCCGTGTCAGCTGCTGGCCTATTCCGGGCCTTCCTCATCCAGCCGAGACGGCTGGTGGTGGCCCTCACAGTGCTCAGCCTGAAGTGGGATGACCAGCGCTGACCACAGGAGGTCACAGGGCAGCCTGGTCAGTCAGCGGCCTCACCCCAGCAGGGAGGGAGAAGCAGGCTTGTTTGTCAGCCTCTGCTCCAGGCGCCTGGCCGCCCTCGGGAGCCCCGCTCACCTCCTCCTTGCCCCCGGTCTCCCTCTTGCTCTCTTCGATCGCCATCTGCAGCCGCAGGTCATCCCCGCGCCGGATCCGCTCCTCCTGTGGGGCATGGGCAGCACCAGGAAGAAGCGAGAACATGAGCCACGGTGCCACCCCAGCCCACCCCAGCCCATCCCGGCAAAGGCGGCTGGCTGAAGGAGTTGATGGGATGCGGACGACGTATGAATGGGGATGGGACACCTGGGTCAGAGGTCAGGCAGGACACAGGGACTGAGGGGGTGGGGGCTGTGCTGGGGCACCCGGGGAGGACAGGCACCCGCTGCGGATGGGACACCTGGGTCAGAGGTCAGGCAGGACACAGGGACTGAGGGGGTGGGGGCTGTGCCGGGGCACCCAGGGAGGACAGGCACCCTCCTAGGTGGTATCTCCTGTGCCGGAAGAGGGAGGCACCCTGGTCACCCGAGGAACAATGGCAGGGCTACGCTGGCCGCCACCCAGGCTCTGTCTGACCTGAGGTCCTATATCCTACAGCTGAAGGTTCTGGCGTTTCACCTCTCGTGAGCCTGTGGACCTCGGCCCAGCAGGATGGCAGAAGGGGACTCAGGAAGGGGCGACGGGGCTGGTCTGAGGGGAGCCCCTGGCAGAGGCAGGGACAAAGAGGCTGCTCTGACCTTATCGTGCTCTTCTCGGCTCAAACTAAGGGCCAGCTGGAGCTGGGCGTCGTCCTCGGGGCCGCAGGACGGGGGCTGGGGGAGAGAGAGTGTGAGGGGCACGGCGGGAGGGGCCAGAGCCAGAGTCACAGAGGCGAAGGCAAAGGCAGAGCCAGGGTCAGATAGGGCCGAAGAAAGAGTGGGCTTGGGGTCCCTGAACCAGCAAGAGACAGGCAGAGAGGGACACGCAGAGGGACAGAGGGGTGAGGATGAGGCAGGCTGGGGAGGAGGCGAGTGATAGCACGAGAAGCGGTGACAGTGAGGGCCAGGCCCGAGTCTGGCCAGGAGGAGCGTGAGGTGAGGCGCGGAGGTGGGCGGCGGGCAGACAGCCGCGGCTGCACACCCGGTACCTGATCGGCCTCCTCCTTGCTCATGGCCAGGGCCAGCTGGAGCTGCAGCTCCTCCTCCCCGCTGCTCTGCGGCCATGCCTGCTCCGCCTCAGGAGGGGGCCCCGAGCCCACAGCTGCTGATGAGGCTGGAGGACGGGGGAGAAACTTATGAGACCCAGGCCAGGGAACAAGAGACAGGAAACCCCATGGATAGACAGACTGGGGCTTCTGCTTCCAAACCCCGCCGTCTCCCACCTCCAACCTCTGAGGGCCAAGACCAGGACTGAGAGGTGGGGACCAGATACCAGGTGCTCAGAGGAGGAGGGGCAGAGATGCAGGGTTCCCAAGAAGGGGTGCAGGCAGCCCCACCCATGGGAGAGGCCAGGCCTCCGGGAAGGACAGGAGCAAAAGTCGGCCTGATAAGCAGGTGGGGAACCCTGGAGGCCTCTGAGCCCTGCCACCATCCGGACTCTCTGCGGCCTGGGGTTTGTTGCTGGGCCCTGGGGGATGGGAGGAAGCGGGCTCCCAGGCCTGTGTCCCGGACTCATTGAGTGCAGTAGCTCTAGCAAGGAACAACTGGAATTTGCCAGGGAGAACAGCGTTGGTTTGATGGTGGAGTCCACGACCCGGCTGGGGTTGGGGAGTGGGCCAGCGAGGAGCCCTTGGTTCCAGGAGCAGGAAGGGAGAGAGGACACACGAAGGTAGGGCTGGACCTGCCAGGAAGGGGCCAATATCCCCAGCCTCAACTGCAGCAACCTCTCAGCGACCCCGCCTGCACTCACACTCTGACTGCCCTCTCTACCCGCAAGACCTGTGAACCCCAGCCCCTTTGCAGTCCAGGGGAAAGGCTCCAACCAGGCCCAGGGCCATTGCCCCAGCCTCCAGAGCCCCAGAGTGGACCCTGCCTCCCTGCCCCCCTGCCCCAACACTGTGGACTTGTCAACAAGTTCTGCTTCTCCAGCTGCAAGATGCCTTGCATCTGTGCCTGTACTTCCCTTCAAACCCTGCCCACGGCCCAGGCCCAGGCCTAGGCCTCTCCTCGATGAGCAGGCCCTGGCTTCCCCTTGCCTGGAGCCACAGCAGGCAGCTGTCTGGAGGCCCCACTCGCACTGGGAGCAGGGGCCCCAAGCTGGCCCCCGTGTGGTGAGCCTAGCAGGGCTGGGTGCATGGGTGCCCCAGGGGGCAAGTGTGCAGCAGAGCAGGGCGAAGAGTAACCATGTGAGGTGAGGATGAGAGAACCAGCAGGGACTAACGGACTTGGGTGGGTAAGTGGCCATCTGGAGGGGACGGGCAGACAGAAGGGCAGCGTGGGGCACAGGTGATGCCAGAGCACGGGGAAGACCACACCCCTCTGGCCCCTCTTCCCCTTCCCTGCCCCAGGACTCCCTCCTAACCTCTGAGGACATCACCTAACCTGTACCTTGCAAATGGCCCAACCCCCCAGCCCGGTGGTGATTAAATACAACGCCCCGAAGCCCTGAGGGCCCTGCCTCCCACATCACAGGTAATCCAGCACCCAGCCAGCAACACTCAGGCCTTCCCATCACTGGAGCACCCACCCTTGGTGCTACCCACTGGGGTCTCAGGGCGCACTCCCCAGCTGCCCCCATCTTCCTCCCCAGCCACAGCCTCCCCACAGCTCACTCCAGGACAGGGGCCAGCACACAACAGTGGCAGCCACAGGTGGCCTGAGAAGGTCTAAGAAAGGACTTTACATGTTTCAATGGCTGGAAAAAAATGAAAAGAATGCACCAAGATGGGCAAAAACTCAGAGCACTACCTTAAAAAATTAAATAACAATTTAAAAGTCTTAAGTCATGTGAAAACTACAAGAAATTCAGATTTCAGAGTCCTTGGTGAGTGTTGGAGAGGCGGAGCTGCTTCCCAACATCTGCCAGAAGGGCCAGGAAGCTGAGACTGGACGGCATGGCCAGCCAGCAAAGCAGAGGATGCTGGCTCTGGTCCTGCATAGAGTCTGACGACTCCCAAGCCATGATCTCCCATCCACAGGCCTCTGCCCTGAAGTAGCTCCCGGCTCCTGCCAAGGTCCCTCCTCAGTCCACCCCAACCTCGATGCCCACCTGCCTGCCTGCCTGCCTCGAGTGGCCAGCCCCTCTATGCCTCCTGCCTACCTACCTCCAGTTGACTAGCCCTTGTATGCTGCCCACCCGCCTCAAGCTGACCAGCCCTCTCTGCCACCCACACTCCCTCCTGGTATCCCCGGCTCTGAGCACTCCCCAGCCAGTCCAGCCTCCTTCCCTCCACTTCAAACTCTCTCTGCTCTAATGCTGTGTACAGGCTTGTGGGTCCCTACTCTGGAGTCTCGGCCATGCCTGTCTCTCCCCATGGATGCTGGACAGTGATCCCAAATGAGACCTGTCCAAACAGCCGAGACTTCACTAGACCAGTCCAGTCCCTCGAGCTGGACACCAGGGGGGCCATGGGCCCTCCCTGCTGTCTGTGCCAGCCTGGCTGACCTAGCTCCACCTCTAGGGCAGTCCTCCGGTGGCCTCGCCCCATCTCACACAGCTCCGCTGAGGTGCCTCCACTTCCTGGAGAGCAGGAAGAGCCTCGCAGACGTTCTCCCAGCCTCACTGCAGGCCAAAGGCAGCTAGACTAGTCTCTTCCCAACCACCATAGACAATACTTCCCAGCACAGTCCGAACCCACCCCATCCACAGAACTGGAAATGCTTCGTGGGACAGAGCCGTGGCCCATGTACTATTTCCACCATTTTCTTCAGTGCAGGTCACCTCCCAGCAGCCTGCGTCTGCCACCTACGCAAGCACTGTCAAGGCTCCTAACACAGGCCCAGACACCTGGAGCAACCCGCAGGCCCTGCCTCTGGCCTTCCTTCTGTGCCATGCCAGACCACCCTGCCTGTCCGATGTCCCTTCATCTCAGCACAGACAGAAGGACAGTGCCCCCAGGGGTCGCTGTGCGTGTCGCCTCAGAGCCCGGCCTCCAGCACTGGCTGCTCTCAGGCCCTGTGCCTGTTGGGGAGCGAGATAAAGGTCCCCAGTCCCAGGCCTGCCCTGGGGCATGGGGCAGGAGGCAGGAAGGGTACAGAGCTGCAGCAGGGGAGGAAAGGACCCAAGTGAGAGCAGAACCGGGGTCCCAGGCGGGGAGAGAGAAAGGGGCCGCCTCAGTCGCTCCTGCCTCTGCAGCCAGAGAGGACAGATCTGAGGCCACCAGGGGCCTCAGGAAGGGGGCTCACCCGTGGCGGTCTGTGCCAGCTTCTCCTTGGTCTTGAGTGCATGTGCCCGCTCCTCCCGCAGCCGGTCCTCGTCGCGCAGCAGGGCCACCAGTTGCTTGGCTTTCTCACGCACGTTCACGCCCTGGTCCTTGCCGTCGCGGTCCACGTACTGGAAGTCCTTCAGCGTCTGCACGGCGTACATGTTCTCCTTGCACTGCTGCGACACGCGCTCCGAGCCGGTCTTGATGAGGTACTCCATCAGCGTCATGGCCTGCGGGTGGGCGCGGGGACACCCAGTCACACGGCAGGCTGGAGACTGCACGAGGCCAGGCCCTGTCCCCACAGAGCAGCACGCAGCCACGCACAGGAATGGAGCATGGACAGACGCCATGACGGGGCCAGCCACAGGAGCACTGTGCTCAGCGACAGAAGCCAGCACAGAGGGCCACACTGCATAAGTCCGCTGAGACGAATCTCCAGAACAGGCAAATCCAGAGAGGCAGGGAGTGGACTACGGGTTGCCGGGGTGCAGGGAGGGAGGGACAGGGACCACCTGAAGGCTGTGGGTTTTCTTTCTGGAGCTAGACAGAGGCGCTGCACAACCTTGTGAATGGGCCAAACGCCGCGGAGCTGTTCAGTACAAAGTGGGAGCTGCACCGTGCAGGAGCTCCATCTCAACTGACAGAGGAGGCAATGGCCACTGCAGTCACCCTGGCCACCGTGGCATCGCTGGGTGTCCCGGAGCCCTGTCTATTTCTTTAAAACTAAAATCTAAAGTAACATGGCCAAGAAAACCACATCTGCTGAATCACAATGAATGGGGGGGGGCTTAGCATTCAGCTTGAAGTATGTCACCATTTCTGACTAAAACCTCACAGTGGCACTGAACAGCCTGGAACAGGAGCTGACCCGCTCTGCAAGAAGGGAGGAGATCCACACAAAGGCCTGTGTGGGCCCGGGCTCTCTCGGGAAGGGCACCCAGGTTTGACACCAGCGGGAGCAAGAGGACAGGCGGAGGGAACAGAACCATTCAATCTGCACCCTTTGGCATGTTTGCATTTTACACCATGAGAACAAACTCCCCCTTCAACAAGTTGAAATTAATTTGTTGGGGATGGGGGGGGGACCAAGGTCTCTGTGGCTCTCCCAACTCAGGCTCAAGTCCTGCACTTGGGGGGTCATGGCCCCTTTAAGGCTCTGCAGGGGGTGTCTTGGTCACTGACCTCAGAAAAAGGCACACCTTCACAGAGCCACAGAAACCCCCCGAGGGCTCCTAGGGCTAGAGTACTGCCAAAAAAAAAAAAGGAAGGACTCAGCTGTCACAACTAAGCTCTGTCTGAACCAAGGAGAAATGTGCCAGGAAAAATGCCAGGGCCATCCATATCTCTCGCCCTCTGAGGCAGCTGGACCTAGCTCTGGCAAGGCCTTTGGAAGGTGTGTTAACAGTATTTACAGTGTAATCAGAGATTAGTGTTTAACCAGCTCTCAAGGTATTCACAGAGGAGGAGAAAGGAAGCAAGGAAAGCCATTTGTACACCTTAGCACGCCGCAAGCCAAGAGGCAGTCCCAGCTGCAGAACTCCTGCGGCTCTTGTGTTCTGGAATTCGGAATTTTCATGAGTGCAGACCAGGAAAACAACACATATACAACACAGAAGAGAACCCTCCAGGCAGCGGGTTGTGCCCACACTCTGTGCCAAGTGAATCAAGAAAAACTTGTTTTCAGAGCTCTCTGGACTTTAGAATTGCAGCTAAAAAGATTGTGAAGTGGGAAATGAGCGAATACCCACCCACAGTGAAATGCATATATAAACCACAGCAAACTTACACAGTGGGACTACCACATACGCCAAAATAAAAAAACAAACGAGGAAGGGCGCAGTGCCTGGTGCCTGTCACCCCAGCATCATGGGAGGCTGAGGCTGGAGGATCACCTGTGGTCCGGGGTTCGAGACCAGCCTGCCCAACATGGCGAAACTCTGTCTCCACTAAAAATACAAAACAATTAACCAGATGTGGTGGTGCATGCCCGTAATCCCAGCTACTCAGAAAGTTGAAGCAAGAGGATTCCTTGGATCAGAGAGGTAGAGGTTACAGTGAGCCAAGATCACGCCACTGCACTCCAGCCCAGGAGACAGAGTGAGACTCCACTTAAAAATAAACAGGCTGGGCGCAGTGGCTCACGCCTGTAATCCCAGCACTTTGGGAGGCCGAGGCAGGTGGATCACGAGGTCAAGAGATCGAGACCATCCTGGTCAACATGGTGAGACCCCATCTCTACTAAAAATACAAAAATTAGCTGGGCATGGTGGTGCGCGCCTGTAATCCCAGCTACTCAGGAGGCTGAGGCAGGAGAATTGCCTGAACCCAGGAGGCGGAGGTTGCGGTGAGCTGAGATCGCGCCATTGCACTCCAGCCTGGGTAACGAGAGTGAAACTCCGTCTCAAAAAAAAAAAAAAATACATACATACATACCTACATACATACAACAAAATAAATTGGGCCAGTGGCTCAAGTCTGTAATCCTAGTGCCTTGGAAGGCTGAGGTAGGCAGACTGCTTGAGATCAGGAGTTCAAGACCAGCCTGGGTGACAATCTCTAAATAAATAAATTAAATAACAAGAAATTAGCTGGGCATGGTGGCACATGCCAGTCATCCCTGTTACTTGGGAGGCTGAGGCAGGAGGATCGCTTAAGTCCAGGAGGTGGAGGCTACAGTGAGCCGAGATCATACCACTGCACTCCAGCCTAGGCAACCATGAAACTCTTCCTCAAAATAAATGAACAATTGCTTTATGCAATAGCAGAGTCAACCTCACTGACCTGATGGTGACAGTGAGCAAAAGAAGCCACACACACATACACGACCACACATGTGACTCCACGTGTATAAAGTTCAGGAACAGTCTCAGCAGACTCAACTCAGACACACTGCTTGTGGGAGATGGGTCTCAGAGGGAACCTGGAAGCCCGGACGCATCCAGTACTCTCTGGGCAAAGCCTACACAGGTGTCCACGCGCGTTAAGAGCTAGCTGTGTTACACAATCATGACGTGCTTAGTACGTAACTCCTTAATGAAAACTTTAAACCCTTATTTTAGAAGAGAGCAAGTGGGCCAGGTGCAGTGGTTCATGTTTATATAATCCCAGCCCTTTGGGAAGCCAAGGCAAGAGGCCTGCTTGAGCCCAGGAGTTCAAGACCAGCCCGGGCAACAAAGTGAGACTCCCAACTGTACAAACAATTTGAAAGATTTTAAATTAGCTGGCCATGGTGGTACGTGCCTGTGGTCCCAGCTACTCCTCAACCACACCTGGAGCCCAGAAGGTCAAGGCTCAGTGAGCTATGCCTGTACTGCTGGATTCCAGTCTGGAATACAGAGAAACACCTTGTCTCTAAAAAAGTGGAAAAAAAGAAAAAAAAATTCAAAAAATAAGTCATTATCTCTCCTTTGCTTTTCTAAAAACAAACAAAAAGCAGTGGACAACTGCATAAAGCAACAGTCTTTTTTTTTTTGAGATGGAGTCTCTCTCTGACAACCAGGCTTGAACCAGGAGTGCACAGTCTCGGCTCACCGCAACCTCCACCTCGGTCTCCCGAGTAGCTGGGACCACAAGCACGCACCACCATGCCCAGCTAATTTTTTGTATTTTTAGTAGAGATAGGGTTTCACTATGTCAGCCAGGATAGTCTCGATCTCCTGACCTCGTGATCCACCCACCTCGGCCTCCCAAAGTGCTGGGATTCAGGCATGAGCCACCGCGCCCGACATTTTTTTTTTTTTAAGACATAGTTTTACACTGTCAACTGGAGTGCAATGGCATGATCTCGGCTCACTGCAATTTCTGCCTCCCGGGTTCAAGCGATTTTCTTGCCTCAGCCTCCTGAGTAGCTAGAATTATAGGCACCCTGGCTAATTTTTTGTATTTTCAGTAGAGATAGGGTTTTACCAATTGGCCAGGCTGGTCTGGAACTCCTGACCTCATGATCCACACACCTCGGCCCCCCCAAAGTGCTGGGATTACAGGTGTGAGCCACTGTGCCCGGCCAGCAACAGTCCTTTTTCATGTTTAAGGTAGCTTTGTCAAGGACACCCTGCAACGCAGAAATAGAGTTTAAAACAGGGATCAGCAAACATTTCCCTAAGAAGCCAGATGATAACAATACAGTTTTTCAGGCTATATACTCTCCGTCTCAACTATTCCACAGCCACAGATGAATGGGCCTGGCTGTGTTCCAATAAAACTTTATTTACAAAAACAGGCCATGAATGGGATGTGACCAGTGGGCTGTCCTTTGCTGACCCCTGCTTTAAAATAAAGACTGAGACCCTGCATTCGTCAGAGAACTCAGGTGACAGAGCTAAGCATCTCTGTATCTCAGTTCCCGCACCTGGAAAACAGAGGAGGAAGAAAGGTACTTCCTTCACCAGGTAACTGAGGATTCGAAGAGAACCTATGCGTGCTACACATACAAGGTACCAAATAAACCCCGGACCTTACTCACCAAGACTCACCCCAAAGGCCATGCAGGGAGGCCGTGCAGAGCCCCCACAGCTCAACCTCCCTCTCCACGGGGACAGTAAGACCCCCAAAGTGCCAGCCAGCAGGGTCGCAGGGTAGAACAGCCTGGAGTCTGCAGAGATGGGCCCAGGCCCAAGCCCCAGCTCCACTCTCTCTGGGCCTCAGTTTCCCCATCCATCAAAGTGGAAAGATTGCTCTCGCACAACCCACCACCTGGGACTGAATTGACAAAATAAGACCATGGTCGGGAACAGGACCCACTCTCGTGCCAGAACAGGTCAGCACGCTGGGCTTTGGAGAGGGCCAGAGGGGGTGGCAGCTTCACAGTGGCTCAGGCCCTCTGGGCCAGTCCCTCGTGCTTCCAGAAAGGGACTGCAGGATAGAAGTGCTCAGCCAAGAAGGCAGGCACTGGCTGGACGTGGCCCCAGGGAGCCCCTCTGGAGCCCTGCCCTGTGCCTGTGCTCAGTTATCATCACGTGCCGCAGTACAGACAACACTGACACACGCCGGCCCCACACGGCTGCTCTCAGGACAGCGTCCGGAGGGGATTTTCAGACACCATCAACCCTCCCCTGGGGCACTGAGGCTGAACCCTGCCCTCAGTGTGAGGAATCAGTGGTTCAGGGTAGAGCAGGAACCCCATGTCCTCAGCCACATGGGCTGGGGAACCCAAGCATTCAAAGCAAAAGGCCCGCGCCATGGACTCTGCTGTGGGGAGCACAGAAAGGAGAGCCCCAAGAATCAGGAAAGACTTCGAGGATGGAGAACACAGCAGGAACAGCGGGCCTGGGGAGGCTCAGGAGGCGCTGCAAAAACCACAGGGGAGGTTTTGGGGGTGACAGACACCTTGTGTGCCTTGACTGTGATGACAGTTACAAGATATGTCCATCTGTCAGAATCCAGAGAACTCTATCTTCGGAAAGGCTGGGTTTTACTGCATGCAAATTACACCTCAGTAACTCTACTTTTAAAAAGTTATTAGGAAAACCCAGGGTGGAAAGGCTGGCTGAGTCCTGTGACTGGCTGACTGCTTCCTCCAGGAAGTCTGCCCTGACCACTCGAGGCCTGCAGGGCCTTGTGCTGTTGCCTCCTCCACAGCACCCGCCAGCCTAACCACTCGACTCCCACCTACCCAGGAGCGCTTGAAGGCTGGGGTCAGGTCTGATCAGGGCTGGGTCCCTAGCACTACCCAGCAAGAGGCTGGCCCACAGGAGACCTCAGGACAAATAGTGCAGCATGAACAAAAGAATCCATCTGCTTCCCAGTGTAGACTCTCCCACCTCCTTTAGGGAGCAGCCTGCCAGGAACTGGAGGCCACATCCCCCTCTCCTGCCCGGCCTGGCTGCCAGCAGTGCATGCTCCCCAGCACTCTCAGGCCTTGGCACCTGCCGGCCCTGCCCAGAGGCCACACTCAGTCTCTGCCCCCACAGCATCACCTCTGCCACTGGCAGGCAGGATCTGCGCCTGGAGCCCCTCTGCACACCCAGCCCTCCAGCCCCACCTGCCCCATCCTTCCTCCTTGCCTCCATAGAGGCTCGCCTGCACCCCTAGCCGTTTCCATGATTCTAAACTCCACAAACACCACCCAGCTCTTCACAATGAACTACCCGTAACTGATTCAACTTGAGTTGACCTGATCTTGGTGTGTCGGGACGGGCATGAGAATAAGTCACAGGAAACCCACCTCCACTGCTCCAGTGTTTAGGTGGAACAGCGCTCCGGCCTCAGCCTCCTGCTCTGTGAGCGGAGGGAACCACCCCCACCTAGGCAGGAAGTCTCAAAAATCAGCAAGGACAGGGACCTCAGCTGCCCTGTTGGTCTCGTGCACCCTCCGCGGAGGCTTGCCAATGGAACAGCAGCAGCAGGACTATGACACTCACCAGCCCCCACGTCAAGTCACACGGGAAGGGACTCCAGACCCTCACGCAGAGGAAGATCCAGGGACCAGCCTGAGATCCTGCCACCGGGAGTGTAACCCGGCCCCAGCCTGTTTCCTTGGCCACTTTGCCATTACATAAGGAACACAATGACCACAGGCAGGGATTATCTGTGCGCTAAGGCCCCTGGCCGCTGAGTCCTGCTCACAGGCGCAACCCCTGCGATCTGCGTGTCTGGTCAGTGACTGGATCAGGGCCAGCAACTACGCTGCATCTGTGGCGAGCACTTCGGCCACGTTCACCGAAATTACACATGCACGAGCCTCTTGACGTGGCAGCTCCAGTTCTAGAAAACAGCAAATATATGAGGATATTCACGGCAGTCTTGTTCTTAAAAGCAAAGCACTCCAAAACCCTTTTTAAAGAATCCATCACGGAGGCACTCGTTAAACTAGTTATGGCCAATCCATAGAGCTGAATGTTCTGCAGTTGTAACAGGAAAAAAGTGACAAATCTTTTACATCCTGAGAGGAAGTGTGTGAGATAAAGTCTCGTCTTCCTTCCTTAAACTGGGGTCTAATTTACATACGGCAAGGCCCACGCATTTTAACGTCAGCCTGAGTTCTGACAAGCGCAGAGGACATGAAGCCACCACTGCCCTCAAGGCACAGAACAGTCTCACTGACCCCAAAATGTCCTCGTGCTGCGCTGTGTAGCTGACCCCTCCCCTTCAATCCCGCTAGTGCCAGCCTGTTATCCGCATTCTGTCCCCACGGTCCTGTCTCTCCCACAATCAGACTGATGCCAGCAAACAGCACGCAGGCTTGAGTCTGATGGGAGTGTGAGGTCACCACGCTGTTTCGGCGTTCATCCCAGCCTGGCATTGACTGCCACGGAGCACACACCTGCCTGAGGCGCATTCACAGACGGGGCCCAGAGTGGAGCCGTGGCTGCTGTGAGGAAAGGCACTGGGTGTCTGGGCACACAGGAAAGATGGGCACCAAGGGCCCTCTCAGGCCTCCTGAGCACACGAATCGCACCACTCACTCACAGACAGATTTCAATCACCAGGCTCCCGACTCCTTGGCCTTATATTCGTTGCCTTCATTAAACAAAAGGAGAGACTTTACTCTTCTCCAGCTCCCCTTGGGAACCAGGAAGCCACCCAGGCAGAGTGCACACAGGCTCCCATCCCCCCGCCTGAGCCCCTGCACCTGCCCACAGAGGAGAGCAGGGCGCTGACCTTGTAGACGTGCCGCCAGTTCTTGCCGTGGTCGTTGAGCCGCTTCCAGATCATGCTCATGATCTCTGAGAAGGCGACGACGTTGTAGGTAAGGTCGGCAATCTCTGACATGAGGGAGCTGGACGGGCCCCAGGGGTCATTGCTCGTGGCCTCTCGAACCTTGATCTCCGCCTCTGAGTAGTTGTGGACGATGTTCTTCATCTGGCGCCTCAAGGACGAGGTCGACATGGTGCCCTGCTGCAGCAGCAAGGGGCACAGGGCCCCTGATGCGTGGAGAGATGGGGAGACTCTGGACAAAGGCAGTGGCAGGCGCTGGCAGGTCACCGCATCTGAGAGGGGAAGAGGACCTCTGCAAACACAAATGGGACATGGGCTGCCCAGAGCTCTCAGGGTCAAAGATGAGATCCTAACTGTGGCCCACAAGGCTCTGTCCCTTGTTAACCTCAAGGCCTGAAAGTAACCCCATCCATGTTTCAGTTCCTCAAATAGGCTGCCTCCTTCCTGCCGGGGCCCCTGCTCAGTGAGGCAAAGTATGCAGTGGCAGATTAAAGGCCCATGCCCTGGCTCGGCCACTTCCTGGCCAGGCCACGCTAGGTAGGCTGCCATCTTCTGCACCTCAGCCTTCTCGTCTGTCAAATGGGGCTCCATGTGGCCATCTCGGGAACTGACGCTCTGTAAACACTGGCGGCGTGTCCCGAGATACTCCGTCCTGCCCATGCGCTCCTTCTTCCTCACCCAGGAACGGACACTCACCACAGGGCTCTGCTAACACTTCTCAAGTCCACATCCAAACACCATGGTTGCCTTTCCCTGGAGCCTCATCAGTAAACTCAATCTCCCTGACGATTTTATATTGTCTGATTCTGTAGCTAAGGTCAACCCTCAGGCCCCCAGCAGGCAGAGATCTTGTTTGTCTAGACGTGGCTTTTCCCAGCAAAGAAGCTGGCCCAGAAAAACCATTCAGTAAACCATGCAAGGAGGACGTTGGGGGTGGGGGGCAGGTGAGACCACTGGAACAAGGGTGGAGTGGACAGGAATACACAGCAGAAGCGACACATGGGAAAGAAGGCTGATGGAAAGGATTAAAGAGAGGGGCAGGAGCTGGGAGCCAACCCAGGGTGTCAGGAACTGCGGAAGCCAGAGGACCAGACAAGGGCAGGCGAAGCCCAAGGCTCAGAAGAGATAAGGAACCTAACAGCTCCACTGCCTGGGTCCCAGCTGAGAGCCAGGCACTCACTCAGCACAAGAGAGGGACATTCCCTCTTTCAACAGTGCATGTAGAGACTGGGCTCCTGGAGGTTAAATAATTCAACCAAAGTCACACACCAGGAATGGCAGGGCAGACTCAACCCAAGGCCCACCTGAACTCCAAAACTTGTACTTTTAAATTAACCTAAATTACATTAACCCAACCCAAAACTGGTGATAAGAAACAGAAGGAGAGTCAAGCAAATGATGATTACACCAGCGGACACTTGCGAGGCTCTTATCCCGGCCAGGCCCTGCTGTAAGCGCTTTACATGTATTAAGTCAGTTAACCCTTCAAACAACCCCATGATTCACAGCCACCTCACACGGTGGAAACTGAGACACAGAGAGATTCAGCTTCTTGCCCACGGACACACACCTTACTCCTGGAGCAGCCTGGTTCCAGAGCCAGCTCTAATCACCAGTCTATGAGGCTCCAACGAGCCACAGAGGGAGCCTTACAAAGCCTTACGATGATGTAAGCCCAGGGGAGATAGGGATGACTGAGAGAGGCTGGCCTCTGCTTCCAACTCAGGCCACAGGGCCAGGCACCTGAAGACAGATGTCCCAAAGCAGCCCCAGCCCAACACATTTTGATGAAGCAATGATGTAACAAATATAGAGGAGACTGACAAGAAATGAATTTAACAAATACAGAGAAGAAGACTGACAAGAAACAGACACACCGAAACCCAGGCAGAGAGAACTACCCAGAGAGACAGTGAGAAAGACACAGACAGCAGCAGATATGAGACATGGGAAAATAGGGAGGCAGGAGGCCAAGGAGGAAAGATAGAGGCCCAGAAACAATATGACACCTGGCACTGAGAAGTAAGAGACAAAAGAATGGCATATAATGGAAAAGAACATCAACCGGGTTCAAATCCTGGCCACATCAGCTACCTGCAGCACAAACCTTGAGGTGCAGTTTGCCCCACTCTGAAATGAAAGAAGGCCTACCTGGCAGGCCTGTTGATTAAATAAGATGGGTACATACAGTGCTTGGCCGTGTGCCCCACAGATAGTAGGCGCTCAATAACACTGGCTGCTATCATCAGAGAAAAAAGCAGAGAACAGCTCCAAAAGGGTGGCAGCAGACACTGCACTGTCTTCACACTGTGGAGTGTGCAGGAGAAAAACATAGATTAGCACATCAAAGCTAAGAGTTCTTAGATACTGCTTAGAATGACTGTATTTCAAATTAAACTGATTCCGAGAATTAATAGATTAAAAAGCATACAAAGAGTATGACAAAATTCCCCAAGGAATACTCCAATGACCGACCGACATCTAACGCTTCCTGTGTCAAAATCTCTAAGCACTGTAATAATAAAAACCAGAGCTCCCCGTAATTACACACTTCCTCTGTACCAGAGACGGCCCGGCACTGTAGAAGCATCACCTCAATTTACATGCACAAGGACCCTGTGGTGCAGGAACTATGAACGTCCCATTTTAAAGACTAGGCAACTGAGGTTTGGAGATACACAATAGCACATGGCAAATATCGCACGGCTTAGCAGGCAGCCCGGGCCTCTGAATCCAAGCCTGGGACTCTTCACCATCACACCAGAGACTCAGAAAACTGCAGAAAAGGGGCAGATTCTTCTAGACCAAGCAAGACTCCTGGAAAGAGACTTCAGGATCGGAGGTGATAGATACGGGGGCAAAAACAGATGCGAAGACGGGGCAGAAGAGTCCGCAGGGGAGGGCTGGGGACACCCTGGGAAACGAAGACTCGGAAACTCAGAGACAAGAACAAAATCCTGAGAGACACGGACATGACAGAGGAGAAAGAGACTCGGGACAGACACGCTCCTACGTCCAAACCCTCTTCTAAGGCCACTGGGACAGGCAGAGGCCCACGGCAAACAGACGCCGACAGACACGACAGAGAGGGAGACACGAGGGGCAGGGGGAGAGACAGACACCGACACCGACACCGACACCGACACCGACACGGGGGCAGTCAAGGCCGACACAAGAAAAGAGACACAAAGGCCGCCAGAGACACCCAGAACCCGAGGCCCGGCCCGAGCCCGCACGCGCCGCGGACCAAGCCCGAACACCCGGAGCAAGCGGGCCGGCGTCCCCTGCGCTCACCTCGGCCCCCTCACGCTGGGCTCCGGGGGGTCATGGCGGTCAGCACCCTGCCCCGCTCGGCCTCGGTGTCGCGGAGCGTGCGCCGGGCCGCGGGCGGCGGACCAGGAGGCGGCACGGGCGCACGCACAAACGCACGGAGGGCCGCACGCCCAGGGCCCCGCCGCCCCGCCGCCCAGAAGGGGCGCGGAGAGCCGGGCGGGGGAGGGGAGCCGCCGGGAAGACGGGAAGCTACCGAAGGCGACGGACCGGAAGCGGAAATTGCCGCGCTCCCCGCCCTCCCGTGCCGCACCCGGCCCAGGCGGGAGTTACTTCCGCAGCCCAGCCAACCAGGGAGGCATCACTTCCGGCGCGCAGGTCCCCGTTACTAAGTGTTCTTTACGTCATTTTTGCCCGCCGCCGCTAGGCTCCGCACGGGACCCCGAGGCTCAGTCCCAGCTCCCTCCGCGGAATTCATGGAGTTCCTGGCGCACCCACGCCGCGCCCGCCCGGTCCCGCTCGGCCAATCCTCCCTCCTGCCGGTGGGGTGGGAGATCACTCGGGAACTTCACGCCCCACCCCCCCGAGCCGTGCCTGTGCCAACCCCCAGAAGCGCACTGCGCTAGCAGGGAAGGCCCCGGGGATGCGGATGCCGGCACCGGGGGCGTCCCGGTCAGGGGCCCGCAGTTTGCCAAGGGGACCCCCACCCGAGCCCGGAACCGAGGAAGAGGGTGGGACACACTGGACACACAGCCGCTCCATAAAGTAAAATACAACAAAATGTTTAATGAGCAAATTCGTCTTAGCAAATATGAAACTGCCACAGAGAGTAGGAGAAGGACAGAGGGACAGAGCCACGGGGCTGGGCGCAGATTGGGGAGACTAAAGAGGGAAAAATCAACTACATAAGAAATCCGGGAGGGGACCAGAGAGGACCAGAGGCCGAAGGAACAGAGCTGTGGTCCTGATAAGGGAGAGGGCAGGGCACTGAGGGCCGGACAACAGAATTCAAAGTAGTTTGGCCATAAAATATAAACACGCTATGTTCCTACTGTGGGGAAGGGGAGGAGAATGGGGTCTAAGGGAGAAGGGAGAGGCTGTTTTGGGAGGGGCTGGGGTCGTACCCCGCCCTGCTGTGCACCCTGTCCCCATCCCTACCCCTTCCCTCTGTGTCTGTGTGGGTGCATGTTGTCTTGTGGGCTGTGTGCGCACTTCCCCAGTCCCGTCCCTGCCCTAACCCCCAACCCCCGCCCCCCACCCTTAATTGCTGCCATTCCAGTTGCTGCCGGCTGCCGTGTGTTGTGCGGCTGTCACTCCTCTGCCCATCGTCTTCACAGGGGGATAAGGGGGGGGCGGGAGTGGGGAACAGCCCCCAGCCAGCCCTGCCCCCACCCTCCCCCGGCCGCCTCTACCAGAAGTCCCGGCGGTGATAAGAGTCGGGGTCACAGTATTTTGTGACAACCACTCTGTTGGCGAACTTGCGGCCTGTCAGGCCCTGCATGGCTTTCTGGCAGTCAAACACAGAGGTGAACTCCACAAAGATCTGCGGGGAAAACAAAGGCAGGTTTGTGAACAAGGCTCACACCCAGTGGCCAGCCAGCATCCACCCAAACCCAGAACTGAACGCAGGAAGGGGCAGGGAGGAAGGGGCTTTGCCACAGGCGTCAGAAAGGGACCCTTAGTGGAGGTTTGGTGGAATTCACCCAAACATCCTGCAAGATCAAAAAACAAGAGCACAGACACACCACAGGCATAGAGAATCAGCAGAGCCACAGAGGGCAGGCGGAAGGCAGAGGCAGAGGCAAGCTCACCACCCCTACCCCAGGGGTCCCTCGTGCTGAGTGTCTACTCCACACCAGCCATCACGGTGGGCGCTCCCAGAACCACCCCAACAGCCATGTTCTCCCAACAATAAATGAAGTAAGTGATGCTCGGAAATTAGGAATCGGAAACAAACAAGTATTCTTGAGTCAGAAACCTTTGAACATGGACTAGGCACTGAAAACTTAATTTTGCTAATTAATCATGCTATTGTGGTTTTGTTAAAAAACAATTTTTTAAGGTTATCTGGTTAGAGCAGTGGTTGTCAACTGGGGGAGGGGAGAGGGGCGTGTCCCCAGGGAACACTGAGCAATGTCTAGAGATGCTTTTGGTTATCTCAAAGCAGGGAGTAGTGCTTCTGCACTTGATGGGTGGAGACTGGGGATGATGCCTCTCAACACCCTACAACATACAGCATAGACCCCCACAGAGAAGTTATGTGACCCAAAGCTGAGAATTCAGAGAAACATACTTAAGGACCTCAGGAGAAATATATCTGACATTCTTTATCCAGCAAAGAAAAAAAGAGGCGGCGGGAGAAATTAGCTAAATATAAAAAGAATGACAAAAATATTGGCAACTTGAAGCCAGGTAAAGGTAAACCAAAATATTACCACATATACTATGATAAAAATATATTACTATCATAGTCTCTGCTTTTAAATATATTTGCAAAGATAAGTAACAAAAAAAATGTAATAAATAAGACGCATTTTTTTTTTTTTTTTCTGAGACAGAGTCTTGCTCTGTCGCCCAGGCTAGAGTGCAGTGGTACAATCTCTGACTCACTGCAACCTCTGCCTCCTGGTTTCAAGTAATTCTCCTGCCTCAGACTCTCAAGCAGCTAGGATTACAGGCATGCACCACCACACCCAGCTAATTTTTGTACTTTTAATACAGATGGGGTTTCACCACATTAGCCAGGCTGGACTTGAACTCCTGACCTTGTGATCTGCCAGCCTTGGCCTCCCAAAGTGCTGGGATTACAAGCATGCGCCACCACACCTGGCAGATGCAATACACTTAATATGCAAAACAGGTCAGCTAATCCCAAAGGCCAGGGTCTCTTCATTCCTCCTCGTTCCCACAAATGTTTCCTCAGCTTCTGCCTGAGCCAAGCTCCATCCCAGCACCAGAGGGCAGCCCTGAGCAGCCCTGACATACCGTACTCTGGAGCGCAGCGGGCAGGAGATGCCGTTGGCCTTCCACATGCTCCTGTAAGATGCCCCTTCCACCTCTCCAGCTGCCCTCCCCAACCCTGTTCTCCCTGGGCAAAGCACTCCCACATCCCAGGCCGGACCTGCGACCATCAGCCCTCACACTGGGAACACAGACCTGTCCAGTTAAGTGTTGCTGGACATCTCTACTGGGTGTCTCAGAAACCGCAAAGCCAGCTAGCCCCACACCTGCTCACCCCTGCATTTCACCTGGCATCCCCACCATCAAAGCTGCCACCGAGTATCTCATAGGCCTTCTCCCTCCCTCCACACCAATCACCAAAGTGTGCACACTTCCCAGGCCCGAGTCTCGAATCTATCAACCCCTCTCCATCCCCTGCTACTACTACTTTAAATCAGGTCACCAGGAGACCTCCCCACCATTCCTTTTCTCAACAGCAGCCAAAATCACCTCAAAAATGGAACCACGGCCCTGTTTTCTCTTTAAAAAAACCCACCACTCCAGGGAGAAACTGAGCCTCTTCCACAACATATGAAGGCCCTCCCCAGTCTGGCCCTGCAGAGCCAGCCCTGGCCCCGACACCCCTGGCTCCTGGGCCACTTCAGCAGCATCGACCCTCCAGCTCCTGGCATGCCCTCCTGCTCATCCACATCCTGCCCTGCAAGGAAGTGCCTGCTGTACCTCTGCACCCCCAACCTCACTACATGGGGCCATTTCCATCTGCCAGGTGTGACCACACTGGAGGCCTCTCAATAGCTTCCCTCCCATCTGGCTCAAAATAACTGGTCCTTCTAAGACCCACGCAGCCCTCCAAGGCCCACCACTCAGCCCCAGCCCCACCACCTCCCTCCCTCACCTGCTCACTGCCACCTCTTGACCTTGACCCCCCTGAATGAACATGCCCAGGAATGCTGCAACTCAACACAACAGGGGTGCCCTCTAACAGCTGCATCCCCAGGGCTTCAGCAGCACAGGATGGAAGAGACCGCTATTCATTACTGAAGTCTCAGAGCCTGGTCCAATGGGAATTCCATACACACGCCCTCACCACTGCCTCAAGAGGCAGACAAGGTGAGGTGATGATGACACCTGTCACGGCGCTGGAGGTAACAGGACTTGGTGGGCTCTGAAATCAGACTGCAAAAACCTGACACCTCCCTGTGTAGCTGCCCCCACTGTGCCTGTCTCCTCCCACGATGGGGCTCAGGAGCTACTGGGAGGGCTCCGGGTGAGCACAGACACAGCTTCAGCAGGGTGCCTGGCACACACGAGACACCAGCAGGTGTCCTGGGGCTGTTCCCAGCACTCTTCCCTGCTCCACAAACCAGGCAAAACCATTTCCACAAGCAAGACCACTTAAGGAGGAGGAGCAGAGTCCAGCTCTAAACAAATACAGAGCTGCATTCCCCAGCTACTGACCCTCCTGCAGGCCCTGGGCCCCCACAGGACCACACCGCCCTCTGGGTCACCAACATCTCCCATGGCCAGGCCTGAGGGCGGCACACAGTGATGGCACCTATGCTCGTGAAGCAAAGGGAGACCCAGACAGGGAGAGCAGGAGAGAGGGAGAGGAACGGGAAGACAGAACAGGAAGAAGGCGGGGGCAGGGAGAGGAGGAGAAGGGGAGAGGGTGAGGAAGTGGGGCGCGGGCCTGGGGCATCCTGACCTTTCCGCAGCCAGGCACCTCGACACCGTCCACGGGCCGGGGGATCTCGATGGACTTGACCAGCCCGTACTTGCTGCACTCGTCACGCACGTCCTCCACGATCTCCTCATACTCCTCGTCATCCAGCAGCTCCTCGGGCAGCACCATGTTCATGAGGCACAGGACCTCAGTTGGGTGGCCGCCCATCTGCACCTGGGAGCTCATCAGCCCCGGCACTTGCAGGGTCACAGGTGTCTGATTGATGGTACTCTGTGGAGCCAGAGGACGAAGGGGTGTCACAGGGGGCCCAGACCCAGTCACCCTCTGCTCAAGCCTGTGCCCCTCGGATGCCCACCCTGGGGAAAGGCCAGCTCTCCACTTCAACACCTAAAGCCCCACTCCGCAACACTGCACTGAATGACCCCCAAATGCCTTCCCATATATGCTGGGGGAGAGATCAGGAACACCTGTCCCTAGCCAGCCCCTCCCAACCCCGGGGGCCCTCGAGCCAATG